AAGGGGAAAGTGGGCATTGATTGCTTCTACTTCTTTTTGTCTTTGGTGGGTGTGTGTAGATAGTGATTTGAGACCAGCCTCCTTTTTGTTGCAGCTGCAGTTGTTGTTGTGCTGAGGATAGGATGGCTTCTGAATGAAATGAGATATGTGGGTTCTGGAGATGATGGATTGTTTCGCTTTCTTGTTTTCTGTTGTTGGGGTCTGAAGTGAGGTGAGTGAGGTGAGCGTTGGAGATATGTGGATTTGAAGACGGTGGATAGTGTCGCTTTCATCTGTTGTTGGGGGTTGAACGAAGGGAATGAGGTGAGTGTTTAACTGTAAGGAGACGCTGAAGGTAAGGCATACATGCATTTCATATTGTGAGCTAATTGGTGGTCATGTCCATCCGTGTGGCTGCCCGGCGTGAGACTCATCGTGGGAGTTTTGAGCAATTCCAACAAGATTGCAGCAGCTTGTGAGAGACTCCCCGTCTCCCATGTTGAGTATTGTCTCGAGCGATTTGCAGTCGAAAATTCTGATCAGTGGTAATATCTCTTTGCCGACGCCGCTCTCTCAGGTCCCATGCTCACAATACATAGTGCGCATCTCTCCTCCTTTGGCGGCAGAAGCGGCGAAGTCGCCAGATCGAGGCAAGTGCTCGTGATGCGGTACTCTCCGATACTCATCGGGTCACGAGTCCAAGGCGAAACGAGGGGCAGTGAGAACGATCTGAAGGCAACATCTCCGTCGGTCAAGGCAACCTCGCGGTAACCTCTCGCTAGTGATCGAAGGCTTGGAGGCTCGGAGGCTCGGAGGCTCTCGCTCTTAGCTCGCTGAGACTCGAGTTGAAATCGCCGGTGAACACGTGGTGCTTCGTGTTCACGACTGCGTCCAGAAAGGCGGGTTGTTTAACACGCTCATCCTCGGCGCCATCTCACCAGACCCATGCTTTGATGTGGTCTGCGCTGTAGAATATGCCATGGAACTCCTTGAAGATCTGGCGGCAGGTGCCGAGAAGGCCTGGTCGCACCTTCTTGCCATCCTTGTCTCGCAGGGTTAGAGCAAGCTTTGTGTCCTCAGTAGCCGAAATATTCTTGGGAACAACAAATGCAGCATGTGCATCCTCGGCGACGTAGTGGTAGATGCGATTTCGGATCTCGGCAGGGAGTTTGAGGAAACCGCACTCGTCATTCCTCTTCTCCGGCTCGTAGTTTTGCAGTACTTGTTGAAAGTCGCCGAATTCTGTGGGGTTCAGGTCTCTGAGCGAGTCCAAGACTCGTTGGACCTTGTGTTCGCTGAAGGTCAACATCGTGGGCTTCATCTGTTTCATGGTGTCAGCGCTGCCCACGTTCACGGCAAAGGGATTGGCATCTCACCGATCCGCTGAGTGTCCACGCCACTCGCGAAGAGTGCAGTCGAAATTGAAGTTGTGTGTTGATGAGAGGAAGAAGAGAGGACGGAGAAAGCTTGTGAAGTGAAGTCGAAATTAGAGTTCAAGCAGACGCGCTAGCAGGCAGCATGTGAAGAGGAAGGCAGGCGCGCGTCGTTCGAAGAGGTGGAAGGAGCGAACATCGACATTGTTTGAGCAATACACGCTGCATGATTTGTACTCTTCGTCGAGGTGTTCTGCTCTCCCTGAGGACATCGTTGCGATTCGCTGCGGGCACTTCGGCGTTCTGATCTCCAAGCTCTTCGTCTCAATGACTTTTGATTTCTTGCTATGATTGACAGGAGAGAAATGATTTCAAGTTCTGAGGAACGTGACAGAGAGAATCTTGAACAATGATAACTGGCAGACTTGAACGAGGTAGGAGAAGGGGGCTTCCAAAAATGTCAAGTTCAATTGAAGAAGAGTAGCCTCTACAGCAACCCTATCGTATAGAAGAAATCCAGCAGAGCCAGCCTCCATATCCCCATAGCCTCAGCAGCCTCCCCAAGAACCCAAAATTTCCAAGGGTATCCCACAAGAAAAACACATCCCCCAATCCCCATCTACCGATGAAGATCTTTACTCTTCTTCCGGTCCAACCTCCGATTCACCGCGCCGAGCACGACCTTGAGGATACCGTCACCAGTCAATTGTGTTCCCTCCTCGCCTGTGAAAGGCACGGTGTCCACAATGTCCCTCAGATCGTCATCGCCCGCAATTTCCGCCAGCTCATCGTCCAGCTGCTTCAAATGAGCTTTCGCCTTCTCATCGCGACCGACTTGGAAGAATTGCACGCCGATTTGCCAGGCGGGCGCATCGAGCTTGTCGAGTTTCTTGGCGGCTTGGATGAGGGGGCTTTCGACGTCGTCGCTGGGTTCGCCGTCGGTGATGCAGATGATGTTGATGGGTTTGGTGGTTTCCGGGGCTTTGGCGTACTTTTGCAAGTATGGGCGGAGGATGGCGTTGAGGCGTTGGCCGGTGGGTGTTCCTCCACCGGGGCGAACCACTTGAAATATCTCGCGGACGGTGCCGGAGGTCGTGACGTTGTGGTGGAACGGCGAGTCGCCGTGATTGAGGAAGTAAATATCAATCCCATCAGCATCATGCTCCGTGCAAATCGGAGTAATAGCTTCGAGCGCCTGGCCAGTCTCGCGCCAAAGACCACCAGCCATCGATCCGCTGTCGTCGATGAGGAAGATGGTGTCGAAACTCGTCAGGAATGCGTAATGGTCGTCGGCGGTTTGACTGGGCTGCGACACCGTCACTTGCGGTATGGGCGCCGCATTTGGCGCAGGAGAATATGCTGGCGGCGCATCGCCAGGGCTTTGGAATGGGTTGTTCGCGCCTGGCGCCGGCCGCCTAGTCGTCGGTGATGCGTTGACCTGAGGATGTGAATTCGCTTCTGGCTTCATGCTGGCGCTTCGTGAGATGGGGTTGGTGCCCTTGCGACTGAGCTTGTGCTTTATAGAGGAGAACATCTTGCCGTGTAACTGGAGTGAAGAGTTTGTCGAGTTGCGTTCGAGCGGGGAGAATGTTTGGTAAGATATGTTTGTGGCAGTGGCCATGCTCTTTGTCCTTCTGGCAGTAGTGCGGGTCTCGCGGAAGCTTCAACTGTCGCCACCCGTAATGGATCGTAGTGCCAAGTGAGTACAAATGCGAAATGTTTCTTGTCGTCGTTAAGGGACCAAATGAATATCTTATACCTCTCTACCTACCTAACGATCAAGCACCGCCTTCCGAGGTGTTCGAACGCCTTACCCCTGCTTTGGGCGAAGTCTTCACGCGAATTATTGAGGCCATCAACACAACCACAGCCATATGCTGCGGCGGTCATTTCGCATGGGGTAGTGACAAGGACGTCCACAAGGAGTCGTGTCAGCAGAGAGTTTGCACGCGGACGGCCGCAAGATGTGGAGGCAAAGAGGGCGCAGCAGCTTGAGACTGTCACCTGATTCGCGGGGCCGCCCACACAACGAACACAGCCTCAGGCTTAGCATGCTTGTCCCACAGTCTGCACATACTCAATCTCCGGCTCAGACAATGTCACGGCGCCAATAGACCGGTCATTATCCTGAGCTATTCCAACTACCCCGCGCGTGCAATGAAGGTGTCAGGGCAGATTTCCTGGCCCCTCAGATGACCGCAGCAAGCTCGTTGAGGACTCAGGACGCCCAATCTCTGTCAGTCGCGGTGAATAACGCTCCAACGTTAGCATGCAACTCCTTGTGCCCCGAATTGCGCAGTCGATGCGATTGCCTCTTCCATGTCAAGGGAGGCTTGCCTTCCATCCAAGCGTGTTCAATACGGCTTTGCGACCAGCATTCAGGACAGATCCCAATGAAGTAGAGGCTCTCCGTGATTAGATCCAACAAGGGGATCAGTCTCGTCCTGATGCCGCAATGAGAATGGTTCCTGTCGATTTGATACTCTGGGACTTGTCGCAACAAATCAACCAAGTTGAAGATGTCCCCTTCGTATGGCAAAGGTGGCTCTGCGGTGTCGAGAATCGTTCCCTGAAGTTGTAGAGTTCCGGACCTTGTGAAGAATCGTATCATTTCGCCCAGCTGGAAAGAATCACACTGCGCAGATGAATCATAGCCCAGCTTACATTGCCGCTCGCGCGAAGTGTAGAGGCGCAAGAAGTATGCCTGAAGCGATTGGAATGTATCCAAGATACTGTCTCTCCGAAAAGCCAGCTCTTCTTCAAGCCTCGAAGGCAAGTCCCACCATAGAGCAGCCGACTCGGTGGCCTCTTTACCAACCCAGCCTTTCGTGATCATGCGGGCACTGTACTTCTCAAGCCAAGGGCCGTAGTCGAGCAGGACGGCGACCAAGACCCTTTGCCTCACTTTCTCTTCAGACAGGCTGTTCTCGGCCTTCGGGGTTGTCTTTCCATCGATAGCCCGAGGAATCTTCCTACGCCTCACGTAGGCGCGAACTGCATCCAAAGAATCGAAACGGTCTGCGACGATAGCAAGATTGGCTAAGTTCGCAACTGGAGGCAAGCTCGTCTGCGGTTCTTTGCCGTGAAGGACGGTAAGGAAGTCGGTACACAGAGGCTCTATCGACTTGACCGCAGAGATTCGGCCAATATCCTCAATGTATATGATTGGCAGTTCCGCGGCAGGGCTTTTGGAAGGACTGCCATACTTGCTCTTCAACTCTGCGTGGCTCTTCTCTATCCTCTCGCTCTCGCCGAAACGACCCTGGAGTAGGCCACTGAAGTACTTCGAGTTCGTCTTCAGGGCGGCGGTGCTGGCGCGAAATTGGTGATCGGCTGTCCCGTGCTTGATGTTGAGCACCAAATCGCCCTGAGGATCTATGTCCACAATGCGAGTTTCTCCAGTGGTGGGCTCATTTGGCAGTGGAGGACTGGAGGGTGTCTCGCCATTAACGGGTTTGGACTTCATGTTGGTGGCCATCGGATGGTCTTCGTATAGTTGGTGATGCCTATTACAAAGGCACAGCTGGTATGGGCCTCAGGGATATGGCCAGAACATGTTGGCGGAGTGCGGCGAACGTGTCTGTTGGAGGTGGAGTGTGCTGTGTTGAAGGCGAGAGAAACAGCACCATCTCACCGGACGAGATCGAGCGGAGTGCGGCCCGTTTTCTACGTTAGTTCCGAGCCGTAGCGCGAAGCTTGCTACATGAGACACGCAGGGGCAAGATCGAACCTCACTTCAACATTCTCTCGCGGGCAATTCACAGACCGTGACACGTTTCTGAATTGACGTGCGCGTCAAATCATGTCAGAAAATCTCAGTACCGAGAGCTACTGTTGCCCGAAAAGCGGGCATCCAACGGCTTACATTTGGAAAAGAGATGCTAGCTCAGTGACATGAGAAAGCAGATGAATGTCTGTCTTTGGGTACACACCAAATCTGGCTCACAAAACCGACCAAACGCGTCTTGTTATCCATGCTCACTAGAAGAATATCTCCACAGCTCTGCCAAAGGCGCATACAACCCGGGTGGACAGAGATACGCCCCCAGCAGAGCAATCAAACGGTCCAAGTTGCGGATATCCAGATTCGCCAGCAACTGACCGATAGCTTCCAGATGATCTCGATCTCGATAACCCGACGTCGTACAAAACACGCACAGACACCACAACAGGATCTCGTCATAGATCGTCCCGATCAGCAACTGCCAGTCCTTCGACAGGGTTGCGTGCCATAACGCCCGAAGACCACCTATGAGCGGCTGAGCGACGGGACGTTCGCCAGCGCTCAGTCTCATGAACGAGCCGAGCATGATACCGGCTTGTCGAACCAGCTGTGCAATGCGGGAGCTCAAGGTCGGCTTAGAAGCTGCTTTCGATGCGACGACTTCAGTTGGCGCACAGGCCCCAATGGAACCCCACAGCTCTCTCATCCATATACTCGAGCCTTCTCTTGACGGGTCATAATACATCAAGCTGCCGACGTGGAACATGAGTGATCCCGGCAAGAGGTTCTGCGAGCCGTAGAAAGCGAATCCTGGTGGCATCTTTCGACCGCCGCGAAACACTGCGACTTTGCCCTCGTCGCCGTAGTCAAAGTCGCTCTTGATGGCTTTGGGAGTTGCGCCATCATTCATCACGCTTGGCAATGCTTTGACGTGGATCTCGCAGGTGGCGGCGTCTCCGACGTCCTGTCAAAGTGCCGTGTCAGCGAGTCGACGAAGTTTGAAAAGCATGGTTTCCAGACTCACCAATTCCCACCCGATGAGCAGCGCCATACCGACCGCTAGGACCTTTCGATCGTCAAAGCCTTGTCGAATCGCCGCTCGGATAGTCATCAAAAAGTTGTTCCTGAGCCACGCCACAAGAGGTTCGCACCGTCTTCCTTCACTCGTTACCGCGACGCTTGTCGTGGTCAAGGTGATGAGTGCATTGAACAGGAATCCATCCAGGTAGAGTCGAGGCTGGACGAGTCGAGGATGCAGGAGTCTGGTGTCCTCCGCTAACCCTTGCGATCTCATATACACTCGTGCACGGCTCAGGTCTGGTCGTAATTATCAGTACTGCAAGTCGTGTGGCTCCTATAAAGCACTCACAGTGATCGATCAAGGACGGTATATTGACCGACCAGTCAACATCGCGAGCTCCAAAAGGATCGACTCTCCCCATGGCCACCTGCTGATTCAACATTGTCTGGTCTTGAGGATCGTCCTCCCTTCGCGTTTGCGAAGAGGCAAGTCTCTGCGCATCGTCGCTCGTTGAACTTTCCCCTGCCCTTTCCTCATCGTGCACACCCTCTCTCCTCTTCCTCCCCTTGCTCACTACACTGCCACTAGCACCAGACTCGCCATCCTCCGGATCCTCTTCCACCCCCTTCTTCTGTCGCTTATGCCTATGCTGCAAACTCGTCACATGGCTCCTCACCATTTTTCGATGATGCCTTGCACTAGCCTGAGAGGGATGGTCGAAGTTCACGAACTGGAGCGGCATGTCCCATTTTTGCTGGAAATGTCGGACAGCGCTGCCGCTGTCCTCGATGTTGCCTGATTCATCATTACCCGATGCATTGCTGACAGGCGTCTTGGGGCGTGAGGCCGTGGATACGGTGTCTGTCACTGTTCGTTTGGGTTTCCTGGGCATTTCTCACATGCATCCAGAAACAAGGATTTTTCCTCCTCCTCCGCTGCCTGCCTGGTGGGTTCCGTCTGCCGCGTCAGCATCTGCGGTCGACGGGACGCTTGTAACAAAAGCGAGATATATCCATCAACATAGCCACCCTCTCTCAAAAATCCAGGCCCCCAAACAAAAGCCCGAGGACGAGAACTGGCTTGGAATCGATCAATAGTCCGGCACCGTCTGTCATCATTCGAGAGAGCTAAACATCGAGCGAACACCATTCTACAAAGACTAACAGCTTTCCAGACTAAAAGAACTAGCGGCGCCCGGTCCCAGACCGCGGACTTCAATGGCGCCCAAAGCCATTCGTCATAGGCTCGTGGGTCTAGTTGGCGTCGGTGCAGTTATGCCCGACGGCATGTATTTGAAGTCCTGCCGTGCTTCTCATAGAAAGTTGTTGCTCTTACGCTAATCTGTATCGTTACTGCCATTTCCCATTTCGTGCAATGCAAGACTCCCAATCCATCAATGCCTTCACAACTACACACGCGTCTCACTCGTCCCAACATTCATCACATGCAAGCCCGACTCGACGATCGACTGCCCTTCCCACGCGGCTGCTTGCTCAGTCTCCGTCTCCCATCTGGTCCGACAGACGTCGATGTTCTCCTCCGTCGTCCTCGCGGCTGCTCGTCGTCCGTCTCAGATGTGCGAGTGGGGACTCTGACTTCGACTTCGGTGCTCGTACCTGCTGTTGATGGGGCGTCGTCTGTTGCGAGGCGGGTATAGCTCTTGCGGGCTAAGGGACTTCGCGCTGTGCGAAGGGCGCTGCTTTGGTCGCCGTTGGAGAAGCGGCCTGTTGGGCGGTAGGCGGCTTCTGGTGCTGAGAGGGTGCTTGGTCGCTCTCGTGGCTCGGTGTGTCTTGTCGGTGCACGAACGGCTGGTCGGCTCTGAGGTGCTGATGGGGATGGTTGGGAGGGACCCGCCACGGTGACTGGGGCACAGCTGGGTACACCAAAGTGCATATCAACCGAAGAGTCAGACTCTGCCGACCGCAACGATGATACACTCGAGTCTCTCGTCCGTGACGCTGGTAAAAGTGGACCATTGCTGAAGGCAGGCACGGCACGCTGAGGTCTTATCGCAGACTCCAAAGCTGCTCGGAGCTGCTCGTGCTGCTGCCCATGGTAATCCCTAGCATTCTCAAAGCCAAAGATGCTCTCGACTCTTCGAGGCGTGTGGATCGTGTGCTGGGAGCTCAGGAAAGAATCGGTGCTGTCTCTTCTCGGTCCCTTGTGGTATATCACCATCTCCTCATCTCCACGAGGTGCCATATCGGGGCGAAGTTGGCCGGAGTCGTTGACCTGCTGATACCATCCACCTGGCAGTGCTTCGGCTGGGGCGAAGCGACCCTCGAGCCGACTCGAGGGCATCAAAGGAGTACGGAGCGACTTCTGTCGAGCGATTTCGACCGCGGGTCTGAACGTCTCCGGCACGACATTGAGTTCATCCCCCATCGCCTGTGCTTCTGCAACAGCTTGCTCAGGTGTCTTTGTCTCATCTGCTTTCCCAGCATCTGCTCGAGGACCACCCCAAGTGCGACTTCCCGCGGTAAAGATGCCGTAGACCATGTACAGCCAGTTGAAAAAGGGATTCAGGACGAACATCAGTGGATACAGCATGATCTTGTATCTGCCCAGTTTCGCACCGAAGTAGAGCATCAACGCCCAGTTCAAGCCCAGGGAGACCGCAATGAAGCCAACCGGAAGGTTCGCGACTTTCTGTGATGTGGTCAAGATCGAGATGACCATGATGAAGAACAGCAGTGCAGTCGTCCGAATAGTGTTCTGAGCAAGTCGAATTAGGAGAAGAATTGGGTACCGCGTCCACAGGCGGATGTCTGTCAACATGCAGACTTCGTTGGTGATGAAGCCCAGAAACCAACGTCGCCGCTGCTTCAACAGGCTCCTGAAGGTCTGTACTGCCTCTGTCTTGCAGAAGGCTCCTGTATTCATCTGGATCTGATACCGCTCCTGCGCGCCGATCATGAAGAGATGAGTGAGCCATCGGTCCTCGCCTAGGTGGCACTTGCCATAGTCGAACAGGTCGTCGCACTGCTCTGTCTTGTCTGCGAAATAGTACTTGGCCATCTTGCGAAACGCTGAGAAGCGGAGAATGGTCAGAGCACCAGGAAGGCAGGTAACAGCTCCGCATCCAGACTCGACAGAGCGTTCGAACAGCTGGCCGTGAATGTACTCCATATCTTGGAGGACTGTGATGAGGGTATTCTTCTCGGTCGTAGACGTGATGACTCCAGTCATTGCAAGCATATTGTGCTTACTTCCTGGCTTGAGCTCCATCTCGTACACGAAGTTCTGAATGCAGACTTTATCGAGTATGCAATCGGAGTCGATGAAGAGCAGGAAGAGATTGTCGTTGCGGCGGAGATACTCGGCGTAGACCTTGTCGATGAGGCGGAAAGTCTTCTTCTGACAGCTTCGCTTGCCACCGTGTGGAAACCTCGACACTGTGATCCGACAGCCGTGATAGTTGACGTCGATGCTCTTCGGATATGTGTCGAGGGTCAAAGGTATTCCGAGCTTCTCGATGGTGTTGAGGTACAACTCATTCTCCTGGTCGCCATCGAAAGAGAGGAAGATATGTAGACAAGAGGCCGGGTAGTCGCATTCCACCATCGAGTCGACTGTCCTCAACAGAATGTCCGGCTCCTCATTGTAACAAGGCATGATGATGACCACCTTCGGTGCCGAGAACTCGTCCAACACAGTTTTGATCTTCCTCTGCCGTCCAACATTGTGTGTCACCAGCTGATACACACAAAACAGCCAAGGTATGGTAAGCAGCCCGGCGAACGAGTAAAAAGCGAACCACTGCAACACCTCCACCATCTCCTCCGGAAAATACTGCACGACCTGCGCCGGCAACGGCAGAGTCACCACCATAATCGGCAGGAACACGCAGCGCATCCCAATGAAGAAGATGCTGTTCAGAATGCAGAGAATTCGTATGCTCCACCTGCTTTCATCCGTGGCTTTCTGAAAAACCTTGACGAGGCAGTAGAGGAAGGCGAGAAGCCAGAGGATCCATTCGAGGAGGGCCGCTAGCATGACCGTGCCCACAATTGCGACGTAGACGATGTCTTTAACGGGCCATTGTGCGGTAATGGGTGGGACTCCATCGTCGGCTCGAGGGAAGAGCATCGCAGATGGCGTCGAGGCGCAGGAGCGAGTGTCGAGTGGTTTTAAGATCTTTTCATAAAGGTGTAAAATAATCTCGGCGGGTCGAGCAGTCCAAGGAAGGAATCCAACAGGGTCAGTCGGTCTGTCAATCAGGTGAGCAACAACAGAAACAAGAAAAAACCACGCAGCAACCTAGCCTCGAGGTCTTCGTCACCGCCCACACTGTGCGTCGTAGCGAGTGAGTGCTTTTCCAAGAATTCAGTTTCGCTGATGTGGGCGTTGTGTAACTTGAGCGACGGCAGCGGCGCGAGACGGTGGTTTGGGACTGTGTGAGCCACCGGTGCACAAGAAATACGACACGCGCGAGAGAGGGCGGGAGTGCCGTGACGACACGCCGCCTACCTACCGTGAAGAGAGAAACTTATCAGTTAATGCTTCCCATTCACCCGTTTGCTCGCTGCAGGTCCACGTGTCTGGGACAAGGGTGAGTTCGGTTCATGGCTTGGGGTGTCGCATGCACGGGATCGGGAAGGCACGAGGCACGAGGATCAGACGCAGCACAAGTCGCCTCGTCAGACTCTTCGAAATTGATTTCTCCCCAGAATCTCGACGTGTTCGCGAAGATGTTGCGCATACGGGGCTGGAGGGACGTCAAAAGTTGGACAGTAGACGTTGACTTTCACATGTCTTGGCATGGATGCAGGAACCGTTTCACACCCCTGTCCATGACATGCAGGTGGAGATGCGATATGAATATCTCAGGAACATTGAACTCAGGAACTCGTAGTGTTGTTGATCAGAGACGTAGTATTTCATTATTGGGGGCACACACACATACAGCAGATGATGGTTGGGGAAGCCCACATTATCCAAACAGCACACAGGGAGTCCCGACTCTCTCGAGCGAGCCATTGCCAGCTCAAGTCTCGCGGTAATGCATGCGTATCACATAAAGATCCTGCCTGCCCTTCGCCCACGTAGTATTTCACCCTCCCTCTGAGGCGGACATGCACATTGCATTCTCTCCCTTCCCACCAAGCTCTTCTCCGTCTTCTTCTGCCCCCTGTTCCCACTCAAAACTCGCTTGCGCGCTTCTGATTGCGGTCATGTGTCGACTCGAGATCTCCAACCTTTCAGCAAAACACAGAACAGAAAAAATTTCCTTCGAATGAGAGCGCGACGCCACGCTAAAAGACCAGCTTTTTGTGTTCTCTCCTCCGCCAAAGCAATCCATGATGTTGGAACAAGATCAAAATAACGTGGCCTGCCCTTTCAGATAAAAGCAAGCCTTCGATGGCGTACCATCGCCCATCCCAGGATGACGCCTCTGCCGCATTCGAGCTGCGCTGTCGAGCGCCTGTCACGCCGCAAACGCCCGCTTGCCGATACTGGAAACAAAATGTCAAGAAGAGATGTCGTCGTTGATGGAGCGTGGCAACCTAAAATAAAGTGGAACCCCGTAGATGATGCGCCATATGCTGGACAACGCGTATGCTGTGTCGTTATAAGATGCCTGAATCTTTGAGCGCGTTTTGGAGAATTGTTTCTTTCACGGCCGCGAAGACCAGGCGAATATTCGACGTGTCGGTCGCTTGTGTCAGACTACAAATTATCAGTATGTGGTGTGGCAGGTCAATATATGATCGACCTACTGAGGGTAAAGGTTCAGGTGTGCTCGATTGACCTGGTTGAATCTCCATAGGAGATACTTCGCGGCTCGATTGACATCGTTGCCACCTGAATAGTCCGGGAAGTAGTTCGCTAAAGGTGACTTGGACAGCTTTGCCCGGAAAAGATCGACTTTGTTCAGGAACAGGATGATAGAGGTTCTCATAAACCATCGCGAGTTGACGACAGAGTCGAAGAGGACCAGTGATTCCATCATACGGTTCTACTCGGGGTCAGACCAGCATCACTTACGCCATTGACCGTACCAACTTACCTGACTGCTCTCCTCTAGTAGGACTTGGTCGTATTCGCTGAGTGCTACGCAGAAAATGATTGAGGTCACATTCTCGAAGCAGTGTATCCACTTCTTCCGCTCGCTTCGTTGGCCGCCGACATCGAACATGCTATGTATTGTTAGTTCCGTTAAGCCGAGGAATAGAGCCAACATACTGTATGCTCAATTGGCCCATTTGGAATCTCGTTTCATAGATACCAGTCGTTTTCGTTCTCGCTCGTAGTACGTCGGCCTCTGTGGGAATGTAGTCGGGGGCCGATATCCTTGTCACTTCATCAAAGAAGCTAGGGGTTGGTCAGCCAATGGTAAAGTTATAGCCAAGCCTCGTAGACGTACTATGGCGCTGAGTCCATCAAGTAGAACTCGTTTTGGTGGTCGAAGACCTTGGGTATACATGGATCTTTCCATATACTGCCAATTGCATCGCCAACCTTGGTATCCAACGCCTGTTGCGGGTCGGGGTCAACCGTGTACTCCATGATAAAATCACAAAGGTCTCGATTCGCCGGGTCCTCGGCCTCGGTCTCGAACTGCCGCATGGCGCCAATGAGGGCCTTTGCGCAATCTATCAGGTTCTTGTAGATTGTATGTCGGTACAATGCGAGCTCGTCAACACTGTAGCCATTCTGGTGTATGATCTTCATCTGTTTGACGATTGTGCTCTTCCCGCTCTCGCCAGAGCCTACACGCACTTGTTAGCATTGCCCTCGAAGTGCACATTCCACTCCATATCCGCCTACCCAACAGTAATATCTTGCATTCTCGCCGTAGCTTCTTTGAATCTTCCTCCAGTGAGCGGTCTATCATCTGACTGCGCTTCTTCGAGTCGGGCTCGTCAGGATTGCCGCTGCTCATGCACGCGCCCATGGTGAAAGTCGGGAATGCCCGACCGCTCGAGTGAGCTCAGGCGGCTGCTGTGGCAACTCCAAACCGCTGCTGCTCCAGGCGTGGGGATTGGGGAGAGATCGGTCGTGCGCAGTGGGAACGGGTGTCTCTGGCTGATCGCGGCGGTAGGTAGGGATGGAAGGCCGCTTGCAAGCTAGGCGACGGCGCGGAATGCAGGTACTCGTGGCTTTGTCCTGGTGGTGCGGGCTGCCCGATCCAGTGAGTACCCGCCAAGCTCGAGCGAGCAGCAGCAGCAGCAGCAGGCCGCGCGCGGTGCAGGTCGAGACCAAACGAGCTGGGGATGCGTGAAGTCGACCGGGCTGCGGGCGGAGAGGGCGGTGCTGTGGTCTGGCGTGCAGAGGCGGGCGGGGAGGCAGAGGTCGTGCGTGCGTGAGTGTGGTGGTTGGGGTGGTGGAGTGGCGGAGGTGCTGCGGTGTGAACTCCACAGCGGACGGATGCGTCCAGAGCGGGTAGGTAGGTTGGGTTTGCGGTTGGTGTCGATGATGCTCCTCCGCCACGAGATGAGCGCACGGTCAAAGCAGTCGGCGTCGGCGAGCTAGCCGGTCGTCGGTCTCAGAGACACGACACACACGATGCCCGGGGCTTAGCTGGACGGGGGCGAGCAATGCAAACTCTCACGGCTGCGCTGTTGGCCTGGATGTTCGGCTCATGCACGCTTCGACGGCGAGTGTACAGGACAGGTCACGACGAGAGGGGAGACGATGCAGAGGCCGACACAAGCTCCCAGATGTTGCTGACTACTAGGTTTGCAGATCGTTCGCGTCTTGCACACACTTCACTCTCACTACTCTCGTGAGCCGATGATGGATGGGGGTAGACGCGGATGAACGGTACAGTATCACCTCCTCAGCCACAGCGCAGGCGAGCCGCGACGATAGATGCCATGCACGCGGCCGAGGGGCCCCATCTCGCATATGCGTGCAGCCTCAAGCAAGAGACCAGGACCGTCAATCTTATTCTCAGTCTGTGTGAAACCGGGAGAACTACATCTAATTTTGTTTCGGGCGGCAGGTCAGCGCGTGACATACGTCGGCATTCCGGCTGGTGAGCGCTGTCCTTTTCTTCTTCCGACCATGACGGCGTCTGCCTTCCCACCACACTCTCTACTACTTCCCCGCATACCGTAGCAATGGCATCCGGCTTGCGGCCGGGAGATCTCGACCATCCCCAAGCATATGACGCTGGCACGAGGGCCTTGGACAGTAGGGCCGATGGACCGGCTCAATACCATCCACCCTGGTCCAGCTAGTGAATCGCGCAGCTTTGCCGTATACACATCTCGCACGTGTATAGAGCACCGGCTCCCTGCCGAAGAGAGCTGGGATACCACTTTGGGCGCGCCATATCACACGTGCTGGCAGTACGTACTTGAGACTAAATAGGCGAAGAACGGAGTGACAACCTGAGGTCGTCTTCCCCAGACGTTTGAGCGAGTCAACTTCGTGTGATACGGCTGCCCGGCCTATCTGGAAGGCGTCGGCTGGAGCTCGGACAGCAGCCTTGCAAGCCGATAGTCGTTCCGCCGCGTACACTGCACACATCGGCGTGGGAGGAGAGAGAGAGACGTTCATCTTTGCTACTCACCATGACCTTGTTTGGCCTTGTTCTGGCCACGCTGCGGTTTCGAATCGGGCATTGAAAGTGGACAGCTTCGAGAATTTCGTGAAGGACTGGTGCTCAGAGCATGGCGACATTTGAAGATTGTATCGTTGTATCGTTGTAGGGCCATGGAGGTGGACGGTAGGCCTGTAGATATTGTCTGAACATCGACACTTCACGGACGACTTGAAGATCCCTTGGGCCAAGTATCTGTTTCATGCTTGTCGCTCCTGTGCTTGATCAATTGTCGGGCAGACATTGGGATATGTAACAGGTAGGCATGGCTCGATATAAGTAAGAATTGCGCGACTCTCGGACGGTTGTATTTAGGTTTGTAGCGATCGGACGGGATATGCTCACGGGGCCAGCCTGAACGAGCATCGACGCCGGAGGAGCAAGCCATGCCACACACCGCATGCATTGAACGCGTTTTCCAACGCATGTGAATTCTTCACCGCGGCCACGGGTGTGACATCACCATCCTCTTCCATGCAGAGCCGCAGATAGCGCGAGAGGTCGAGGACGTGGCAGTAGTAGTTTCGAGCAGTTAGTCGCGGCTAGTGGCAGTATGGCGGATGGGCCAGGACAGCATCTTGGGCAGCGGTAGGAAGTGTCATCAGCCACCGCGGTCACAGACGAGAGCTCGTTGTTTCTCTCCTTGGACGACTCGACGCATCGACGATCTTGACGACCACGCTACTCTGTAACCCTGCCGTCTGCTCTTTTCACGTCCGGAGACACTTCCGCTGGCTTCTGCGTCTCCCCTCTCACTCTCTACCTCTCACTCTCCAACCTAGGCCGTCAAGACGTGAATTCTTTCATCTGCCGCGCTATCACCTGCGTCTTCACGAGAGCCGCATTGCTTCGTTCCGTCATCAGGACAGGCACGAGCACGCGGTCCGCGCCGCCAACGATCGCCGATCTTCACGGGCTGCTGAACCTTTGGTGGAAGTGATTGATTGACCACCGAGTCTGCCTGTGCTTCTGCGACAACCACCACCCGACACCCACGGAGCCGCCGACACACAGCAACTGCCATCAACATTGTGCTCTTCGAGTACAGTGACAGCGCCTTCTTCTGCAGCTCAAAACTGTTTTGAAGCTCCCGCGGTTTCCAGACAGATTTGCCCCACCCTGTGGCAGCCAGCCAGCGTCCAAGCAGCAACAACCACCGCAGCTTGCACACCTACGCCGTCTTCCCACCGACACCCTCCCTACTCGCGAACCTTTCGACCCTCCGAATCACCGCTCTGCGCGCACCAACACCGTCACCATGGCAGAGTTCGTACGTGCCCAGATCTTCGGCACGACGTTCGAGATCACCAGCAGGTTCGTGGCAAGAGGCGCGGAGCCCGAGCGGCTTCTGGCACAGGACAACCACAATGAATGGACTGACAGCGATGCAGATACACCGATCTGCAACCTGTGGGAATGGGCGCATTTGGTCTTGTTTGGTATGTTGGGTAAAGTGAGGCTTTGTGGTGCTCCTGCTCACGATCCCCAGCTCCGCAAAGGACCAGCTCACCGGGCAAGCCGTGGCCGTCAAGAAGATCATGAAGCCCTTCTCCACGCCAGTCCTCTCCAAGCGCACTTACCGTGAGCTGAAGCTCTTGAAGCACCTCAAGCACGAGAACGTAAGCGCATTGACCCGAGACACTCGCTGAGCAGCAACATTGACGGCTTCACAGGTGATCAGCCTCAGCGACATCTTCATCTCCCCGCTTGAGGATATGTACGTCGGTAAGTGCACCCTGACTACAACCTTGGCTTATTCTCTTCTCACAGTTATTTTGTCACCGAATTGCTCGGCACCGACCTGCACCGGCTCCTGACCTCGCGACCGCTCGAGAAGCAATTCATTCAGTACTTCCTCTACCAGATCCTGGTGAGTCTCGATATGCGCATTGGAAGGAGGTCAGGATACTGATGAGCTCAGCGTGGCTTGAAATACGTCCACTCTGCTGGTGTAGTGCATCGCGACCTCAAGCCCTCCAACATCCTCGTCAACGAAAACTGCGACCTGAAGATTTGCGACTTCGGTCTTGCCCGTATTCAGGACCCTCAGATGACGGGATATGTCTCGACGAGATACTACCGAGCCCCCGAGATCATGCTCACATGGCAAAAGTACGACGTCGAAGTGGATATCTGGAGTGCGGGATGTATCTTTGCAGAGATGCTTGAGGGCAAGCCACTTTTTCCGGGCAAGGATCACGTCAACCAGTTCTCCATCATCACTGAGCTGCTGGGCACGCCTCCGGATGATGTTATTTCCACCATCTGCAGCGAGAACGTGAGTGCTATGGAAGGAAGGTTGACGGAGCGGGAACTGACGGATTCCGCGTAGACTCTCAGATTCGTGCAGTCCCTGCCAAAGCGCGAGCGACAACCTCTGAAGAACAAGTTCAAGAACGCTGATCCTCAAGGTTCGTTCTGATCGCGGGTAAATTCTGAAATATCACTGATGATCCACAGCTATCGAGCTCCTCGAGCGCATGCTTGTCTTCGATCCACAGAAACGCGTCAAGGCCGGCGAAGCGCTTGCAGACCCCTATCTCGCACCCTACCACGATCCGACCGACGAGCCAGAAGCTGAAGAGAAGTTCGATTGGAGTTTCAACGATGCCGATCTTCCGGTCGATACCTGGAAGATCATGATGTACGAGCAAGATGTTTTAAGATTGCAGGGGAGGATGTATACTGACAGTCGGTCTTAGGTATTCTGAAATCCTGGACTATCATAACGTGGACTCGGCGAATGGCGAGACGGGAGAGAATGGAGCGGCTCAGGCATAAGGCATCGTATTTGTTCGATTCGATGACAGGCGTTGGTGCTCAGAGAAGTTGCGACGACCACAATACCCAGATTCTCTATCTCTCGGCAAGCATCCGAGCCATCAGCTGTGGCTGGGACACTCCATCAGTATACGAATGAAGCCATGGTAGTGGGCTATGATTTGGATGCACGAGGCCGATATGTAGCTAGCGGTGCAGGCGTCAATCACGTCGCACGCAGTGGGAGGCCTAGATGCTTCATGAATAGGCAGGTCCTTTGCAAATTAGATCGAAGGAAATGCTAGATCAGTCTCATCAATTCATTCATCAGTCTTAACATGTAGGTCGTGTCGTTCGGGTAGTGGCGTGGAAATAAAGTTTCCTCGGCATTGGCTGCGCGACAGCTCCGCCATCGGTCGTTAAGCCGAGAAAGTGACACTCTTGACGTCGACTTCCTTCCCACATCAACACCAGTCCTACTGCTGTTGGACCTCACACCATGGCGGCACCTCTGCGAAATGGCTTGCTCAGGCAGGCAAATACATGTCTTCGCCAGGCACGGCCAACCACGATTCGACCACTCTCACGCGATGCGCTACGAAGACTGGCCTCCACTCTGGCCGTTCTGGAGCAACGGGAAGGCAAGCTGAACATGTCTTCACTGGCATCGATCTCGGCTGCACAGAAGCTTGGAGGCAGCATACATGGCTTTGTCGCAGGTGCCAATGGCAAGACCGTGGCAGATGAGGCGGCAAAGGTGGATGGCTTGGAGAAGGTGATCTACGTGGACAACGGAGCGTACGACAAGGGTCTGCCAGAGAACTGGGCGCCTTTACTCGTGGAGAATATCAAGAAGGGCGGCTATACGCATGTGTTTGCAGGGCATTCGGCATTTGGGAAGAATCTGTTGCCTCGAGTCGCTGCGTTACTGGATGTGCAGCAAATCTCGGATATCACGGAGATCCAGGGCGAGGATACTTTCGTCCGGCCTATCTATGCGGGAAATGCGATATTGACCGTCAAGAGCGAGGACAACCCCAAGATCATCACCGTCCGAGGTACCGCGTTCCCCGCAGGCGCCGCAGAGGGAGGGTCTGCCAGCGTTGAAGAGGGAGCAGACCCCAAGGCCGAATGTCCCACCGAATGGGTCAGCGAAGATCTGGCCAAGAGCGATCGACCGGACCTAGCTACGGCAGAGAAGGTCGTCTCCGGCGGACGAGGCTTGAAGTCGAAGGAGGAGTTTGACCGCCTTATGCCACCGCTTGCAGACGCCCTGGGAGCTGCTATTGGAGCCAGCCGAGCTGCAGTCGATTCTGGATTTGCGGACAACAGCTTGCAGGTTGGCCAGACGGGAAAGAATGTTGCACCGCAGCTTTACCTGTGCGCTGGTATCTCGGGAGCTATTCAGCATTTGGCTGGCATGAAGGACTCCAAGGTCATTGCGGCCATTAACAAGGACCCGGATGCGCCCATTTTCCAGGTCGCTGACGTTGGATTGGTTGGAGATTTATTTGAGAAGGTGCCTGAACTTACGGAGAAGTTGAAGAGTTCGTGAGAGCAGAAACGTGGAAAGATGGGCTTTGAAGCAGAAAGCCCAGGCTTCTCCCTGTTCAGCACGATGATGCGAATGTACAGCACAAGGCGTTCTAGAGACGTAGCGGTCTGGAGGTCGATTGATATGTAGAGCGAGGCGGGCAAGCAAGCTACAACAGATTTCTCGAGGCGTGAAGATCAAATGAATCATATGCATGTGGCACCAAGCCTCATCCTTTACTTTTCCTGTGCAATCTGTGGCGAGGCACGTCCCACTCGAGAAGCTTGCTGCATCCACATCCTCATAGCTATAGCATTCACGTACCTTCAATGTCTATCCTGTCGTTCTATGTGCATTTTCTCGATTCAATGTTCGCAGCAGGAGAGCCGCCAAGCCTTCTGGGACAAGAGCAGCGCATCGGTGTAAGCTCTGCTGCCAAACCACCTTTGAGAACCAGCGACTTGGGAGATCTTCTGCACGTACAACGCATGCATACCTCACTATCCAATCCATTCGCAACTTGCTCTGCATCACTTCCACACTTCTTCCACCGCCGCTTTAATTGTATAAGAAAGTCATAATACCGAAGCATGAAATCGACCGCAGAGAGCTAAGAACTCGAAATCCTCCTCCTCCTTTCGACTCTCCTCTTTCTTCGAGAACACCCCACGACCATGACCGACTCTTTCAAACCCCTCGTCTGCGTCGTCGACTTCAACCACCACCGAGGCCCCGAAGTCGAGCACTGGATCGGCGCCGAGGGCAGCGATCCCACCGCCGAGAATGACTGGCACCTCATCCCCTACATGGCCCTCCCCGATGGGGCGCACCAAAACTCAGAAGAATTCAGCTACTTCAGTCTGGTACACAAGGCGCGGGCAGGACAAGATGTGGAACCGACGTCGGTGTTTGGCATCAGCTGCATGCACCAGATCGACAGCGCGGAACTGCTGTTCCGCCCGGAAGAGGTGACGAGGAGTGCCGTGCAGAAGGCGGTGGTGGCTATCACGGACAAGCCGCAGGAGTTCAGTGCGCTGCGGGAGAAGCTGAGTGCGGTGACGAGCGCGTGGTTTGCGCAGAGGGATTTTAGGGACATTGAGATTCTTCAGGTGGGTCAGTGGTCACGCGAGCATTTTTTGACTATGCTATGCATACGAGGCTTGATGCGGTGAGAGATGCGCCAATGCTGATGCCTTTGTTGGTGTAGCGGTTTCAGGAGAGTTTGGTCAAGGAAGGGAGTAGCCATGAGGATGAGAGGGATCAGTACTTTGGCCTGTCTCTCAGGGAGTTGATTCACAAGTTCAAGTGGCAGATACTTGTGCTGTTGAAGTGCATGTTGCTGCAGAAGAAGGTCTGTACGATCCAAAGAGGAAATCTATACGGCTTCTTGGCTAACATACACATTTACAGATGCTCTTCTTCGGCTCTAATTGCGAACGAGTCTGCCAAGTCCAATTCTCTCTGATCTCGCTAATCCCAGGCCTGGTACGCAGTCTCCGCGATTGCGCAGATCCCCAGATGAATCGCTACGCGGAATCTTGCACGAGACCCGACTCTGTTCGAACTAGCGACCGAACATCCTTGCTCGCGTATGTCGGCCTGCCGCTGCAGCTTTTCGGCAAGTGCTCCATGTTCGGCCCTTACACGCCGCTACAGCAGCTCGATATGATCACGGATCTGGAGACGAAGAGCTATGTCCTTGGCAGCACTAATAGCTTGCTTTTGCAGCAGAAAGAGCGGTATTGCGATTTGTTGGTGAATTTAGACGAGGATGCCGTGACTATACTGTCACCTACGCTTAAAGCGGCGCTTTCGCTGTCAGTGGCGGATCGCCGTTGGATCGATTTCCTTACGCAGGCGGTGAACGATACGTGGGATGAGACGGATCCTTCGAGACCGAGTACGCATGGATATGCTGGGAGCGAGGAGTTCATTCGACTGCAGTTCGAAGAGTATCTGATCGCGCTGATCTCTGCAACGAAATATCACCAATATCTGGCCAACCACAGAGACGGCGATCCGAAGGCTCTACTGGCGGACGTAGAGGGAGATCCCTCTGCTGAGTTCTCAAATGCCTTTGTTGAGGCGTGGCAGCAGTCTGAGAACTACAAGTTGTGGAATCGCACGACAGATAGCCAGCTCTTCGACATCGTGGAACCTCGACATCCTTGCGCCGGCGGCTTGACGATTGAAGATGTGCAGAGACGGCTGGCGACGCAGGTAGCTGAGCTGCACCTCGATGAGCGATTCAACCAGACACGAGAAGTGGTTGGGAAGAGGCTTGCAGATGGTCGTGTCCAAGTGACGTCTGCGTTCAACAAAGTATGGGCTGACATCGAAGTGATGCGCGAGGCTCAGCGGAAACGATCTGAAGAAGCCAGAGCCGCGGCTGCTGCGAACCCTCAACCCGACAAGGGCCAGGCCAAATTCTCGAAGCCCGATCTGCAGACGGCGCAAGCAAGTGTTTCGGCGGCAAGCCAAAGAGCTGGCGCGTACTTGAGCTCGTGGGGTTCTTGGGCTGCGGAGAAGAGGAAGAGTGGACTTTGGGGAAAACCAGGTGCAGCTCCGACGATATCTGGAGCGGATGCGGACAGACCTAAGGTCACGACTGTTAGTGAGCTGTTTAATTCGACTGCTCCGAAAGCTGTGGTTGGGACGACGAGTGGTGTTGAGAAGCCTGAGAAGCAGGCGGGGATCTGAAAGGAATGAGTCTCGAAATCAGGACGTTTTCGGGACTGGATGATTCGACGTTTCTGAAGAGCGCTGGCCAACTGCGTTCGGGGGCGTCAATTGTTTACGGCCACATGAGTCCATCGCTTGGATAAGCGTCTTTGCAGGTGGTTACCGATGGTCTCGACGCTAACGACTTCTACGACATGGCACAATATGCATCAAGATACGATGACAACGGCCAAACTGGCGGGGAGGTTTTCTGAAGACATTGCGGCGGCGCTTCAGTAGCATTGTACTTTGCAACGAACTTGCCCTCTGTGTGCCACGAGCACGTCTTCGCATTCCGAACAAAGCTGCTTGACCATCTTTCTCCTATCTCCTCAAACATCTACCGCCCTCCCCTCCCTCATCGACCGATCCGCCGCCAACACAACCACCTGCGCCCTCACCGCATCCGCCCAATGCCTCTCCAAATCCACATCCCCCCAAATCGTCTCCGCCACAAACCCCTGCTCCAACGCACAAAGCTCACCATGCCCCGGCTCATCCCACATCTCCAGCACCTCATCCTCGCCCTTCCCCTCCCTCCCCACCCGATGAATCCTCACCCTCACCATCTTCGTATGCCCATCCACATCCGCACTCTCCCCACCCCCCTCCTCCCCCACAATCGACACAGCCCCCTTCGGCCCCACGACATCCTTGACGAAATACGCCGTCTCGGAAATCATAGGCCCCCAACCCGCTTCATACCACCCCACACTCCCATCCTCAAACAAAACCTGCAAATGCCCGTAATTCACCTGTCCCTCCGCCACCTCCTCCGAGAGACGAACGCCCATCCCCCGGACCTGCACGGGGCGGGAGTCGGTGATCTGCAGCATCGCGTCGATGTAGTGCACGCCGCAGTCGACGACGGGGGATGCCCCGGAGCGCAGGAGGGATTTGTGGATCGCCCAGGCGGGGCCGGTGGATTGCTGGTTGAGGTTCATGCGGAAGATGTAGGGCGGGCCGCCGAGGGTGGTGCGTGCGGTGTGGATGAATGTACGCCAGGAGGGGTGGTGCCGGAGGATGTAGCCTATGATTAATTTCTTTTTCGTTCGTCGCGCGGTGGCGATGACGGCCTCGCAGTCGGGGATGTTGGCCGCGAGGGCTTTCTCGACGAAGACGTGGCTGCCTGCTTCGAGGGCTGCGAGGGCGTAGGAGGCGTGCGTGTCGGTGTGGGTGTTTATGGAGACGAGGTCGGGGGTGTGGGATGAGAGGGCTTCTTCGAAGGAGTGGAGGAGGGGGTAGGGGGTTAGTTCTTGGGGGAGGTCTTTTGGGGACGAGCGGTTTACGAGGGCGAGGATGCGGTAGGAGGGCGAGGTGTGGTATGCGAGGGCGTGGCTGCGGCCCATTTGGCCTAGGCCGATGACGATGACGGTTAATGGGGTGGAGGGGGTTGTCGCCGCCATGGTTGTTGGTGTAGTGGTTTCGATGGGTGTGTGCTTCGATCCGGTGAGAGGGGTGTGAGATGACTTGGAGTTTATATTTTGAAAGGGCGCGTATGTTGCATTGGTGTGGTGATTTTGTCGAAGGTAACGACGTTACTTCTTCGCTCGGTCATAGCAGCCGTATGAGCGCCTAAGTGCGAGTGATATTACGTGCTATGTTGCAGTGAGGTTGAAACAGAGTTGGAGCGATGTCTAGAGACGAGAAGTTAGTCAGCGTTGCAGGTACATGCACGATATGCAGGATTCGGAGCTGGGAGTTTGGTGGTATTAGCACAAGATGGTTGCACAGGAGGTATCTCTCTATCCTGACTCTCCAGCCAACGTTGACTACTCTTACACGATGCTAATCTCATCCCCATCAGCCGGCATGCTCCACAATCTCGCTTACGAGCTTGCCGCCCTTCACTCTTGTGACAATCTGCTCTGGCAGTGGACATTCCTTGCTGTCGTCCTCTTCCTTCTCCGGTGGAAGCACAATGTTGATAGAGCTGCATTTGCTGGTGAAGACTTCAGTGTGCAAACTCTCGGCGCTCAAATATACACTAGCTCCATCGACTTGGTCCAGCATGATCGTTGGCAAGCTTCCTGTGATTTGAATGGCAAAGTTCGGGCTTTTGATGACATCCACCGAAGATATAAGGCTCTCGACCAGTACTTGTGTCCGTGGGCAGTTGTCGATTGAAATGGCATTCGCCTTTCCTTTGAGGACGATTGTGGTGTTCTTGCACTTGGTTATTAGTAGTGACTGCTGAAGGCTGACTTCAACCTCGACTGGAGCCGAAGGAGAGTCGAAGTTTTCGATGAGCCACTTGTTGCCGTCCAACTCCTTTTTCGCCTCCTTCTTGGGCGGTAATGCTGCGCTATTTTGGCGCATGCTCTGAGGCTTTGGCTTGATCTCTGGACCTGGACTCCTACTCCGGTTGATCTCGTTTGTGTCTTTGCTCGGTACCGTTGAGTTCGCTCGTAGCGAAGGGTTCTTGTGGGTCATTTGGCTTTTATCGACCTTCTTCAGGCCAGCTGTGACTGACTCGCCCCTGTTCAGCTGCTCAAATACGGCACCCATATCGCTAGGAGCTGCTTTGGGTGCACCACCGGGCGGCGCCGGAGGTGGTGGAGGTGCATTGTCGAAGTTTGGAAGCGGAGGAGGCGGTGGTGGAGGCGGCGGGCCTCCTGCTGTTGAAGGCGCTGGCGAAGCAACTCCGTTCGTACTTGGTGCCCCATCGACCTCTCGCATCGCTTGGGCTGCGTCAATTCCAGAGGCGTTCCACGTAACTCCAGCTGGAAAGTGCTTCTTGATGTATGATTGCAGCGATTGGAGAAGAGCGTAGTATGATCGGACAAATTTGACGTGTGCTTGATCGCTGGAGTGATTGTCAGTTTAATACCGGGTGAGGCTTTTCTTTGATCGTAGACGAACCCTTCCTTATAAGTTTTCAACACACGGTTGCCATACATCTGCGCACCTCCAATCATCTCCGCAACCACGTCTGCCGGCTTGCCATCCATGACAAGCCATTGCAGAGTACTGATGCCTTCTGCTACCATGGCCAAGTGCTCTTTCATTGGAGAGCCACGGTTGCTATCTTTAATGTCACCTGCGGTGCCCAAGTCTTGCTGGAGATCCTTCAGTAGGTCCATAAATGTCTGTGACTGCGGATCTGGTCGCTTTGCCTTGGTCGTAACGACCAGAAATCGTCTCTGATCCGCAAACCCCTTTGCGACCGCGGTTGCTTGCTCTTCAATCAACGGATCCAATCCTTTGCTAGCATCCACAAAAGCCTTCACTTCATTGTCCATGATGGCATCCATATCACTGATCGGTACGGGTAGAGGTTCGGCTGCGGGCTTCACGGTTGATGCGCTGTCGGTTTGGGAGATGGTAGGAAGGTCGGGTGCGCTGGATGATGGCTTGGTGCCGGCGGAGGGCGTAGCGGCTGATATGGAGCCATGGGCGCTGGATGAAGGCTCAAAGGCGGAAGAGGCAATGTCTTCTAATCGAGAAGTGGCAGCCTCGAGCCTGCGGATCAGATGTGTGAGCGCGCTGGAATCTTTGGGAGCTGTCGTGACGGGGCTGGTGTTGACACGATTTTTCTCCGACATGATAGTACTATGCAATAATAATCGCTGAGGTAAGGTAGTATAGAAAAGGGGGAATTACCGCTTGATCAAGGTCTGCATAGAGCCTACGTTAGACATTGTCAGATGGAGTGTGAGAGCTTCGTATGCGGCTCGTGACCGGGCAGCCCTTTCTTTGGTTGACAGGGCTTCAATCGACGATGTCGGACGCGTGCAGAGAGCTGTATGTCTGCGCGACGGGTGCTGCTGGGCGATGAGATGGTGGTGCAGAGGCGGTCGACAGGTGTAGTCTCTTTTCTCAGGAACAAGTCTGAGGTCGCTGCTTCAGCCAGACGGGACACTTGCACGGCTGGTTTCATAGCGCAGCGTCACACCCGGCCGCCGGACTAGCCTGCCACGCCAAAACACGACCCTAGCAACTGCCCAGCCAGACGCAAGACCTGCTCACCACAACAACGCCGTCACACCATGGCAAAGACCGGCGGCCAAGACGTCGAATTCGTCACCCTGGGCATGTTCATCATCGGTAAGGCGACGCTCGCGACATCTCTCATATCTATCTCATATCTTTAGGGTTACTGCCTGCCACTGGAAACGTGTTGAAGCACGTTCTTCCTCGATACTGACAGGACACCGTCTAGATGACATCTACCCTCCGGAGCAGTCGGACCAGAAGCCACAGCTGAATGTCATTGGAGGTGCTGGAACATACTCGGCCGTCGGCGCTCGTCTCCTCTCTCCACAAGCAAAGTCCAAGGCAGTAGGATGGATTGTAGACGCAGGCAACGATTTCCCGGCTGAACTCCACGCCACTATCGACTCCTGGAACACGAACGTTCTCATTCGAGATAGACCAGCACCTACCACCCGAGGGTGGAACGGCTACAGCGGCAACCAGCACCGAGCGTTCAAATACCTGACTGAGAAGAAGCGCCTGACAGCAGACGACCTTACTCCTGAGCTGACAAAGGCAGAGAGCTTTCACCTCATCTGTAGCCCGTTGAGATGCATCGATCAGGTCAAGGACATCTTGAAATGGCGAGAAGTGGCGCCTGGTTCTGTTCGCTTACCTCGTCCACTCATTATCTGGGAGCCTGTGCCTGATCTTGCAACTGCCGAGGAACTGGAAAATACCATAGCAGCCTTGAAATACGTCGATGTAGTCAGCCCCAACCATGAGGAGCTCGCTGCACTATTTGGGGTGTCTTCCGAAAATGGGGTTTCCAAGACCATGGTAGAGGACCTTGCAGGCCGCTTCTTGGCGAGCGGGATTGGTGAAAAAGGCGAGGGTGCAGTCGTGGTTCGCGCGGGAGCCGTAGGCTGTTTCATAGGTCATGGCACGCATGGCCGATGGTTGCCTGCTTTCCATCAAGATCCCACCAAGGTCGTTGATCCAACGGGAGGTGGCAATGGCTTTCTTGGAGGCTTCGCAGTTGGACTGGTCCGGACCAAAGACTACGTTGAGGCCGCCAGATGGGGCAGCGTAGCCGCGAGCTTCTGCATCGAACAGACTGGAGTCCCAAAGCTTGACGCCCCAACCCTCTTTGGCCAACAGCACGAGAAGTGGAACGGTGTCAACGTCTTGGAGAGGCTGTCAGACTTCACCCGGAGGACTCCTCCATGAAAGTTGTCACCATGCACGAAAATATCGAATGCCCTGGTATCATCACCTTCATCTGGACGAGACGAGACGACATTCTACGAAATCATAGACTTTGGCAACGCAGAGGCATAAACATCGATGCTGCATTTAGGCTCCCTAGAGGCTAAAGCTCGAGCTTGCATGAGCTGAGGATGGTGGTATCTGATTTGCATTAACGAGCATATCCTCTGCCCATGCACCAGGCGCGGTGAGCTGAACCTGGAATTGTTGAAAGACTTTATACAGTACTTCACTTCGATATTCACAATACTTTTTCTCTGAATTTCAGCAGGGGATCTGAGAGATATCTTCCTCGTTCCACTCGAAATGATACTGAAGTGAATGACATCTCTCCGATTCTTCACAAGTGACCACGCTTCTATTCGCATCACAGATAATCCAAACGACCTGCGAGTGATGGGGATGAATAGTATATCCTCAGGACATCAGGACATCAACGCCACAGGGCGGGGCTTGCCTTATCCGAGCACCGATAAGCCTGAGCCATCCCTGATCTGGGATCCAGCCAACGACTCTGCGTAAGCTGCCGCCTTGCACCCTCGATGCTTGCTTGCTTGCTTTGCCTCTCCTGTGATCACGTTCATGAGAACTCACTACCTGGTACCTCTCGAGTTGAGGAGTGTTGTGACATCTTGATATTCCCGCCATCTCGAAATCCCAGTCGTTGGCACCGCCTTCAACCATGCCGGCGGCCGTGGCGAAAGGTGAGTCCCGCTATCTCGGAGACTTGACGGACAGCTGCGTCTACTAGTCGGTAACGAGGCTTGGGCTTGAGAGTCGACTCCACCACAACTCGCCATGAACACGGCTAACAGGGCCGTTAACCAGGCATCATCCTATCGATTTCCATCATCACCGCACTCGGCCTCGCCGTAATCGAGAACCCTCAAGTCCAGCAATGGATCGAAGAGCAGCGACGCCGGATCGCCGAGCTGCTGAGGCAAATAGGAGAAGAGCTTGATCCTCAGAGCCGAAGGACTGCAGAAGCGTTTGCTTTTGAAGGGCAGACAGTAGCCGATGTTGAAGGTACGTCAAAATGGGCACAAGACTGCATTCGAAGTGGCGGTATAGCGCGAGAGCACGAGACATACCCATTTCTCCTACATATGCGAACAGGCAGTGGCCATCAGGGCGATTATAGGCTAATGGAGACGCAGGTCTCAAACGAGAGGCTGAAGGTAGTCGAGATGCAGCTGCTATGGCGACCGGAAGAAGCTTGTCAAGTGCCAGCACTATACGTAGGATTCCCATCAAGGGCCCCTCGGACCCAGACGAGGCAGAGGAGCGGAGGCGAAAAGGACGAGAATACCTGGCCAGGCGAAACCAGCAGATGCTTGAACTTCAGGGAAGGAGAAACGCCGACGCGAAGGCAAACGGACTGGAAACACCACCTACACCGACATTCGATGAGCTCGTTGATGCCGAAGGAAAGCTCAAGTTGACCGATGAGGCGTTGCCATCACCACCCAATGCTGAGCCACTACCTACATCACTGGAGGAGGAGATGCGGCAAGTCGAGCGCAACCTCTCGCAACCCATCATGCTTGGCGAGTCGAGCTCAAGCTTCGCAGGCCCAAGCGGTTGGCGGATGGGAGTCGAAATGGCGGACCCATTCAGCGACGAATATGCCCTTGAACGTAGTATGACCCCCAAGCCTCCAGTCCCGCCTAAGATCGAACTCGACCCACCAGTATCTGTCCCTGCCGAATTCACTCCCCAACGAGCACCCACACCTCCAATCTCTGTTCCCGGGAGCTTCTCGCCGATATCGACAGAACCGCAAAGAGAACAACCCCCCGTCAACCATGATGAACTGAGCTATGAGGAGCAGTTGGCGATTGCTCTCTCACTTTCTGAGCAAGAGAGTTCGTCCAACGCCGCCACCGTAAGGCAGACCCGCCGCGAGGAGGAAGACGACGACGCATTGCGAGCTGCCATAGCTGCAAGTCTCAAGGACATGGACGATCAGCAAGCTGCTCATGCCATTGCGTACGCTGAGCCCTCAACTCCAAGACCGATCGCTGCCCATCCTCAACCTCTTGTCGATCTTACTCCGTCAACACCCCCAGCTCAGCCGAATTGGGGAGACATTTTCGACCATCGCTTCTCGCCAGCACACGAACCATTGTCCCTGGCCCCGTCTTCAGCGCCCTCTGAAGCGTCAGATGAGTTGTATCGTCTCACTCCAGAGCTCACTCGCGCACGTCTCGCCAACTGGGACGCTCAAGTGACTCAGGCGCCTCCATCGTCAACTGGCTCAAGTCTGCCCTATGACCCTGTCCGTGATACTCAGAGCACTCCGCAGCCTGTTCAGGACTTGATGGACGCCAGCTTTTACTCCGCTCCCGATGTCGTGTCACCGCCGGCCAGCGTCAGCACCCACACTCTGGATCGTGAAACACCTCAACTCATCGACGTGAGCGAAGGCGTGCCTCACGAGAGCGCAAGAACTCCAACGTCTCGAGCCCACTCATCCTTCGGCTTCCAGACCGACTCTGACTCCGATACCTTTGCCTCCGTATCCCCATCTCAATCTCGCCCGGAGTCACGAGCACGAAGCGAGGTTTCGGGCATTGAGGTTATTGATGTAGCGGAAGACAGCGATATCGATATGCTCTCGGAAGAAGGTGATGGAGTCGCCACGCCGGACAGCTGGTCAGAGGTTGGCAGCAGGGATGCCGACAGTGATATGGAGGACCAGACGCAGGAGCAGTCTGCTCGGTTGAGCTCTTAGACCACCTCTACTCTCGACGTTTACATAGGATTGCCTCTTGTCGCCTAGGATGATTGAAATGAATGATACCTCTTTACGCTTTTCGTTGCTACTTTCATTGATGTTCGATTCAGGCACCATGATGATGTGTTGTCATGTGCAACATCCCGACAATGGACAGGTAACCTCAGGAACAGACTAAGAAACACATCGTTGCAAGGTAGATGTTGTCTGCCGTGTGCACCGAATCTAACAAGTGCTCTCATTTCTTTCCAAATCATTCCCACCATCTTCCTCATACGTCATGATGTGGGGTCAAAACGAAGTGGGCATGAAGTGAAAGTTGTCTAGCAACAACCGACAGCCGGCCGGCTAGTCAGTCAAGTAGTGACTTTAACAAAGACTTTCCTGTTCGTCCTGGATCTTGAGAACTCGGATATATACCCCTGTGCTGTCGAGAAGTGTGTGTACTGAAGGTAAGCTGACGCAGAAACAACCAAGTCGCGGGTCTTGGTGGAAGTTTGCGGGCTTGCTTGGTTGCTTGTCGGTAGCCTCATGCTTATGGAGATGGAGAGGGGGATATATATGCCCTGTTCTGCTCCCTCGATCAACAACATCTGCTGACGCGAGTGTTAAGATCAGACTGTTGTTAGGACCATGGCAAAAGGAAGCTGTGTTTGCGGCCAGTGGACCTACGAGTATGAAGGCGAGCCGGCTGGAGTAGTACGTTCCTCTTCACACTCCTTTTTGGTGACGAGTGGACTGACCGGAACAACAGGCGGTATGCCATTGCATTCCATGCCGGAAGACGGCTGGGTCGAATGGGAGTTTCAATATTCTGATTCCGAACGACAAGGTAATGTCCCGACTCACACTCCCGTAGCGGCCAGGTCGGCTGATGAGAGAGATATCCAGTTCCACAAGCTTTCCGGCGACGACTTCAAATTCGAACGGATCGGCGACTCGGGCAAAGCGGTCAAGTATCGCAACTGCGGCAACTGCGCTTGCGTTATGACGGCGAACGCGGATGCGATGCCGGGCGTGACGATTTTGAAGGGCGGGACTGTGTAAGTTTCAGGTCGTTTCTGGTTTTTTGAAGAAGTTGTTCTTGTTTGCTGATTTTTTTGGTGACTGAAGGGATGACTTTGAAGAGGATAGGAAGCATCAGCCCGTCCTCGAGGTTTATACGAAGAATCGTCCGGAGTGGTGTCATGGGTTCGGGGGTGCGCAGCAGAAGGAGACGACTTGAGAGGAGAAGGGGCTTTGGATGGGTAGTGAGGTGAAGTGGTGAGGTCGGGCGAGCATGCCAGATTTGGCGAGTTGGTTTCCAACCTTGATGGAGTGTTTAGTGATATGGCGAGGTTTTCGGGACCGAATTTCAACAGGGTTTTTTACTTGCTCGCGGAAGCAATCAGGGAGTGATAGCTTTTGCGTCTTTTCGATGAGAAGTCGTCTGGGCTTCGATGGCGTTGTATAGCAAAAAGGCTGGGAAGGCCTTGACAGAAAAGAGCCGAAAAAGTATAAAAAGGCCATAATGTGTGATTAAGAATTCGTTATGGATGTATTCCTCGCATCTCTTATCACTTTGACGAGAAGTCGACGCAGTCCATGGCTTTCCTGCTTGATTACGTGCGTTTATTAGGGAATCCAGATGTTGATATGTCGCTCTGCCTCTGGGTTGTGGCTGAGTCCGTGTGGCTCAAAGCCTTTTGCCTTCAAGGTCGCAGAAAAGCGACCGTTATCATATGCTGCTCTTGGGGAAACGAAATGTAAATGATGGGCAGCTGAAGCATTGCATGAGGGTTGAGATGGGAGGACATGTATCATTGTTGGAAGAAGAAGTCGAGGGTACTCTTTCCTACTGACTTACCCCTGAACGCGCTAAGATAGACGGTACGGCCCGTTGCTTCCATCAGCCACACCCGTGAAACGACTTCACTTGCTGCACATGCAGTCATCGAGTCCATCGCCTCCGTGAATATTTCGACTGGCTTTCTGATATTGCATTTCCCTCTGGCGTTTAGGCGAAACATATTGAGATGAACGCGGTTTCGGCAACAGCAGCTGGTCCTCATCCCGAGCCTCCTCCTTGATCATCGAGCGACTTCTCCGAACCGCCACCGATACATTCCCACTTCAAGCAAACAATAATGAATCCGGCGCAGCTGCTGAATCCAAAGGCTTTTGCGAAACAGAAGGCGAAGACGGAGAAGAATCCACGAAAACCTGGTATGTAGGCAGCAGTCTCTTTCACGTGGCGAAGTCCACTCACCAGCACTTCACTTCGCGATCAGTCGCTTCACATGCTATCACATGTTTGCGATCCGCGTCCGTGCTCAAGCTCGTCAAACGACTTTGCACACTGCGCACCATGTCGTCTTCTTCCAAACATCCACCTCTACCACCACTCTCTTGAGACTCTTTTGACACTTGCCACAACTTCTACCTCCCCATACACCCACCTCCACATCACGCTACTTCGGCGGTCGCCACGCATCCATCGATATGGAGTCGAGTGGCCCTGCTGTAGCAGCTGACCCGCGCGGCGTCACTACGACCTCGAACTCGACCGAGGAGCTGACACCAGCAGTATCATATGACCCCAAAGCACTTCTCAACCCCACGGCAAGCCGCACCCTCCAAAAGCAAGAGTCGACTCAAGATGAGGACGAAAAGCAAGAGGTGGGAACTGGCCAGATGATCGAGAAACTCCACGGTCTCACCGAACGCGAAGATGCGCCCGTCAAGAAACGCAAGGCCCAGGCACTCGACGAGGATGCAGATGACGACCAGAAGAAGAAGGCAAAAGGCACATTCCAAAACGACGGCGGCGGTTTTATGACCGAACACCTCAAGGAACAACGCAAGAAGCAGGCGGCTGAAAATCCCACCTCGAATGGCGCTGAGACTATCGACCTGACCAACGACGACGACGAAGTGCAATTCATCAAAGAGAACATCAACGAGCGTGTGTGCTTGGGTGTGCTGAACGGAGCGGCAAATGTCTTCCGAATCCCGGCGGTTTCGCAAAACGCTGAGAGGGCTTTCAGGGACCGCTGGCCTCGTATCAAAGTCACGTACGAACGTCTGTTATCCGGTAACACCATCATTCATCTTGTCGACCGGTCTGGTGCCAAGTTCGCCAACCTGGAACTGAAGCTCGCCGCTGCTCTCTGCAAATTACTGGCCGGCGCCTCCATGACCAAGTTTGAGATGAAGGTCTTCTTGGTGGATCGCGAGAAGGGTAACGAGAGGGCGGGGGATCGCGTGTCGCAGTCAATGAGAGTCGAGGTCATCTTGTATGCTCCTCTGCGAGTGGCCAAGCAGATTGGGACATTTCTTTCCCGAAGCCAGCTGTTCCTCAGCACCCCAACCGCCAACCCAAACACGCAGGTCTTCAACCCACAGGAACCAAAGCCACTCGGTGGTCCCGCAAGATCTGGGAATCAGCAGATAACAAGTGCAGGAAGTGGTGGACGCACTGTCGAACAGATTCTGCGCGAGACCAGCTCCATGTTCGACAGTCTGACCAAGGACGAGGACCTGCCCGACATGGAAGCCGACTCGAGCATCATCACCAGCCCTTTGATGGATCATCAGAAGAAGGCTCTACACTTCCTCATGGACCGGGAACGCAGTGATTACGAGGGCCAAGAGCTTCCGTCCCACTCGCTGTGGAAGTACCGAAGCAAAGACAATGGCCGTCCGTCCTGGTACCATCTCATCACGGATCAGGTCGTCTTCGAGAAGCCAAACTACCTGCAGGGCGGCATCTTAGCTGATGTAATGGGTCTTGGAAAGACCCTCAGCATCCTTGCTCTCGTTGCAGAGACCCGTGAGGCCGCACGACGGTTCCGCAGAGAGGGCCCGGAAGACAGGGATGGCCAACTCACCAACTCGAAAGCAACTCTCATCATCTGTCCCAAGTCGGTGCTTTCCAACTGGCAAGAGCAGATCCGAAACCATTCTGCTCACGGCAAGTTCAAGATCTACACCTACCACGGCACATCTCGCATTCAGGATGTAGACAAGCTGTCCAGGTTCGATGTCGTCCTGACTTCGTACAACACTGCCGCGACTGAGTTGCATGGCAAGAAGTCTGGATTGAGGGATATCAACTGGTTCAGAGTGGTGCTGGATGAGGCCCACCACATCCGCAATCCTACGACGAATGTTGCAAAGGCTTGTTGTGCCCTCAACGCCCAGCGTCGATGGGCAATGACAGGAACTCCCGTGCAGAACTCGCTGCAGGACTTGGGAGCTCTGTTCAAATTCCTCCATCTCCCTCCGTTCGACTCCTCTGTCGTCTGGTCGCAATACATTACCACGCCATTCAAGTCCGGAGACGCCAAGGTGGTCGAGCAACTTCAAATCCTGGTACGAAGCGTGACCCTGCGGCGTACCAAGAACACCATCAATCTGCCAGACAAGAAGGTCGAGCGTGTTCGGCTCAACTTCAGCGCCGATGAGAGGCGTCTGTACACGCAATTCGCCACCAAGGCTGGTCTCGAGCTTAGTGGTATTACGCAAGCAGGCGGTAGACTCAGAGGCAAGGCTTATGCCCATATCCTAAAGTCTCTCAGCCGGCTTCGCGCTATTTGCGCTCATGGCAGGGAGATGCTGCACAAGGAAGACCTGGAGGAGATTGAGGCGCGGGATGACGACGGCGTCATCATGCTGGACATTGGAGTCGAGGATGCGGAGACTGAAGAGAGCTTCGTCAGTGAGAGATCTGCCTATGACCACTTGATTACCTTCTCCGACAGCGAAGCGGATATGTGTCAGTCTTGCGGGTCCAGAATCGTCTCAAAGGAGAACGATGAGGAGGACGAGGATGCCGAGGGCGAGTCTGACTCCGAGGACGACGAAGAGGGGGGCAACGATCTCGTGGGCCACCTCACTCCATGTTTGCATCTCATCTGCACCAAGTGCACAGAGCGCTTTGAGAAGGAGGTCCAGCAAACCCTGACTAAGGACAACCACCACACTTGTCCTTACTGCACGGCACACGTCAAATTCGAGCTCTTTCCGCTGCGCAAGTCTATCTTGGAACGCATTAAAGCAGAACGCAAGGAGAACCGAGGCAAGGCGACTGGGGCGAAGTGGGACGAAGACACCTACAGCGGTCCGAGCACCAAGGTCAAAGAACTCCTTCGAGAACTACAGCAGTCCGCCGAGGAGACAGAGCAGTTACCACACGGCGAGCCACCGATCCGCTCGGTCGTGTTCAGCGGCTTTACTCAATACCTGGACCTCATCGAATACGCTCTTGACAACGCGGAGATTGGCTGCACTCGCATCGACGGCACCATGTCAGTCAAGCAGCGTTCCCAAGCTCTGCACGCGTTCAACACCGTCGATTCGGTGAGAGTGCTGCTTGTGTCCATCAAAGCTGGCGGTCAAGGTCTCAACTTCACCTCCGCCAACAAGGCGTACGTGATGGAACCGGGCTACAACCCAGCCGCCGAGCAGCAAGCCGTCGACCGCGTTCACCGTATCGGCCAGAAGAGAGACGTCACAATCAAGCACTTCATCATGGCAGATTCCATCGAGAACCACATTCTCAAACTGCAGAAGAGGAAGGAAGCCATTGCCAAGATGTCCATGGACAACAAAAAGACCCGTCCGCAGGAGGCGAAGGAGAGGATGGCTGAGCTGATGGAGCTCTTTGATCAGACCAACAACAAGAAGAAGAGATAAAGCGGTCACGATGGAGCTTGAAACGGGTCGAATACTTGAGTGTGGGTTGTAAAATAGACTAGGGAATAAGTTGAGACTGCGATACTCAAGCGGAGATTAAGTAGCGATGAAATGACGAAAAAGTATCTTGGAAAAACAAAAACCTGTGGAGCGGTCACCCTCTTTACTTCTAGCATCATCACAAGCCCAGTAGATTGAGGATGAAACTGTTCCTCCCTGGCTGCTTGCATGTCTGCAACAACGCCTTCTCTTTTGCACGAACAGATGATGTAGACCGAAGACGACTGAACAAGGAGACTGTCTCTATTTGGTCTGTTGTATCGAAGTCTTCGACCCCTGAGAATTGAGCTTTCGCTCGAACGCCCCAACACTTGCGCTTCGGTACCACAATCGCACACGAGCAGAAGAGCACCCCAATGCAAAACCCGACCCCACTCAAGGCCCACAACAGCACACCACCGCCATCATCGTCATCACTTCCCAGCCCTCTGCTGACTATAAATCGAAATCGCCCGATCGATCTGTCCGTCTGTCACCAAAAACAAATTAGCACTCTTACCATTTTCCCTCTCCCAACACCATCGATCATTGATACATACCGGTAAACTCATACATACACTCATCCGTGGAATAATCCATATAATTATGAATCGAATCCACGCCCTTCGCCCCGGGACAACTATCCTGACTGCTCGGACACCCCTGCGTCGGGGTTTTCTGCAGCGGCGTATCGTTGACGTTATCTCCAGAGCCGGAGCACGAGGTGCCTTGGAAGACATGATACAGCCCCATGAAATGCCCGACCTCGTGCACGGCCGTGTAGCCCAGATTATACTCCGTCGCGGTGCCGTTGGGCATCGAGTCGGCGAGACACATGCAGCCGTCGAGGATCAGGTCGGTGGAAGTGGGGTTCGCGACGGGGAAGTAGCAGAAGCCTAGCAGGCCGCCGGGGAGGTCGGAGGTGAAGTAGAGGTTCAGGTCGGCGTAGGTGCCGCGGCGGAGGGCGGATTTCATTTCTTGCTCCGTGGGGGAATCTTGGCCGGCGGCGGCCCAGTCGTCGTTGATGGTGAAGTTGATGGATTTGGTGAGGAAGGTGATGCCGACGGGGGCGTAGGCGTCGTTCATGACTTCCATCTGGGAGTGGGGTGAGAGTTGGCTTTGGGGGTCGATGGGTATTATGGTTGGGGACGTACCTGTTCTTGGACCATCTCCTTGGTGTACATGCTGCGCTTGGCTTTGGAGGTGACGACGTGGACGTAGGTGTTGATTTCGCGCTCGTCGACTCTGCTCACTTCTGCGACCTTGGAAAAGTATGCTTCGTTGAGCTCGACTTTGAGGGCATCGCCTGGCTCGGCGGTACCACAACGAGTGAGTCCTTCTGCGGCCGCGAGACCTGCTGCGGCTGCTGCGAAGAAGAAAGATGAGAATCTCATAATGAAAATGAAAGGAAGGGAAGGTATCTTGCAAAGAGCCGTGAAAGAGAGGCGAAAGAGCGAACGAAGCGTAGACGATGCAGGCGAAACAGTAGGACAGTCCTTACCTTCTTATACAACTCTCAATTCAGAGCCAACGGAACAATTTATCTCTGTACGACGAAGAGATAAACGACCCAAATACCAACCATCGCGTAAGACTGATCGCCTTCAGGTCTTCCCTGTGTTTGCTACCGCGCATGCAACATGTCGTGGACGCCACGAGCCAAGCGGCCGGTGCAGGAAAGCTTGTCTGTACAGCTTCACCAGTAGGATCCACGATCAGCCGTGTCGCAGAGAGATGTCCACTTAGCCTGAAGCGCACCGGTACCTTGGCTATGCAACAGGGACGGGCACGAAGAGGGCGCTGTGGCGCGTGGACTGGTCGCATACGAAGATTGAAGAGCCGCTTGGGTAAGTCCTTTCTGATTTCGGAGGGATCGATCTGGGCCTGGAGGTGATGAGTGGATAATGGCTTCGATATGCGGTTTGGACTATGTAACTAGCCAAGTTCGGTGGTCTTCGGTCTTCTCCAAAAATTCATTCGTTTGGTAACAAGCCCTGGACGTGGTGGATCTCTCATCAAGCGGACTCAATGCGGCTGCGGTTGATTCGGGTTTGTGACACGGCCACGCCTGCCGCGTGTGCCATGAAACACAACTTGACCTGTCAAACAATGGAAAACGCTGAAAGGAGATGGACGTGAGGTCGCTCTCATATACTTGATGGACGCCATCAAGGTCAGGGCTTGGAGAGTGAGTTTGAGATTGCCGTCGGATCGGATCCCCCGCCCGGTTTCTTGGCAACGGCTTGGAAGCCGACGTCTCTCTTTTCTGTGGACGTAGCTGCAGTGAGAAATGCATCGAAATGGTTGTGGTCATCCGAGAAAACATCCTGGATGAATCGTCAGGCGCCGCATGCCGTGCTACTCGGTTGCTTGCATACCGCTTGACCTCGCGGGATCTTCATGCCTCCCCCTAGGCCTCAGGACTGTTTTTCCGATATAGACTTCCCCATCAAACATGTTATATGCATGGACCCGTAATGGATTGTTTCGGGGTGTAAAAGAATAAAGCAAATTGCCTAAGGCTACAGTTCTATGTACCGAACGGACAACGTCGGTCTTGTGAGGACTCGAAGTCTACAATATCGGTCTTACGCAGACTCCAAGTAATGAGCGGACAACGTCGGTCTTATAAAGACTCGAAGTCTTTCTCGAATCTCCTCGTCAATCCTTGATCATGGCTTCGCGCATGTGACGCCTTCCAACCCATTCTGCGACAGGTAGATAGCATTCTCCACGCAGCCCCTCCAACCGGCTGGAACATTGCCACTGGTCTTCAAAACGCCGTTCACATTATCGCAGGCCCATTGATCCACAATGCCTAGGCATTGCCCTCGGAGGTTGTCAAGGAAGCCAAGCTCGCAGTTCTGATAGTCTGGCTCGTCCGGGGTGACGCCGAAGAAGTCGACTGTAAAGTCCCCGCCGTCACTTTGTTTGGTGGTGAGTTCGCCGTTGAAGACGCATGATGCACTCGTTGCCCTGGTTGCGCTCACAGCTGCGGACAGCCCGAGGACAGCAATTGCCAGAGTTGGATGCATGTTTGACTAGGTGCAAGGTGTTAGCTGGTAGAGATTCGGCGCCAGATTACAAGACGTACTGTAGGACAGGGTTTTCTGTTGCGCAAGTCTTGTAGTGTTTGTAGTGTTGATACTTCTGAATTGAGATTCGAATGAGACCTCTTGCATCTGTTGTTCTTATAGAACTACAACCCTGTACTTCTAAACTATCCGTAGGACCAATCTTAAAACACTAGGGCTAAGACCAATCTTGGAACATAACGGCTAATAAGACTAATCGCGGCTGACAAGTTATAACAGGCGCAGTCTGCTATGGTAAGTGTAGACCCTAAGTAGACTATTAATATGGGCTCGTAGCATTAGATCACAAGACTTACACAATCCCTGCTAACAGTCTTACGTTTTGAGCCAAGACTGTTTGCTTACATATTTAGTGATCCAACAGCATAAGGGCGTACTAGTACGAGCGTTAGGGCTACGTTCGCCGTACAAACTACCGTACGGCTTCTGTTAGGGTACAGGGATAGTTAGTAACAACTTGTGATCAGACTTTGTAACGGGGTCTAGTAAACGAACAGTGTGAGATAGAACAACAAGCATAAGAAGTCGTGTTCAGGCTCATCTTTGGGGATCATTCCAAAACCTGTGCAACGAAAGCTTTCTCCTAAGCCTCCATTGTTCTCTAGTAAGTCATCTGTGTTGTATTAGGACTGCTCCTAGCTAATCCCCTTGCTTCAAGTCAGCATGCATCTTCCACTAGTCATCGCGGCGTTCGGACTCGGACTGTCCGCAACTACAAGCGGATCGAACATCCGACACCAGAGCCGTAGCAAGGCGAGAAGTGCGACCTGTATCTTTACTGTCAACGGTAGCGTCGAAGACCGTAGTAGCAGGTTTAACGTCGACTTCTTTGGAGTGACTTCAGACGAGCCGGATTTTCAGAACTGTCAGCTTGGCTTCCTCGACAATCTTCGAGGGCAATGCGGCTTCGTAGAGAACTGGGGATGCGACAACAACAACGGTGTGTTCGCGACCAGCGGCAACGTATTTGAGGGGAAAGATTGCGTCGAGAACGCCATTTTCTTGTCGCAGAATGGCTTGGAAGGTGTCACGTGTCAGAAGGTGTGATGAATGGGGAAAGTGTTGGGGCTGCGGTGCCTACTTTTAAAAAAACCGGAAGTTGGAGGGAGAAATGTTGGCTTTTGATACAAATTGTTCATGCGCGGTTCGGGCTGCAAACGTAGAGGTTTGATTGCCAGAGCTCGGGGGGGGGCTCGAATACATTCGTTTTTTCGTCACGTTAACAACGGGTTGCGTGAAAGCGAGTACCTGTCAGTACTACCACCACGCGAAAGAAGACATGTTGTAAGGTCTGCCTTCGCTCCATTCTCGGGGTATGTTCTCGAAGGAAAGTTATTCTTCTGGACAGCACTTTTCCTAAATAGGAAGTTACCTTTGGCAAAAATGAGACCATGACTAAGTAGGTACTTCCCAAGCTGATTGACGAAAGTGCTTCGCGAGCGCCCCTGCAAACTCTTCAATTGTTGTCTCGTACCTCGCATGTCCTGCTATATTCGACGTCGGCAAGCACGGGATGATCCAGTCCCTCGAGTCTACTGTAATCGAGGGCAATCTGCGAGGAAGTCGATAAGTGACCACAGAAAGCTAACACCAGCTAACAGTTCAACGTCGACATGTGACGAGTCCTCAAAACCCGACTAGCAGCGACGTACAAAGAGGGCAATTCTATTGTTGCAGAGAGCGTAGCGTCAGAAGCTACAAAGGGAAACCCCTGTGCCGCAGTTCTTGCGAATTGTTTGCTCCTTCAGGCTAGCCAGCTGGCCGTATCCACCAGCTGACCAACTGTGCATGTTGTTCAAACTCGCAGATTAGGTTGAACTCAGTTTAGTCTTTTAGGTAGGCTCCATTAAGGCCTTTGCTATGACGAGTTAGGGACTGGTTTATATAGAGGTTGGGACCTCACCTCTTCCCTCTCTCCCTATACCAATTCTCCCATCACACGAATTTCCTTCACAGCAACAGAAACAATGGCAGATCTCAAACCCCTAATCGTCTGGCGCTATCACGATGGAGGACTCAGTCCCAATCCATGGAGTCAGTAGTACACCCCAAACCCATCCCATCCCAACATCCCACCGATAAACCTAACAACCTCCCCGCAGAAGTCGTCATCTTCCTCTACGAGCTCAACCTCCCCTTCGAAATGCGTGTCTTCGACCGCAGCGACCCCGACGTCCGCGAGAAGGAGCCCATGGTCTCGCTGACGCCCAATGGACGGATGCCGGTGTTGGAAGACCCGAATAATGGGATGCGGATTTGGGAGGTATGGCATGGCGCTGGGAAAGCGGATTTGTACTTGGTGTTTGGTAGGCAATGATGCTGATTTTGAGCAGTCCGGAGCAATTATCGAGTACCTTGTCGACACCTACGATAAGAGTAACAGGCTTACGTATACGTCTCCGAGGGAGAACTATCAGTTGAAGTCTTGGATGCATTTTCAGATGTCTGGGCAGGGGCCTTACTATGGGTTTGTATTCCACGATAACCAAATCGTCGCACCATACGCTGACATTCGACAACAGCCAAAGAACCTGGTTCCTTCACGTTCGTCCCCCTTCTACTTCTATCCCCTCTCCATACGCTCACTAACACCCTCCATAGCTCCACCACGAACCCCTCCCCTCCGCGCAGGAACGCTACCTGAACGAAGTCAAACGCATCCTCTCCGTCATCGACAAAGACCTCACCCGCAGCGGGCGCCAATGGCTCGTAGGCGACAAAATGACCTTCGTCGACCTCATGTTCGTCCCCTGGAACTCGCTCCTGTTGCCGTTCATGACGCCGACGGGGTTTGAGAGCGAGTGGAAGGAGAAGTACCCTAAATGCTGGGAGTGGCATCAGAGGTTGTACGGGGTGGAGAGCGTGAAGAAGGCGAAGGAGTTTGCGGAGGGGAGTGTCAAAGCCGATCCGAGTGCGACGATTGAGCTGAAGAGTGTCGAGGAGATTGAGGGGAGGTGAAGGTGATGTCGATTTTGTCCTCCTTGGAACACCTTGGGAATACTTTCATCTAATGGTGATCCATTCCGGTTCGATGCCCATGTCCAAGACTTCTCCCTCCATCATGCCGGGGATCCAAGCGGCTCCTGCGAGAAGATAGTGCTCCTCGTCGGTGTTGACCCGTCTCAAAACGTGAACGTAGTGACCGCCCTGCATGATGTAGAGGAGGTCCGCTTCTCGAATGAGGTGTGGTCCATTTCCGAAACGCTCGCGGCCCTTCTCGTCGTCGTCGTCTTCTTGCTGCAAAGTAAAAATCCTTCGTTGAGCCATGATGTTTGACTTGATTTTGCCCGCCGGCGATGACAGCTTGACTGGCGATTTACGTGTGCCATGATCAACATCATCGCCATCTGCATTGTTCGCCAGAGTGTGAAGTGCTTTCAACCCTGCGCCGGCTGCCTCCAGGCTCGGGAGTCCGAGTCCGACGTGGGTGTCTCGCCAAGTTCCGGCCGTGAGGACGTCGGCGGCGAAGTCATAGCAGTGACTATCATGGTCACCAACAAAGGACCCTTCAATTCTACCCACTACGATGTCGAGGAACCTGCTGAGAGAGGCGTACGGCTTATCTTTATCGGCATAACTCGGACTCACCGGCGAAGTCCATGCAACCTTTCCCACGATGTAGCCTTTGACGACGAGTGAGTCCGGATCAGACACAACGTCGCTGAACTCAAGCCTTCGCTCAACTGGGAAGGCACCAATAATGCGCTCACGGAAGTGACAAGTCCAACCCGCATCTCCTTGCGAATTAATGAGTTCTCCATACGCCTCGGGACGATTCCACGACACCGCCCACGAAGGGGTCTCGACTTCCAGAAGGTCGTTCGCGGAGGAATGGCAAACATTGGCGAGGAGATCATCCTCGTTCTCATGAAGCGAGGCTCTGGTACAGTCTCTGTAGACTTCCCTGACGGACTTTCGATAGTCGGTATGGAGTAAAGCAGGCAGCGATCTGAGCCGATTGACATGCTGCAGGAAACCCGTTAGGGCGAAGACGTGGTCTCGTGGATCGGTAGCCGTGGACGCTATAGCAATGCGATTGAAGTCCTGCCACCTGATGGTGTCCCTTTGCTCGGCTTGATTCAAGGCCTGGTACAATTCTAAGGCTTTACCGAGGCGTTGGAAATGCTCTCTACCAGGGCATTCCTCGAGCTGGAGGAGGCGCATGAAGCCTCCCACTGCGACGGTTACCGCATCTACCAGGTCGAATTCGCTGTTGCCCCAGATGCAGGTATTGTGCGGCGATAGCGCTGCTTCCTGGACCACCCACAGTCTTCTATCGAAAGTGTCAGCCCCAACGACGCCGCCGCTCTGTATCAATGTGCTGTACTCACGTGAACCACGGCAGAGCGAAAACGTTTCCAACACGGTCCATCCCGTCCTTGGTAAGGAAGCTCTCCTCTGCAGCCACCTCGAACACATCAGCCCCATTCTCGTAAAAAGGTTTCGCATGCCGAAACGTCTCGACAACCGCCGGCGCAACTCGATCAACATCCTCGCCCAGGTATACCAGATTCCCGATGGATCGCTGGTATACAGTACCCATCATGCCAACCTGCGAAGTCTTCTCCTCGAGGTCCGTCTGGTTGATACAAACCGCATCGATCCAGATCGTGCGTGGGCGCTCTGCCACCCTTGCCCGGCGGATGGCGTCCGAAGAGCTTTGGGGCACATTGATCGCTGTGCCATCGACGGCGATCGGTGTTTGACGTGTCGAGTCGCCCCAGCAGTAACTGATGGTCTCATATCGAGGGCGTCGGAAGGTGCCCAGGGTGGCGATGCGCAGTGAGCAGCGGAGGGGTTCGTCGAAGGCGCCAGGCTGTACCTCAAGCAACCGTATTTGACGCTTTGCAGCTATGAGCGGAGTAGCCTTGTAGATGGTCTCGGATGATAGAGTGCCGAGGGTTGTGGCCATCGCCAGAATGTCCGGATACTCGACATGGAGTGGAGCGCAAAGTTGAACTGCGACTGTGTTGATACGTTGATGCGGCTGAGAGAGGTGCGTTGTCTGCATGTACAGCTCGGAACTCCTCCTGCTCCTGCTTTGCACCGTCAAGGTCGTTAGCATGGGGCAAAATAAGCAGCTGAGCGTGCATGTGCTCCCGGCCTAGCACTCTAAACCCCGACTTAGCGGGTTTGCAGACACACCCGCCGTATTATAGTCGAGTCTGCAGAGGGCAACCCAGGCACGTTGTTAAGCTGCTTAACTGCCTATTCGGAGGCGACGAAATGAGCTTTCAACTCTCGCTTGGCTACTCCTACAGCCTCTCCGTGCATCGGAAGGAGAATCTGAAGTCCACTGTTGTTCGCTAGCCAGGGTTTGAACAAATTAGACTGTCGAACGACTAGCAAGCTTAAGTCGATTATCCGTCCAATGCACATAGAGGCTGTGGGATAAATTAGGGGTTAGTTTTAGAGGGTTAGAAGGGTTAGGAGCTGTTAGGGTTAGTATCGGACTTGTTCGACTTAATTGCGACCCCAACACCTCTGCGGAATGTGACTGTGAATAAAAGTGCGTTCGAATGTGTGTGATTCTGGTGTAAGAAGGCGGAGGTGTCCGGCGGGTGGTGTCCGATATAGTGACGACCGCATTCAAATCGAAATAGGGAGGGATCTAAAGTAGATCAGTAGATGTAGCGTTCGCTGACAGCATGTGAAAAAGAAAACAGTCAAAACCTGAAAGTCATCATCGTCCTTACTGAGGGTATCTAGGCCAATGCATCGGCAGCCCAACAAACCCCTCATCGCCCGATTCTCCATCCTAGTAATCGATATCATCAATCATCGCCTGACTGAGAGCTTCTACGACTCCCCGATCTATCGCGTCGCAGCATCGATGCCAGCCTTCGAACCCTCGCCGATATCCTGCCGCGACGACTGCTGCTGGGGCCCGGTACTCCGAAAGGTTCAAGTACTATACAGAAACACACATGTGAGCGCTCAATGTCATGCTATCCGCGGTGCTGTTACCGCGGTGTTCAATGCAAATCATCATGCTCTCCCCCAACGTCTCGTCTCTTCATCATCGACCACCGCTCGTGTCGTTGTTGTTGTTATTCATGTTGCCTCCGTTGTTGGAAGGCGGGTTGCCGCTTGGGCTGAATGCTTCGCGCATGCGAGAGAAGATACCGCCGCTCGACTCGCCTTGCCGACGACGCTCTGGCGACTCGGACACTCTGAATGGGTTGGTGCGACTGCCATCACCACCACCGCTACCACCCACACCAGACGAGTCTGCCCGCGGGAATGGGTACTCACCAGGTACACTTGGCCGGTGGTACTCGGGTGAGTGCATGTCGTGCAGTGGTGCTTGGCTTGGCTCTCGGGGCCGGTTAGTATCCGCCGACTGATCCCTTGGCATGATGCCCTGTCGACATTGAGGACAGGTATCGTGCTCTTTGAGCCATGCCTTGACGCAGTCGTGATGGAACCAGTGATCGCAGGGAAGTACAGTCACCATGCTGTCGATGGGTGCCTCGTCCATGCAGATGGAGCAGTCTGCAGTACCGCTCTCGCCCACGTCCTTCTCTCTGATCTTCCTCTTTGGGAGTGATTCGATTGCTTCTTCCGTCGCTGGTCCTGGCGCGTTGCCAGTCTGGTGCTGCTCCATGAGCTGGGTGATGATGCGGTCCAGCGCCTCCTGACTGTAGACTGCATCGCCATGCACGCCACCTGGAGGCATGCCCAGGAGCTGGAAGAGATCGCCAAGTGGCACAGGCCCCGCACCTCCTGCACCACCACCAACGCCCATGAACATCGGCCCCCCAGGATGCGCACGCATGCCCTGTCCAGGCATCGCGCCGATATTCATGAACATCTGTGCCATCATGCGCTCGATGTTGTCGGGTTGCGGGTTCATTGGTTGAGGACCGTTGGCATTGCGTGGTAGCAGGTTGGCGTTGGAAGAGGTTGTGATGGTGAAGGAATAGCCTGGTCCTTGTCCAGTGCGTGTGAAGGTGCCTCCGTTGCCAAAGGGCTGTTGGCCCTGCTGATCTCCATCTGCTCCTGGCGTACCTCGCTCTTGACCGTCGCCTTGAGGTTGTTGTGGGCGCTGTTGGCCACCCAAGAGACCTTGCAGTGCAGGCCCTATCAGATCCATCAAGCCGCCTCCCATTCCACCCATGTTCGGATTCTGCCCGTTCGGACCACCTATTCTGATGTTTCTCGTGACAGTGCCTGTGAATCGACCGCCAGGAGGTTGATCTGGCCCATTGTTGTGCCAATGGAAGTTGTCGATGTCGTCTTCGTCAGGGTCTGGTGCGTACCATTCGTGGTTTCCACCAGGGTGTTGAGGGTCTGCGGGGATGTGATCGTCGTCGTCTCTCGGGTCGTGGTCTTGCTCGATGATTTCGGTGAAGTCAGACTGACATTCAGGACATATTATGCCGTGCTCGTCTCTGTACCACTCGTTCTCGCATTGATGACAAAAGACCAGCTCTCGCTGTTGGGGCTGCTGACTGGGGTCCATGATGGATGGAGTTGCGTGTGTGAAGTGGAGGTGATTCTGTGGGCGGAGCTGCTGCTCCTATGTCGATGGCCCGAGCAGTGAAATGTGATGGTGGTGAAGTTCTAGGTGTTGAAATGCAAGCGGATTGCCCAGTCAGTTTGCTGTGCTGCGAACGTCCTTTGTCATCGGGTGGGCAGTCGGCTGTTGCCCGCGCTTGTGGAGGGGGTAAGAACGGCGGTGATTGCTGTCGGAGGTTTGTGTCGCTCGTCGTGTGGTGGACAGGTTGTCGTGTGGGCAGAGAAAGCGAGGTCGCGGGTGTTGTTGAAGTAGTGATTAATAAAAGTGCATGTGGTGGTACATGTGGTGGTGTGTCTCGCGTGAGGTCTCGAAGTCGTGAATCAGGCTCACGAAACACTGGCAGCCGACGTCATAAACCCAAACTCAAAGACCTCGTGGCGGTGCTGTGGCGCCAAAGGAGTGAGATCTCTCCCTGTCGCAAAAGGGCGTTGAGGTCTCTGAATGGAGTGAGTTGCGACAACTGAGGCAAAGATGGAGTCGCAGGAACTAGGATGTCGACACTTTGAATGGGAGATCTGGCACCGGAGCGATCGGCCTTGGATGAGTCCTCGCTGACTGCGAACATTCTGGAAGCCAGTGCTTGAGCCGAATCAACAGGCATTATTCATTCAGGCTCTATTCTGCGCTTCAATGTCAAATGAATGTTGAATTGAAAATTTGATGTAGTTGAAAGCTTTGGATCAATACTCATACTATACTAGTCGTGAAGTCTGCCCTCCAGAGCCAGCTTTCACATGCTATCCTCGTCATTCCGCAATGCAAAAGTTCAATCCTCCCATTACTTAGCCGCCTGGTGTACGGTTAGAAGCTGGATCTCCCTGAGAGAACAGGACTTCACGGTTGCTTGCCTTCCACTTGGAGAAGTATACAAGTCCAGTATCCAATCACGCGTGCGGGGGTTAGTACGTTTGTCACCTCGTCGGATGGACCTCCCTGCCCAGGAATCAAAGACAGCGCGGTGAGTAGGAGGTTAGCGATCCGAAGAAAGCTTGGGAATCAATCTCCCTTGCACCAAAATAGGCCCAGACCAAGGTGGTGAGGGTAGGGGCCAGAGTGTTGGCAAGGGGTGGGGGGAGGACTGGTTGAGATAGGAAAGTGAGGAGATGAAGTCGTAAAGCCCTTCATTGCAGGATATATCCTGTGGTCATGCTCATTATGACCAGCTAGCGCCGAACGCCACCATGCGGAACTTTCATGACTTCGAATCGTGGCAACCCTGCCGAGTATGTGTCGCGTTTACTCTTCTGGGATCTCAATCTCGCCAGACTCAATGTCGTCGGAGATTGCCTTTGGACTCCGGCCATCGACCTGGCAACCAGTAGAGAAAGCAGTGCCGAGAATCTCCTTGACGGTGCCCTTGAGGTCCTTGGCCATGGACTTGAATCGCATCGTGCGGGCAATACCAATGATCTCGTCGAGAGGAATGGACTTGGTGTGCTTGATGTTCTTCTCCTTCTTGCGGTCACGCGGGGGCTCCTTGAGGGCCTTGATGACGAGCGACGAGGCCGATGGAACGACGGAGACGGCGGCCTGACGGTTCTTGATGGTGAGGCGGACGGTCACACGGAGACCTTTCTATAGCACAAGTCAGTACTGAAATCGGGTTTAGTTGCATTTTGCGAGACGTACCCAGTCACCAGTGGCCTTGGCGATATCTTCACCGACCTTCTTGGGAGAGAGACCAAGAGGACCGATCTTGGGGGCGAGTGCAGACGAAGCACCAACCTCACCACCAGTGGCACGGAGGTGGATGACCTTCTCCTCGTTGGGGTCGAACTTTGGCGCTGGACATGATTGTGAGCAGGCGTGCGCAAATTCAGCCAGCGGCTGTAGCCAAAACCCGAGAAGGGCGATACTTACCCATGGCTAGTAGGTAAGGTAGTCTGCCTCAGCTCGATAGGTGAAGGACGAAACGAGTGGTGGGATGTTGGGCGTCTCGTTTGGTGGAGGAAGAGAGTCGGCGGGAGCGCGAGATTTCTTCAAGTTCGAGCTGTGTGCGATTCGGACGCTAGTACAGACGGACCGAGCCGCACACAAGCTTCTCCGACCCAACGCTCCATGCAGCTGGGCGGCCAGTCGAGATGGAGGTATTGGGCAGTGTCAGCGTGATCAGTCGGTCGGACTTCGTGCGTCTTGTCCATGAAACATCCAGCACCGGTCAGCTGGCATGTGTCGCCCCGGGAAGATGCCTCGAACGTCTGCTTGCTGGCCTCCTCCACCGCTTCCTTCGTGCTCACTCACAATGCTCGACCGTCGCCAAACTCTATTTGGCCCGCGGGTGGGGCCTCACATTCAAGATAGTAGCTTACCGACCAAAAGTAAACACGCTCTCGCTGAGACATCTTCCCACGACCGAAGCGCCCACCATGGCGTCCAACCCTAATTCCTCACGGCCTCCACGAGACAGTCCTCCCCGAAGTCCCACGAGTCCGTCGAGTAGCGGACCACCTTCGCGCCAAGGGACCCAATACCGACCCTCGCAGCCATCGTTACTCAGGCGCTCACACATGCCTTCTTCGTCGCCCGAGGACCGACCAGCGCAAGACATTGATATTGACCAGGACGGTGTCGAAGCGCAAGATCATGCTCCTGCAGACATCGATTTCGAGGGAGTCCGTCCACACGGAATCATTGACGAACCGAGCGATGACGAAGTGAATGCGCGGACTGCGCTGCTAAATAACATTGGCGCATCGCATCATGGTGAAGGTGAGGATGGGGGAATACATACTCGACCAAGATATGGACATGGCTACGGATCGTTTGCGAGCAGCTATGCCGGGAGTTTCGAGCACAACAGACCGAGCTTAGGTGGCCGGGTACCTACAGACATCAATACAAGCAGATCCGGTGTTGCAGATTATATGCCAGACTCAGTTACAGATGGCCTGCTTGGGCGACCGAAGAAGCGAAGTACTACGCATTGGCTTGCAGAACGCGCTGGTATTAAACATGAACGATTAATGTGAGTGAGAATACACCTCAGCAAGTATTCAGGCTGGGGATCTTGTGTCTTGACGGTCTTGAGCTAAACAGTAAACTAACAGGTACATCTACTACTACCTACCTATAACGAATTGGATACGGCAGTACCGCTGGAAATTCTTTCAAGGGGATTTCATTGCAGCATTAACCATGGCCAGCTTCTACATCCCAATGGCATTATCTTACGCAGCGAACCTGAGTCACATGCCCCCAATCAACGGTCTTTACGCCTTCGCATTCAACCCGTTCATCTACGCGTTACTTGGTACCTGTCCGCAGATGATCGTAGGACCCGAAGCAGCTGGATCGCTTCTTGTGGGCAGTGTGGTCTCGGAAGCAATCAAGGCCGGCAAGTTCGGAGACGACGACGGGATGAAAGCTGGACAGGTGGGAGGAATGGTCACTGGTCTTGCAGGAGCAATCATCTTGATCGCAGGTATTCTTCGACTCGGATTCCTGGACAGCGTACTTTCGCGACCCTTCCTGCGTGGCTTCATCAGCTCGATCGGTCTCGTCATATTCATCAACCAGCTTGTCCCGGAGATGGGATTGGATAAACAAGCTGCGCATTCGACAAGAGCTCATGGCTCGCCACTGGATTCGCTCATATTCTTGGCTGAGAATGGTCATAAAGCGCACAAACTCACCTGCGCGGTCAGTTTCGGAGCCGTTGGCATCATTCTGGTGTTACGAGAGCTCAAAAGGCAATTACAACCATTGAAGAATTTGGGATGGGTGGTATTCATACCTGACCGTTTCGTCATCGTTGTACTTTCCGCGGTCTTCGCGTGGGCCTTCGACTGGGAGAAGAAAGGCCTCGACCTTATCGGTGACATCAAGCCGCCAGAGGGCGTAAAGATGTTCGAGCCACATTTCCCATTCGACAAGGAGAATTTCAAACATGTCAGCGATGCTTTCGAGACGGCATTCATTGTGGCTCTACTGGGCTTTTTCGAGAGCTGTGTTGCAGCAAAGAGTCTTGGTGCTGGCAATGTCAAGGTTGAAAAGGTTGAAAAGAAGAATAAAGACGGGTCTGTGGAAGAGGTTGAAGAAGCTGACGGTATTCGCGGGATGGCTGTTTCGTCGAATCGAGAATTGGTGGCTTTGGGTCTTGCTAACGTTATTGGTGGCGTCTTCATGGCCATCCCAGCTTTTGGAGGCTATGGCAGAAGTAAGGTCAACGCCAGCACGGGTGGAAAGACGCCTATGAGCAGTATTCTGCTCTCTCTCATTACGGTCATCTGCACGGTGGGGTTGCTGCCTTACTTCTACTACATTCCGGTAAGTGAACATACTCATAGAACACGGAGACCAGCTCTGACATGTCGACCAACAGAAAGGCGTACTTTCAGCCATGATCACCGTCGTCTCAATCAGCCTGCTAGAAGAAGCACCGCACGACATCCGCTTCTTCTGGAAAATCGGCGGCTACATCGAACTCTTCCTCATGCTCCTAATCTTCCTCACCACCTTTTTCTGGAGCCTCCGAGGCGGCATCATCGTCGGCATCATCTTCTCCCTCGTGCGCCTCCTCCGCCACAGCACCCGCCCACGCATCCAAATCCTTGGCCGCATCCCGGGTACTCGCGAATTCGACAACGCCGAGGTCCTCGCCCAAGAAGCAGACGTCGAGCTCGTGCCCAACTGCCTCATCGTCAAGATCCCCGAGCCTTTAACGTTCGCCAACACAGGTTCGTTGAAGCACCGCCTGAGACGGCTTGAAGACCACGGCACGAACTACGCGCATCCTGCGTTACCGAGTGTTCGGAGTAAAGAACACAACAAGAACATCATCTTCGACATCCACGGCGTCACGGGCATGGACTTCGCGGCCACGCAGGTCATGTACGAGATTGTAAACGACTACATCGAGCGGGGCACCATGGTTTTCTTCTGCCGCGTGCCGTCCAAGAAATCCAACGTCTGGACCCTCTTCCACCGAGCGGGAATCGTAGAATTGTGTGGTGGGGAAGGCAACTTTTTCAAGAGCGTGGATGAAGCGCTGCGGGCGACGGAGAAGACGAGCTCGTTTGGGGATTACGCCAGTGTGGGCGCGAGCGCGGATAGTGCGAGTCAGACGGTTGTGCAGGATGATGCGGATGGTGGGAATGGGATGGCGTTTGATCAGGATGAGGGGAGTCCCGAGACGAAGAGGAGGAGGAGTAGCAGGAGGAGGAGTTCGAAGGGGAGGGTGGGGGATGAGGAGAGTGGGAGGGGTTCGTGATTGGGGCTTTTGGGGCCAGATGGTTTGGTGGTCTGGGTGGTTACGACGACAGAGAGCGAGAGATTGTATACATGCCAGTGATATATATCCGTAAAGCGAGGGGTTTTCTGGTGGGAAAGGATGGTCATGAGAGGCTGCCCACTTGGAGGGTGGGTGACTGAGGGGGAATTTATCTATTCATATTCGATTCGAAACGAGAAAAGTTCCACGTCCTCTGCGCTACCGAAGCCCTGCTAGGTGAGCATGCCATGTAAAGTCGCACTAGAAGCGCGTGGTAACATTGAAGTTCATACCAATGGATCCGTAGAAAAGAAAGTCTAATCGTCATACCTCTCTCCGCAAGTCCTCCCGTCCAACCCCATAATCCATCCATCCTCCTTCTTACACCTATCTCCTACGAAATCCCTTCCTTATCGAAGCAATGTAACCTGACTGCCACCCACAAAACCCAAATCCCATCCATCGTGAAAAGAAGAACAACAAGACCAAGAAAAGAAAAGAAAAATTCCACTTCGAAAAAAATGTCCATCACCATCATAGGCGCCGGCATCTCCTCCCTAATCCTCAGTCGCTGTCTCCTCGCTCGCTCTGCTGCCACCTCCAACTCTCTCCCTCCTCTCCTCCTCCTAGAGAAGAGCACACAGGCGGCTTTTAGGAAGAGGAATAATTATGCCATTACGCTCCATCGGAAGACTTACCGGCCTTTGCTTGAGATTCTGGGGGTTGAGGAGGAGGGGTTTGTGGGGAGGGTTGGGGTTTTTGGGGATGGGGAGGGAGATGGTGGAAGGGGAGATGGTGAGGATGGGGAGTTGAGAGTCAACCGCCGCCTGTTCGAGAATTTCCTCCTCGAGGGGGTGGACGTTCAATTCGAGAGGGAGGTTGTGGATATTTCCACGTCTACCTCGAAGGATGACGATGCTAAAGAAGGTGCGAATGGTGTGGTTGTGAAATTATCCACCGGCGAGGAGATTAAGAGTCAAGTTGTGGTTGGTGGCGATGGCGTGCACTCCATCGTCCGCAAGACATACGTATCGCCTGAGACGGAGTTTGTTATTCTGCCGTTTGTGGTGCTTAATGGGAAGAGGAGGCTGTCCTTGAAAGAATTCGAAGAGATGGGGTTTGATAGTTGGGGGGTGGTTGAGCAGCGTGTTGGGGATGCATTGTTTACCGTCTCTGTGATTGAGAGGCGGGAGGAGGATTTTGGGGTTAATTATACGTATTCGCGGGCTGTGAGGGGGGAGGGAGATGAAGGGTTTAGGCCCGGGAGGGAGGTGGCTGCGGCGGGGGAGATTCCGGAGCAGGTTTTTGGGGAGGTGGATTCTTTGAGGGGCGGGTTGGAGGGGGGGTTGAGGGGGGTTTTTGAGACGGGGAGGATGAAGGGGGATCGGTTGTTGAGTTGGTTGATGAGGGTTGTGGAGGTGGAGGAGGGGAGGTTGGTTGAGGCTGCTGAGGTATGTATTGATTGATTGAAGAGTTGCTTTGGTTGATTGCTAATTAATGTGATGCAGAAGGGTGTCGTTTTGATGGGCGATGCTGTTCATGCGGAACCTATTGTCGGTGGAGAGGGGGCGAACGTTGCTATTGAAGATGGTATGAAGCTCGCAGAGTTGCTTGCTGATGGAGGGACGGCTCAGCTGTCACGATTTTACAAGGACAGGCAAGATGGATGGGCAAGAAGCGTCAAGGAAAGCAAGGCACGCATATCTGCCATGCACGGTGTAACGAAGCCATCTCTATGAGGAGCGTGATGAACTTGGCAAGCCCGGCTTATGGAAGCAGTGCAACAATCCTACTTAATGCAGCGCGTCGAGCATCTGCATAGAACACGTCGAGAACGTTCCGACTCTCGCAGCTGTTCGGGCACTCTCGGTGCTTGAAAGTCCAACAATGCATTCCATTCGTTGGCAGACTGTCGATCAATGTTGCTCTTCCTGAAGATTGTCGCTGTTTTGCTTCGCTTTCCGGGATGTGGTCGTTTCGAGGCGGCGTTGTACCATCGTATTGCCGGAGGAATATCAACGATGACCATGTTTCACGCATGCGTTTCCATCACGTACATCCTGGTCAGCGGCACAGCAGATGCGTTGCGGCGTGCTGAGCTAATGCTTGATGATTACATGCCTTCGTCGGAGGATACTCGAAACAGCATTGCTTGCACCGGGGAAGAAAGTGCGTTGGTGAAGTGCTGGCCGGTTGGATTTCTCGTTGACGATCTGTTGGAGGATCGTCAAAGGATCGATCCATGGGTTGGATTTAGAGAGGGTTTCTTCCCTATAGGAATGATCAGAGTGATGTGTTGTTGATGGATGGAGGGAGGAACAGCTCGGATGCCTGTCAAAACCAGACCCTGCTCAAACGCTGACGGCCATGAATCGTGTCGGGTATGTCTTGCATATCGGAGACACCTCGACCCTTGTCAAGGGCATGTACGACGAAAAGTGAGTCGGGAGACGGCATGGAGCGTGACGATCAGCGAGTTGGATCGTCACGTGTGAGACGATGATGCAGAGTCAAGGTTTTCGCTGTCCAAAGATGGTGATCATGGTGATGCATTGGTAGCTGCAGCAAGGCGAGCAGACGCTGGTATGGAGGCAGGGTTTGGTGTGGTTCAGCGATGGGCCGGACTACGGTGGCCTCGCGAATAGGCCGGCAGGAAGGAAGCGAATTGGTCGCATAAGCTGTAGGTGTGCGGTAGGCGTGCTGCAGGCGTTCCAGGACGGCAGCAAAGGAAGCACAAGATGCAAGCCACTCGCTGCACGGGGTCGTTACTCATGCAGCCACGGACGGCGGCTGGCCAATGGGCAGACGGATCAGCATTTGTTGGTGGTGCAGTCCCCAGCAGCAGGCTGTGCCATGTCCGAAACGCGAACGTGTCGAGCGGCCGGCCTGCACCTCGCCGTCGCGGTTGGAGGAGCGGGTGGCAGCGGCGGTGGGCGGCGGCAGCGGTGAGGGTGTGGTGGTGGCACGAGGCCGACGACGAGTGGGCGAGCGAAAGTACGAGTGCACTGTCTGGCGCGGATGACAACGGCGTCGCGGCGTGAAGATGGAAGACTCGCACCAATCGCCAGCGGCCCTGCGCCCAATCCCTGTCGCTGCGAGGTAGTGGCAGTCTGGGGCTGAGTTTTGGCGGTTTGGCGCCGCCGCAGCACCACACGCTACGACGTTGCTGGCGTGACAGACACCTCTGCCAACTATCCACTTCGTCTGTTTCTCGCCGCTGTCCCTTGCAAAGGGCGAGCAGACTCTGCTAACGACGGCGATTGCAGGTGCAAGAGCCTCACACACCACAGCCGCATCACTTCCCCCCAGCAGGCCCGGAAACAAGGGCTCGGCGACGTAACGGAGACGCAGGCGGATCGCCCAGACATTTTGCTCACCTCCCAGCACCATCACTTCCACCACCCGTCGCCGAGGAAGGCAGCGGAGCGGACACTCGCAGCTGCAGCCTGGCAGTCAGACGGTGGGACAACGGGGGTGCGTCGATGCCAGTAACAGCCTCAGGTCCAGCGCCAGCAACCTGGTAGCCTGCGAACACAACCCACCACATTCCGACCGGCGTACAGACACCACTGCCGCGGCCTGCCACCACCCTCCCGCCAGCTCCAGCTTGCCCTTGCGTCGGCGGCGAGCCATCGTTGCTGTGTTGCCCGCTGCTGCACTCGCCCGCCCCGACAACCTCTCCTCCCGCTCTATTCACGATTGTCCGCTGCCGCCCGCCCCCAATCTTCCTCTCTAGTCTCCTCGCCCGGCTACCGGCATATCTGTGTATTCGACCTCTGCACGGTACGTCTTGAGGGGGCATCTTGAAGCAAAGCCCCGGCAGAGCACTGGTCACGCGAGCAAGATCCAGGAAACCAGAGCAGCCAGCATCTGCGCGCTACAACAGTACATGGTCGAGACGCTGCGAGAATGTCATGCGTGCTCGATGTGCAAAGCGATCGCAAAGGCATAGGCACCTATCCTCATCGGTGAGACAGCAGCCTCCTCCGCGCTCCGCCTGCGCGCTGGACCACCCTCCCGCTGAGCCACGATGACGGCCGATGTCACGTTTCCTAGCAGTATCACATCGAACACAGGTGCCTTCTTACAATCTGACCTTCGACTTCCCGACGACTCAATGCCGTTTCTCACACAGCGCTATGCTCTGCCAATCCACCATGCCAGCTTACGCAAAGACAGCGACGATGCCCTCCTCGACAGCGGCGAGCGAACCCCTCGCGCTGAGAATACCCTCCGGCGTAAGACACCAAATGGCACCTTGAACGCCGGCTATGATGGATCTGTGGATTATGCAACGCCTCCGCTGAAACATCAGCTTCTGCCCATCAGCGAGGGCAACTCATCAAGACTAGCTCAAATCCCTCTTCCGAACCCCAAGCGAACATTTGTCCAGCACCAACATCACCAAAGGCAAACATCAGGGCTAGGCGGTTGGAGTGGACAGGTCGTTTCAGGTTGGCAAGGCGGGCAATTCGGTCAACCACAGACTTCCTTCCCCGTGATGGACTCCATGCTGAATCAAGGTCTGCCAGCACAACCATGGAATGTACAGCAGTACTATGGACAGACCGTCCCCAGCGTCATCCAGCCTTCATTCACCTATCTAGGGCCTACGGCGTCAGGAGGTCAAGGCTCGGGTCCGTATGGGCCTTATTGGCATGACGGCACTTTTGTGCCCTATCGACCTGCTGCCATTCGAGATCCACGTTTCTATCATCATCCGACTAATTTCATCGGTTCACTGCCGAGCTCTCATCTTGCCCACCAGGCTCATTTGTGGCAGCAGACCACGCCCACACCAAATCCATGGACGCCATTACCAGGCATGGGTCCATACACGCCTCCAGCGTACAACTTCCCACTCGCCTCTCAGCAACCCTCTTTCGGCCCAGGTTACGGTCACGGCTCTGTTCTTCCAAACGACAACCGATTTCATCCATCAGTGCAAGACCAGGTCGCACGTCATCCAGAATCGATAGACTTCCGCCAACATGCGTTGAGTGTTGAAAATGAGTTTGGATCGACTTCTCCGAACGGACGTCAGCGTGACAAGACCTTCTCGTGGGCGTTGCAGCAGTATAGGGAACTTCTGGGATTTATCCACCACACGCGGCGCCAGCAGCAGCAAAACAGGCATGCCCATGGCCATCAGCATGTACCACAACGGCCCAGCATATACCCAAAGCCACCAAAACAGTCCGCATCTGGATCGTCAGTGCAATTGCCCAAATCGAAGACAGACACAGACCTTTTGCAAAGCAACAACGACGAAGATCCACCACTTGGCGATGCACAGGCTGAAGGGGTGCACTCTCTCGACTCCACGCCCAAGCAAAGTACCACCACTGTATGGTCACCGAGCGGAGTGCAATTCAATGACAACGAATATCAACGACGTGCATCACACGAACAGTATCGGAGGTCGCAAGACTCCACCTTTCCGATTCCGCCTTCACTGGACGTTCAGCGCACCTTGCGTCGTTCTACAGGATCTTCAGTCGCGGCCATTTTGTCACCTCTCCCACTGGACGATTCGCCGCCTTCACGAGCAGCAACGGCTCTCTCGTACATCACGAAGTTGTGTCAAGAAACAGATTGGCAGTGGATCGATGGGATGCATCTGGGTGGCTGTCTTGCGTATGGTCTTGGCAACTATCAGAAAGCGCATCGATGGTACACGAAAGTTTTGGAGAGAGATCCAAAACATCTAGAAGCTACATCTAACCTAGCAGCTACCCTACTCGCACTAGGACAACGCCAAGAGGCTGAGCAGCATTGGATGCAGGTTGTGAAAGCTGCACCGAATCACTTCGAGGCCGTCGAGCATTTGGTCGGAGTGCTATGCCACGACCACCGCAGCAAGGACGCTATCAAGGTCATTGAGCATGTGGAACGCTCACTGCGGCACCCAAAGAGTCCAGACACGCTCAAAGCGTCAGATCGACAGAGTGAATGTTCATCCTCGACAGCCAGCAGGTCCCCTTCCACTTCAGAGCAGTCGGACAAGATCTCGTACGACTTCGACGCCGAAGGCGATGGCCTTAGCAATGTGGACTGGCGAGACGCAAGTGGATCCTCCGAGCCAGGCTTCGGATCTAGTGGCTTTGCCATATCTGGTTGCGACAACGGCAGAATACTGGCACTCATCCACGCCAAAGGCAATATGCTGTATGGCTTGGGTGACAATGCTGGCGCTGCGCGAGCGTTTGAAGATGCTGTGCTCATTGCGGCTGGTAGACATCTGGAAGGTATCCAAGGCCTGGTCAAGCATATCCTGACGGTGGTATCTTCTCATCTGCAGCTTCGTTATGGGCAGCAGTCCGCTACACCCTCTGGAGAGCCTGTTCTCCTATCCCCAGATCAGGCCTTGGCAACTTCGAAGTTGTGCTTTCCCGTCCACGGTGAACTACCCGGACTTGTCCACATCGCAGGGGGCCCACAAGGTTTGGCACGCAAAGCATCCATCTCGACAACAAGTAATTCCTTGCTGTCGCTCGCGAAGATCTTCCAGGATGGCATGTCAAATGCAAATCGTTCAGCCGGCGTCCCGCCTCTCGCTCACGGAGTCCGCGACATTCTTGCGTTGTACTACCTGTCTCTGTCTTTGCAACCCAGTCCTTCGACTGCAAACAATGTGGGCATTTTGCTTGCAAGTGTGCAACAGGCCGCTGTGCCCACGAACGTCAGGCAAAAGTCCGACATACCGGGTGTTACTCCTGGCAGCGGTATTGCGCTTGCATTACAATACTACAACTACGGTCTGCAGCTCGACTCACACCATGCTCATCTCTACACGAATCTTGGCAGCTTGCTTAAGGACATTGGCCAGCTCGACGCGGCGATCAACATGTACGAGCGAGCTGTGAGGTGTGATCCGAAGTTCGACATCGCCCTGGCAAACCTAGCGAATGCCGTCAAAGACAAGGGACGAATTAGCGATGCGATTGGATACTACAAACGAGCCGTGGAGGTCAGCCCTGAGTTTGCGGAAGCTGTCTGCGGTTTGGCGAATGCCCTGAATTCGGTCTGTAGCTGGCAAGCACGAGGTGGTATTGCTGAAGAAGGTGGACGACGGGACAGATGGCACGTCGCTCCAACTGGTATGCTTCTGGATGCGAGCCAGCCGGGGGCGTCAAGTTCTGGGTGGATCAAGCGCGTTGTTGACATTGTCGAGAAACAACTAAGGGAGGGTGAGAATTGGGGTCGAGGGGCGATTACTTCTGCACTCCAAGAAGACTTGATCCAGCAATGTCTGGCTTTAGAAGGTCGACACGAAGGCACCAAGGAGCGAGGACAGGGCTTACAGAAGAGTTTGATTGAGTGGTCAGGTCATAAGTGGGAGGGAGCTCGAATCACTCGCCTGGTCGAGCGTGTCACCAGACGAATTGGTTGGCATTGGTATCGAGACACCTACGTCAAGAAGCGACAACGGACGCCCTCGAGCTACAACCGACCACAACTACCTGCGACATTGACAGTACCGACTGCGCCAACGGTTCTACCATTCCACACCTTCACTTGCCCCATGTCGGCAAAGCAGATCCGATTGATCTCGCAACGCAATGGTCTGCGAATTTCAGTATCGACGCTTCGAGCTCCGTGGTTGCCCAGGCAGGTGTACCCGCCGCCAAAACCACCTGCACAGTATCTGCGCGTGGGATACATTTCTTCCGACTTCAACAACCATCCTCTAGCTCATCTGATGCAGTCAGTCTTCGGCCTGCACGACACGAAGAGGGTCAAGGCGTACTGCTATGCGACCACAGCAAGCGATAATTCTATTCACCGTCAGCAAATCCAGAGAGAGGCACCGGCCTTTCACGATGCAAGCTCGTGGTCTGCAGAGAGGCTGGTCAATCAGATTGTTCAGGATGGAATTCACATCCTTGTCAACCTTAATGGATATACTCGTGGCGCACGCAATGAGGTCTTCGCTGCTCGACCAGCACCGATTCAAATGTCGTTCATGGGATTTGCAGGGACGCTTGGGGCAGAGTGGTGCGACTACCTCCTCGCAGACGATACTGCAGTCCCACCCGACACGCTTCGGCCTTGGAGGAGGAACATTGACGTTGAAGACCAGCTTGTGGATGAGAACAGCGGTGGCGACAACAACGACTGGGTGTATGGCGAAAACATCATCTACTGCCGCGACACATTCTTCTGCTGCGATCACAAACAGAGCGCTCCAGATGCACACGAGAAACACATTACTTGGGACGAAGAGCAGAGACGGCGGTGGCAGATGCGTAAGGAACTGTTCCCGCAGATATCGGACGACACGATCATCTTTGGGAACTTCAATCAGCTCTACAAGGTAAGTGAATGTTGTGCTTGATGATCATTGATCAAGGCTAATCGTCATGAACCAGATCGAACCGACCGCCTTCCGCACCTGGCTTCGCATCCTCGCCCGTGTGCCCAACTCAATCCTCTGGCTGCTCAGATTTCCCGATCTGGGCGAATCGCATCTGCTCGCTACAGCCAAGATGTGGGCTGGCTCAGAAGTAGCCTCGCGGGTCATTTTCACCGATGTTGCACCCAAGCACCTTCATATCTCTCGTGCAAGGATTTGTGACCTCGTCCTGGATACCGCCGAGTGCAACGCCCACACGACAGCAGCCGATGTTCTCTGGAGCGGGACACCTCTCCTGACCCTCCCACGATACCCTTACAAAATGTGCAGCCGCATGGCCGCCAGCATCCTCAAAGGCGCGCTCCCCAAGAACCCCGAAGGCGACCGCGCTGCCACGGAGCTCATCGCATCCGACGAAGAAGACTACGAAGAGAAGGCCGTGGCGCTAGGCATATCATTCTGTTACCTGGCCGGCGGCACCGGCGTTAGCCAAGGAAGGCTCAAGGAGTTGCGCAAGATGCTGTTCCACGCTCGCTGGAGCAGCGCGCTGTTCGATACCAAGCGCTGGGTGGCGGATTTGGAGGACGCATATGACGAGGCGTGGAAACGTTGGGTTTCGGGCGAAGGGGGCGATATTTGGTTGGATCAGGTGCCTCGTAAGAAGGAGGAGTAGGTCGTGGCATGGGATGTGTGTGTGAGTGTTTCTTTCGTTTGATTGAGCGGTGGCGTTTGGGAAAGGAGTTCACGTGGTCGATGGGATAAACGGGTATGGGATATTTCGGTGGGCTCGGTCGTTTTTTGAGAGTTACTTTGTTGCAGTCGCTTCGCATCGAAGAACAATACCCCCCTTGAATGTGGATTGGGAATGTGATCCACAGAGCGCTTCTTGATGATGAGAGTAATAGATAGGTAGGCTTTGAATTGGAAGGGGCCTTGCCTACTACTACAACAATGATGGAGTCTATTTTTTTCTTTCGTCCTCACACGGTGCTTCTGTCAGGTTGGAATCGAGTGATGATGAGGATAAACACGCTGGATGTATGTGCTTGAATGTCGATGGATATCCTTCCCTCCGTGCAGCCCTCGCCTCTTTCTTCTGTCGACGGGACGGGACTTCCTTTCTTCGACAAACTTACGAGGGGACATGGTCTAGACGTACACGCCCTTTACCTATATCATCACTCCGCCTAGACCCAGCAACACAGTTGCATGCATCTCTCTGGGCTGACCTCGATCGAGCACGTTGCTCTTGAGTCCATGCCTTCACAAATTGTGGATGCGGTGATGCCACACCATCGCCAGTGTAGGAGGGCCTTTGGGTTGTCTTCGGAAAGTGGGTTTGGGTTTGGAGGTTGGAGGGAAAGGAGAAGGCATGTACAAGAAAGGCCAAAGAATATGGTTGGGATTGACTGGTCTCTCGTAGGAAGAATGATCTCCTTTGGCGCTGTTGGAGGAGCTATTGAGGATGATATGCTTGGTAGGATGAGAGAGAAGAAAGGGAGATGGGCTTGCGGGCGATATTTGGTGTACGTTCAGAAGGTTCTACGCTTCGACAGAGGGAACGGCGTTGTCGTCAGGCTGCGGAAGACCTCTACAACAAGCATTGGAGATGGAACATGTCGGCCATGCCTGATCTTTGGCCAGCTTACGCTTCGACGTGGGGTTGTTATCGAAACGATACTACATGGATGATGACGAAGCAGGAAATCGTATCGTAAAGCCTTTGCATCGCATAGATCGAAGGGTCACCGATACGAAGCAGCATGGGTGATGACGATGTCGACAGGGTGCTGGTGATGAGGGCTTCAACAGCGAGGATAGGCGCTGGAGCGTCAGGCCACGATGTCTGACCCTCGGAGAGCTCACGTCTCGACAGAGAGATTGCGCTCGAAATGGGGGTGCCGTAGATGATGACGGGGTGGTCTGTCTTCTGGCGCTCGTGCGACAAGGAAAGGAGTAAGGCGTGCCCACCACGCTCGGTGCTCGAAGAGCTTATGCCTCTATAGAGGGATCATTATCGAAACGAGACCACATGTGTGATGACCACGCCAGCCCTATGGGGAAATGTCATGGCAAATATATGGGTGAAGCAAGTCAGCATCGAAACCTGCCACATGGTCGATAACGACGTCGTCTGTCCGGTCAGGGCTCTCATGGGAAGAATAGGAGCTGGAGAGTGCGTCCATCGTGTCTGACTCTCTCTCTCTCGATGGACACACGTTTCGATAACGATTTCGTTATCGAAACGATCCCACATGGTTGACGACGACGTTTTCACTTCTGCAGAGAGTATCCTCTGAGTCGAGGAGAACAAGAGTTGCAGTATAGGTCGATTGTCTGAGGTCGAGAGGGGTCTTGCTAGCTGATGAGTCGACGGTTGGAGAAATGGAGCAGATCGTGACGATGCTGCCGTGGGAAGCTCTCCTGGCGGGAAGATGGATGACAACGATGTCGGCTGGTAGTAAAGGTGAAGGGAAAGCCCTGGGCTACTGATGAACTTGCACGAGAGGCAATACAGACAGTCCATATCGCCCGGACTTCTGGACTTGAGACAGTGTCGTTGCCGGACCGGACCTGGTATCTTCCCCTTCGCCCATGCGGTCGCAACTCTGATAAGGCCCTCTACGATAGTCTTCGGAGCTGGAGCGTGTTCCCAGGTCTGGCCTCTAGGGGACGCCATGCTTCGATAGGCCCATCGCTATCGAAACGGGGGCAGCATGGATGGTGACGATGCCAGCCTTGCGGGGGGCCTCATGACAAGAGTATGAGCTACGGACGGGGTGTTCAGCAGGCCAGGCCTAGAGGAGACAACGCTGAATATAACATTGAACACTTTGATCAGAGTGGGAGGGGTTTTCCCGACTTTGTTCGAAAGCCATCTCGGATCAAGGACAGTCGTACGCGTTCCATCTTGGGTAAACCGACGAAGTCGATAGATCGATGGTTATCGAGTTGATACGACATGGATGATGACGATGTCGTCGGTTCTGCAAAGAGCTCATGACTCTGATGTGCCGAAACGTGGTGCTGGAGCGAAGGAGTTTGCAGACGTTGTCTCAAGAATAGCACCGCATCGGAGGTCGAGCGTCATTTTCCTCGTCTTTACCATAGGCTCTATCTTCCAGTTCAGTAGTTTGACTTTTGCAAAGACGTCGAGTCGGATTGAAACAGACGACGCAAAACCTTTGCGCTCGAAGGCACACGCAAGACCCGCTTCGTATACTCCGGCAGACATACGAGCTTTGCCAACGATGCAAGGCCCGGCATATTGATCGGAAAAATGCCCACACAGCCTGGGGCGCCGAGCACGATGACGCTGCAGTCCCATCCATCGAAGCGAACACGCGAGACGACATCAAGCCGAACGAAGACGGGCAAACGTCGCTGCAGACAAGGGTTTGGTATAGTAGTGCGAGATTCGAGATTCAGTGATTATGCGTGACGCAAAGACCGGGTTCGATGCAAGTTCGCCTGCAGCGCTGCGATGTCGTTGGCCGCGGGGAGGATCTCAAATACATCCTGGTATATGGTGGGAGGCCGCTTTGGTATTGGGATTCGGATCCCTGGAGGTAGCGGAGGCGATTGATGATGCGATGCTCGATGACTTTCTTCATTGCACGGCAGAATGCTGTGACACCTCACCCATACTCACATGAAGGATATGTATGCGTGTGCATGGTCTTCTTCGAGATGTGAAGAATGGGTTTGTACTGTGATCTGCTTTTGCGGAGTCTTTCTCGGAGAATGGTGATGATATTGCAACACAGTCGACATATTGAAACTCGCTTCTCGAAAGGATTGAAGGGCCTGTACAAGATCTTTCTTTCTCGTGTCTTCTTCACCGACTCGTGTCGTTACGCCAATGACATGACGTTCAAGGCCGTTGGCGTTGGCGGTACTCCACACGCTGGGCCGCTGCACGAACGGCGAGCCGCTGCAACAGCGTGCGTTGAGCAAGGCAGGAAAGCGCCGCCGCCCGTTTGTTGTGAATGGTCGAGGAGTTGTTCACTACTGCTAGCTACGATCGTAGCGATGCAGCGGCTGCAGCAAGCTCGTCGACGACAAGCAGACCGAACGCAGTCCGGTAACACCAAGCATACACACCGGGGGTGCCACTGGAGCCAAGGGGCACGAAAAGTGGCATTTACAGTTTGCCAGTGCAGCGAGCTGGAAAGCTTTCCACGAGGCACGATTGTGCATCGTTGCCAGAAGCGCGTATGGGCACAGGCGCTAAGGTGGAAGGGCATGCATCGCACTGGGAGCGGCCCGAGTCACTTCGCCTGTTGCGTTTTCAACAAGAAGATCGATTTGTGACGAGGCAGGATGGATATAGAAACAGCACGAGTGATATCGACGCCGGCATCATGACGCCTCCCTTCACTCAATCAATATAAGCTTGTGTCGCCCGCGCGTGGCAGACAGAGTGCGGTGGTAAAAATACAGCAGCCTCAGGCCAATCAGGGAATTCAGGACAGGGAACACAGGCCGAGCTCAATATCCCGGGTCAGTGGTGCCTTTTCACAACCACCCTGACCCCAGCTCGGTGGTCGTGCAGCGTGCATCTCTCACATCTTTTTCGCGTTCGTGATCCGATCTCACAATTTATCCGTGCGGATGGAGAGTTTTCGCTAATTTCTGCTCGAGTTGGCATGGTCGCCGGCGTGCATCTGTCTGACGCAGCGGCGGGTGGTCGATCTGCCGGTTAAGAGCCTGCAGGAGGCTGCAAGGTTGTAGATGGATTTGTAGTCGTGTGTTGTTTGCCTTGAAGCTCACCGTGACTACTGCGAGAAGAACGAGTCGGAATGTTTGGCTGCTGTTCGAGCTGGTTACGCAGCGTCAGAATCAGGCGAACCGGTTTGCTTTTCACAACAAACAAACCGCAAGGAATGGGCGCGCAGGCGCGTCCAGAGTCCAGACGGGCATGTTTTTGTACATCAGGAGGCATACTTCGGAATGTTTCACACGGCAAGTTCGGTCGAGACAGGAGGTTTCTCCCCTCCTTTTGCGGCGGCTCCACCGTCACCGCTGAGTCGTTGGCAACCGACCGACGGGTGAACAACGCTCCTCTGTTCTGTGTCTGTGTCTCATCATCACGAGCCTCACAGAGATCCCCTCCGGGCGCTCGTTCCCAGGCGTGAACTTTCCGCCGGCGTTCGCCCCGGCTACTGGGAGCTGCTAAACCGCTTTTCAACATTGCACCAAGCTTCTTTGTGTGCGATGCAGCGACCAGGGTTTGTGCTTAGCTCCCGCCGGCCGCACGTCTCTCGCCAACCACATTTGGCAAGCATCTGCTCTTCCAGATCCACTGCTACTCTGTCCACGACGCTTGTTGCTTGTTGCTTGCCTGTGCGGCGCGGTGCAGCTGCGAGGATGTGATGAGTCGAGTCAGCGGGCAGTCTGTGCAGGCGCTGACACCCGGCCACGAAGGCGAGTCGAGGTGCTACCGGTTCCCGTCGCCCATGGCTCTGGCAAAAGGCAACGACGAGGTGTTCGCTGTTCTTCGCCTGTCGCCAAGCCGAAGGATCCAGAAGCGCGAGAAGCTGAGGGATAGAGAGATGCTGTGGAAAGACGCGGTCGAATCGAGCAGACCACGGCTGATCTCCATCACGTTTTTGAGGCTCTCCTGCTGCTTTCAGAGGGCCTCAGCTATCTTGAGCCTCGATGGCTTGCACTTGCACAGGAGCCGAAATGAGATGCACCGCCACGAGCAGGCGGCTTGAAACATGGCATCGCAAACAAACGCTCTAAAAATGCATCTCAGGAACAAGGTTGGACGGTAGCCTCCCGCTCCCGTGCCTTGTCTGCTGCGACGATTGCGATGCCATCACTCACACATGCTCGGCAGGGTTCACCGTTCTTTCGAGCAGCAACAACGTTGAACGGTCTGTGGCGGGGACCATGGTTGAGAGGCGCGAGTCCCGGCGTCTACGCACAAGAACGACCAGAGAACACGGCAGATGTCTGAACCGTGACAGGGGACCAGCTGTATATGACGGTCGTGATCAGTACGTCCGTGGATGGTGGTAGGCGTTCTCAGCAACAACAACAGCAGCATCGCGCAACCGACAATCTTGTCCTCGAGTGATCGACGACGACGGTTAGCCGATAGATTGTGGTCAGCGATTGATCCGAGACAGACCCGTGATGGTCACGTTGCCGCTGCAGCGCTGAGAAACACCCCTGGCGAAGGAAGTTCACACCGCGATGCACCGCGAATCCATCGCCCGCCTGTACCCGCATGGGAGGCCCTGCTCGCAGAACCCCCCACCCCCTGTACGAATCTACCTCCAGGCTGGATCTTGGGGCCGGTGTCGATGACCAAACTGCTGGTTGGGGCCATGCCACCGCCCGTGGTCGATGGGCACAAGATCTGGGGCTCGCCAGTTTGAACAGTAGTGCGATGGGCATTCATCTCATAACAGCTTCCAGTGTACGTTGCAGTCGTCGAGTCTGCGCTGTGCCGGCGCTCCCTCCTCGCCTGCACACAAAACCTGTAGATGCGCCCGCCTCCAGAGCCTGCCCCTCTCTATCCCCACCCGCCAGAACTAACTTTCTGCTGGCCGCTGTGACGCTTGTTCTCTCTTTTAGCTCTGCTCTTCCCGAAAGTCTACGTAAACCTAATTCTAATTACCTAGTTGTTCGACTACGCCCAATTCAGCCTTGGAGCTCTTGCGGCAGTTATACATATTCCCACACTCGGACTCGTCTTGACACCAGCAAACGTCTCGAGTCCGTTCTGCAACATCACCGCTTCTCGCAACTACTACAACGGCTGTCACTGACTGACACTGCCTCACACTCTACACTACAGGTCAGTCTCAAACGCCCTAGCAACGACGACATCGATCGAACGATGCTTGCCGTTGCTGTTGCTCGAGACCATTGCTAACAGCTCTAACAGCTTCGTTGTTCGAGACAAAGAACACTTTCACAATCATTATGCCTCAGCACAAACGCGGGCCTTGGAGCCAACAAGAGGACCAGCTCCTCCTCCACCTAGTTACTGTCCATGGAGCCCACAACTGGGTCAGGATATCGACAGCCATTCAAACTCGATCCCCAAAGCAATGCCGAGAGCGATATCACCAGAACCTCAAGCCCAACCTCAACCATGACCCCATCACTTCAGAGGAAGGTGTCATGATCGAGCAGATGGTTGCCGAGATGGGCAAGCGATGGGCTGAGATTGCCAGACGTCTGCGAGGACGCAGCGACAACGCAGTCAAGAATTGGTGGAATGGTGGCATGAACCGGAGACGCCGCAACAACCAGCAACGCCGAGTCGAATTCGAGACCCGTCCTCAACCACAGCAAGGCCACCCTCAGATGCATGCTATGCAACACTCGATGCTACATCAGCAACCTCTCCCACCGGCATTTCAACACCACCACCCAGTGATGCCACAGCACTACTTTGCCCAGCAAATGTACCCAACCCACGGCCACCCACACCACATCCAAGTCCCACAGAACATGGCTGCGTTCGGTCGTATGATGGACACACCTCTTCCATCCCCATCCGCCTTCTCCCAACTCTCAGCAGAAGGCGCCCCCTCGCTCATCTCAGACTGCTCCTCCATCTCTGCCCGATCCCCACACACCGGCCCATCTCCAATCGAGCTCCCACCCCTCGCTGGCGCCCGTGACGAACGTCGCCGCTCCTCAGCCCCCATGCTTCGCCTCGGAGTCCCAGGCTCCTTCGTTCAAGACACCGACTTCTCCACCATGCAAATGCACAACGGCTACGAAGACATGGGCCACATGCGGAAGACCGCCCCCATGCTCCAGGAGCCCTTCATGCCCCAACAACAGTCCCTACCGACCCCAACCGCGTATCTCCCTTCGCAACCACGCCAGCCTTCGCCACTGCACCAGTCTCATCAGATCCCGCAGGGCTACGCCATGCCCGTTCAGCAACATCACCACCACCACCACCACCAGCAACAGCAACAGCAGTTGCACCGACGACACTCGGCGTACCCCATGCCATCCGCCGTGCCTTCCACCCCAGCCAACATGCAACTCCCAAGCATTTCCGGGCACGAGAAGCCCTCCATCACCGTCGACCCGGGTCTCGCCACGCCGATTCCTTCCGCTCCCACGCCGGATGGCTCGCCGCGGGATAAGATGAGTCTTTCGAATCTTACTCATTAGAGAGACGCCATCTCTGCTTTTTGACGACAGACAAGACGATACAGTTCGTTCTTTCTTTTTTTAATGTACATATTCTTTTTTTAATCACCTTTCTAGCGGCTGGCTTGGATGAGAAGTCTAGGGGTGGCGGGCGTTGTTTGAGTGGACTATACCCCTACTGTTTTGTTTGCGTTTTTGCATGAGTGAGCGTTCTAGCATGAGGGATGGGGATGGGAACATGGTAGAAGGGGAGATGGGAGGCAAAGCCATCAGAGCTACTTTTCAGCATTGTTCATAGTCGCAGAGAGAGATGCCAGAAGAAACCAGAATTCAGAGAAACTCATAATACCTTACCTTGATCACTGCTTTCTTCTCTCATTCTCGCCTTCGGGCTCTGCGGATGATTCCAACACCTTCTCTTTCTCCTGCTGCCTACCTGGCCCAGGATTCCCCATCTGACGCCGTGAACACTTCCCTCCACCTCGTAGAATACCCACTTCGTATTCCTTCCTAACACAACGGCTGTCATCACCAAGTCCAGAAAGACCCAACGCACTCCACAGACCTGCATGATGCATCGTACGGAGATTGCACGTTGCTATGCATAGCATTTCATCCACGTCGAGATACACTCGCAACGGAACAAACCTTAAACCAACTGTTGAGTAAGACATCGTGCTAGCCCGATCTTGCAGATGATGCGCAAACGGCCGGACAAGCGCACCGATCGGCGGTTTTCTCGCGTCTGCTGTGTTTTCCCGTTTCACATGGCCTCGCGCGCACTCGCTCGGTGTCGATCCGCCAAGACGGGAGAGCGACGACGAGGACGAGTTGATCGTTAACGGCTTTTTCCCTCTCTCAACGCTCAGGGGAGCGGTTCGCTGGAGCGGTTTAGTGCAGGTCGCGCGCGCCCCCAAAGCGGCCGATCGCGGTTCCCCTAAAGGCAAGTCGGGAAATTAGCTGGACGCCAGATTCGGCCGGTGCAGGATGCACGTTTTGGGGCGTGTGGCTGTCGCTGTTGGCCGTTTCTGCGCTTCTCTTCAGGGCTGACGTGACGTTGGGTGTCGTTATGGAGATCGCTGAAGATGACAACGGTGGACGGTTGCGGTGGTGGTGGTGGGTTTTGCGGGTGAGAACGGGGGACGTTCTGTTCTGGAGTCGGGACGATTCGGTGTGGAGGGGGAGCTGTTTTGACGGTCATGTGATTTTGAGGACGGCGAGATGCTGCGTCCTTTCTCTCTCCTTCATGATTCATTTGACCCAGGCGCTGTGGCTACTCAGATGGCGTAGCTATTGTCGACTATTGGGAGAGCTGCGCCTTGTGCTATTCTCCGGGATTGTGTGGCATGAATCGTCGGCCGGAGGCGTTTGCCACGCGCCAGCATCGTGTGTGGTGGAATGCTCTGTGCGTTCCAGCCAGAACGTGGGAATTTCAAATAGCAGTGGGCGACCACGAGATGACGGGGAATCGCTGTGTAGCGGAGTCAGAGACAAATGTATTGCAGGAAACAAGCAGTGTCGTTGGGATAGAGTCTGATGCGAGCATGGATGCAGGGAAGAGGCTTTTTCTGATTGGCCGGGATGGCCGGCGTCGACTTCCTCGACGACACCTCATGCTCACCAAAACATCTCCTGTCACTGCATTGTACATATCCCTCTTCATCACTGTATTCTCTCAATCTTGGCACTTCATCATGAGAGAGGGCAGTCTCCCGGTTCAATGACATATCCGCCGCGTTTGAGCAGTGTCGCAGAGGACGCATGTCATACTACAACCCAGATCCTGCTGCGATAATTGCACAGCAGCAGGATGAGCGTTTTGTGACCTTTCTGGTGCGCAACGGACACACGTGGGTTGACTCGCTGCATCGATCCCGTCCGCTAACACTAGCAACAGTCGCAAAGGGACACGTCCCTTCAGATCCCGGTACGACGTACATGCCCACTGAATAAGACATCACCGCCGCTGACCTCTTCGTGCATCTCAGGTCAACTATGTAACTTATCCCGGCGTTGTATTGACAGCGGCATGTTTCGCCCATGGCCGTTATGAGGAGACTGCAGCGGCGAAGTGCTTCTCCAACCTTCTGGCGACTGGATTTCGAAGGCTTGAAGCAGATGTATTCTGGGACGTGAGCCGCAGTGTCTGGAGTCTATGTCCGGTCGAGCTAGGTACGGCGGATGGACCTCTCTCGACGTCAGTCAGCGAAGCATCGACACCTTTCCAGACGGCCACGCAGCTGGCCAGCGACCTGTTGACGAATAATGGAGATGCCAAACGAGCTGCCCCGACTCCGCTGCGTGCTGTCGAGAGGCAAAACAGCGATGTGTTGTTGGCGCCGAGCTTCAGCACAAGAAGTGCCAGCACTCCCAGTATCACGACTACAGTGACTCTGGACGCGCCCCTCATTCCGACTTCCTTACCCACCTACAGTCGTGCGCCGGATCCAGTAACCAGCGATGTTACCATGATCCAAGCCGGGCCGTACTCCTGCACTCTGGGCGCGGATCTTGCGCTGCTTGTTCAGGTGCTGTCAGAACATCTCGACAGCACCGAGACTAATCTGAATGCGTCTACAAACATGCTCACACTGAACATTCATGCTGCTGCATCTCCCAATGATCCAGCTGGAAGTGCGCAGGCACCTTCAGACGATCAGATGCCTGATTCAGGGTCATTGCTGAGCTCTGTCATAGCGAGCAACACGTCAGTATACATGGTAAGAGTTATGAGAGCCTGTCATGTTGTTGCTTTTTGTTGTCCTCAGGGCCTGTATCTCTATACGATACACTACGAATTATCGGACATTGAACTAATTTTGCTCATAGTATACACCTGACGAACTCGAGTCACAGCGATCAGATCTGAACAACTCGAAAAGTTGGTTTGCCGTCCTGCCTGAGTACCAGCCAGCAGCCATTTACTTTCAAGTTGATACGAACAGAGGTCAAGTGTACACACCAAACGGCTGGCCGAGCGAAGCATACATCGAAATGCAGCAAGCCAAGCGTCTTCTCGTGGGGTTCGGGGAAATTGATCCACAGATGAGCGGCTACAACTTCACTGGAGACGAAGGCCTTATTTTCTCGCAAAACTACATCGACGAGTCACGCGTCGTCACCTTTGGAAGCAATAACGACATTGAGACTGGCTGCTTTTTCGACCCCAATGTGACTTCTCTGGCCAGAACGAACAATTCCTGGGCCCTCACAGCTCTGGGCAACGGTACGGCACCCACTGGAGCAGCCTTGACCTCAATGCTATTGCAAGCTCGAAACCTTACTTCTTGCGGCATCTCGACCATTATCAATGGCACCCTGAACAATGCCACAGCGGATGAAAACTTCGAAGCATATGCAGCGTTCGTGAATGCCACTGTATGGACCTGGGCGCCTCGTCAACCAGTGAATAGCTCGGCTTCAAATGAGTACTCGAACTACCGCTGTGCTGCACTGAACGCAACATCAGGATACTGGCAGGCCGAGGACTGCGGCAGTTCACTTTACGGCGCATGCAGAATAGGTGATGAGCCCTACCGCTGGCAGATCAGCGACGCAAACACGCCATATGATCGGGTCGATCTGGGTTGCGAAGGAAACTCCAGTTTCGACGTACCACGCACAGCACTCGAAAACACCTATCTACTATCCGCATGGAGAGACTTCAGGTCCGACGACAGTGATAATGATGGAGGCGCTCTACTCTGGCTGGACTTGAACGACTTGGACGTCACGTCTTGCTGGGTCATCGGCCAAAACACGACTTGCCCGTACGATGGCCCGCCCTCGACTAGTACTCGAGAGATTGCGGTTCCTGTCGTTGGTGGTGTCATCGTCTTGGTTCTGGCGGTTCTCACGGTTCTGGTGAAATGTGCCGGAAACAGGCAGAAGTCGAAACGACGAAGGAGGAGGGGAGATGGTGGGTGGGATTATGAAGGCGTGCCATCGTGATCGGACACATCGAAGGCGCATTACAGACCATGGCCTTGAGCAGGAAGGACTATGCCGACTGCTTTTGGGACCGGCCACGAAAAGCACAAGATGCCGGGATCAGCTCTCGACGACGTCGCATCCGCGAATGGACAGCTCCCTCATCAAGTGGGCTCTCTAGGCGTCGACGATCATGTATTGATTGGGAACGAGCCGATATACTAAAGAACATACCGTTTGCAACAACGCTACCCGATATCGTATACTGCGGGCATCGTCCAGCGCCAACCGAATATCCAGGCTTTGCACAAACTTGCCGGAAAGTACATGTGCAGCTGCGTGGACGGACATCCGCGATCAACAGTTAGTGGTCTCTCGCTTGCCGTAGCGGGCATACCACATCTATGACCTCTCTGCAATGGCTACCCTGCCTCTGCAAGAGGCGAAGAAAAGCATTCGCAATAGCGCTAGATGATTCCACTAAATACATTACAGGTTCTTGCAGCCGCCTAGCCTGCGCGAACAGATTTGACTGGGTGAATCGGTTTAGACTTGATGTATGTTGCACCCGGAAAAGGTTTCCGCCACACTGACAGGCTGCCATTTCCGGAGAAATGCCACTGACGTGCAGGTGTAACCCCTGGCGTTGGTATTGCGCTGCATCTGCTTGCAGGAAGTGTCTTGTTCCTGGCACTGTATTGACGACCTCGCATCAGCCGCCTCCACGATGGGTCCTGCGAAGATCTTTGGAGCAGGCATATCGGTTGCCCTGCTGGCCACCGCGAGCCCAATAGCGCAGAGCCTCCCAGACCAGGGTACTATTGGCGGTATCCTCAATCCCATTGGCAACGTCATTTCGAACTTGACCGCTCCGATCAACAATGAGGTATTGCCAGGCGTTACGTTCCTTCTGTCCAACTTCACGGCTACGACGTACACGGGCACTGCCACGAGCTGTGATATGAATGCTGCAGACGAGTACTCTACGACGTCTCCAGAGGCCGTGGGCATTGACTCTCACAAGCTGAAGGCGGCGCTGAGCTACGCTGCTGTCGATGGGTCTTTCTCTACCAAGGTGTTTCGAAATGGTTGCGAGGTCGGGCAAGGGTTTCGAGATGCCCTGATGGATCGAGTCCCTTCGCTCAATGCTGGACAGACCAAGGCTATCGTTGCTCTGATAGCAGGTATTGTTGCCGATCGAGGATGGGTCGACCTTGATGCGCCGATTGATGACTACGTCGAGCCAGGGCTGGGAGACGCGGCGCATCGGAGCAGGACGCTGAGACAGTTTATGCAACTCACGTCTGGGGCGCAGGTCAACCATGTGTCTGGGTTGAACCTCTTCGCGGATATCTCTCGAACGAGAGAATACTTCTCTTCGACACTGCAGGTAGGGAGTTCTGCTAGTTGGCATATTCGAAGCTGACCCAGCCGTCGTTCTGCAGTATCCAGCTGGCACCTACTACCAATTCGACGAAATCACTCCTTCGGTCGTCGTGTACTGTCTGGAACGTGCCATTCAAAAAGCGATGGGTACCAACATCGACTTTCAGACCTTCGCGCAGCTCGCTCTCTTCGACCCCCTCGGCATCCCAACGAGCGCGTACTTCTGGCAGAAAGACCGCTCAGGGGTAACCACTGGTTACTCTGGGCTTTGGCTTCGTCCGTTGGAGTTCGGACGCATTGGACTGATGCTTCTCAACAACGGTACATTTGGTGGATGCAGGATTCTTTCTGAGGACTTTGTTCAATCTATGCGTCAGGGGACAACGGCGAACTGTGGTTTTGGTCTCTATGTCTCGTTGAACAGCTGCCAGCCAGGCCAGACGCAGGTCAGCACCGACTACCCGAGTCGCTCGACTTTGCCAGGTGAGGAGTGGATCCAAAGCGCACCGAATGATATGTACTACTCGCTGGGCCTTGGGACGAATACGTTTGTCATCCCCAGCTTGAACATGGTCGTCACTCGTGATGGCTATCAAGAACTCGACATCGTCCCCGGTGCAGTATCAGGCTCGTTAAACGGAGCCTTCCCAGGAAACGGTCCGTATCCACTCCTTCTCTATCATCGAACAACTAGCTAACACCACCTCCCCAAACAGCCGGCGGCCCAGGCGAACACGAATTCTTCCGCCTCCTCATGGCCTCCATAACCAACATGCCCACCTCCGTGCGCGCCACAATCCAAAACTCCGGCCCCTACGACCGGCCCGCAAACGAAAACGTCACCGTCGCACCCTTCATCCTCCCGCTCTCCGCCCCGCTGGGGACCTACACCGCGATAGGCCCTCATGGACCCGTGGGTTGTAATGCGCTGTATTGCCCGTCGTCGTCGAATGATGGGTTGACGTGGCTGGGCCAGGTTCCGAGGGTTATCCCCGGGTTGGTTGGGTTGGAGAGTCGGCCGAGTGGGTGTGAGGCGCAGTTCACGGGGAACGTGGATTTACCTGATATCACGATTTTTGGAGAGCCTGTTTTTGGTGATACTGAGACTTCGTAGGGTGCGGATAGTCGAGCGGAAAACGGCCCCCATTTCTTGAAGCTTGGACCCCTACTTTTTACATTCACCTCCCCTCCTGGCGCTTACTGAAATTCGCCACGAACCTTCAGTCTTCCCTGCTCCACCACTCACAAAACCAGATCATCCCGACATGCGTAGCCGCCGAAGCCAGGGAGCGCATATTCGAGAAGGATTGATCCTTTGCGGCGTGGGCACTTCTTCGACTCACCGACGCTCATGTCCACGTCGTGCAAACACGATGATTTCCACGCCGCAATTGTTTCAACATCGCATGTTGACGACTCTGGTTCTCTCGCTTGGCGCCTACCTTGCGCATATATTGCTACCGAATGCCACATCTGTGCGGTTGAGACAATTCGGCTGCCTAATCCGGAAGGCCATATGTTCATCGACCAGCACGATCTGTCGAGACCCCTCCAGCCGCCAGCCTGATGTCGTCCTGGCGCAATGTAGCTTCTGGAGAAGTTCGGCCGCAAGCGCTGAACTCCTGGGGAAGGGCTACAAGGTATCTTGGTTTCCACCTTCCCTCCCGCGATTCTCCACTGCCTGAAGTCATTACGCTCGTTTTGTTCATGTTTTCTCCTCGATGGCTGGTCCCAAGGCGGCGGTACAGTCTTCAAGGGAGCAGGCTTCATCCGAGACCCGTGACCTTTTCGCTTCCTCAGAGGATGAGCGAAGTGCTTTGAAAGAGACATGCGAAGATGACCGATGTCAAGCGCCTAACGCCAGGGTCTGGCATTGCGTCGACTGCGATTCAAACTATTGCAACGACTGCTGGGGGTATCAAGGCCCACATAAAGCTGGTAAGCTCGGACGAGACGGTGTACCTCATGAGAAGACCAATGTGGCCATCGTCAGTCGACTGAAAGCGATCTTACAGCCTCCACAGTCACTTGATGAGATCAAGCAGTCTCATGAGAAAGACCAATGCACTAAATGGTTCGGTAAGTCAAGGGCCTCCTGAAAAACTTCAAGCAAACACTTACCTGGGACTAGGTGTCGCCCGCGATATGACAGGCAGACCCAGCCTCGAAGACTATGGCAGGTACGCTACCTTGATGGGAAGCATTCAGCCCATAGACGTCAACAAAGACCGATACCCTCAGTTGGTATCTTTCATCGGTGTTACGAATGCTGGAAAGTCCACGATCATCAAGATGCTCGTCAATCATGCTGCAGAAGGCAGCATCGCTCCCAAGGTGTTTCCAACACCCGTGGCAGGTTCGATTGCGAATGACAAGGTACCGATGCTCATAGTACTACCACCGACTTCAAACGTTGACTGAAACTCCTCACATAGGTCGCAACGAGCGGTGATGTACACCTTTACGCAGATCAGTCAACTCACGCCGGGCAGCTTCCGATCCTGTATGCTGACTGCGAAGGGTTTGAGGGAGGAGAGAAGATGCCTCTTGGGGCTCGCATCAAGAAGAGACCTTGCTCCACTGCACCCCTGTCGTACCCAGAACTAGCTCAGAGTCGGTCCCTCCCGATTGAGTGGGCGGACACTGAAGAGTCACGCCAGCGAGAGTATGCGGTTCGAGAGTTATACCCGCGGCTGCTGTACACGTTCTCGGATGTGGTGGTGTTCGTACTTCGAAACCCAAAGTAAGCACTGTGCTTGAGACAGATCTCACATTCCACATCTTGCTGACTTTGGTAGAACTTTCCAGTCAGCGGTGCTGGGAAAGCTACTCGAATGGGGAGCCTCAGCACTCGAGAAGTCAATCAACCAGCCTTCTCTCCCGCACGCTATCGTCCTTCTGAATGATACCGAGCCAGGCGTAGACGAACGAGAGTGGGACACCGACTTCGCCACTCAAAGTCTGCTTTCGTGCGTTGCGGGAGCCCTAGACTATGTCGAAGGTGTGCCACGCTTTCGAGAGCTCGCTGAATACTGGCGTGGCCTTGGCAAGCAGGTTGTTACCATTCAAGATCTCATCTTGAGATACTACTCTTCCTTCAGGGTAATTCGGATGCCACGAAAGCCAAGATACACCCTTATGGACCGCCAGATTGGCCGCTTACATCATGAGATACGGGCGGACTGCGATGAGTCTTTCAAAGCAAAGCGCAAAGCTCGCATGCTCACCAACTCAGACGAGCTCAACATCTACCTCCAGAGTGCCTTTGAGCACTTCACACGCACTCTCACAACTCCCTTCAACTTCGTGGCTGTCAGTCTGGTCACCAATCCTATCTCGTACGACTTTGGAGGCCACATCTTGCAGCTCGCCAACACAGTCGCGGCCTTGCGCTCATCTGAGCGACGGGGGAGCGGATTATCCCAGTGGATTTTCGAGAAGATGTGCCTGATCGTAGCATCATGCGTCATGCTCGACTGTGCCCGCTACCGCAAGGGTAGAGTAGAAGATCTGCTTGACAGTTACAAGAAATTCTTCGACTGGGTCCTGCATGAGTACTGCGACATGTGGCTACCTTGTTCCTACTCTAATGGAGAAGGGAGGCGCTGTGAGCTGGTCAAAGCTCGCCACCACACGAAAGGCCATCAGGACGGACAGGGTATCATAGCTCATGGAGACTATCAATCCACCTTCACCGCTGAGGAGTACGGGCCTATGTGGGAGCGTCAACTGCGGGCATCGATTTCGTTCGTTCAAGGAGATTTGCACCGACACCAAGAACAGTACGCTCAGGGTGGTCTCCTCGATTCAGACGAGAAGATTGCACTGCGTCTGCATCGACAGAATATCTACGACTTCTACTCAGGCATAGGCGACCCTCAAGACATGGTTAGCCATTCGACTTGCTTCTGCTGCTTGATGGAGGTCCCCGAGCACCCGCTGCCATGTGGACACGTTCTCTGCTCAGCTTGCGTGCAAGCTTACGGCAAGTCTACGAACAAATGTATCGTCGAGATGGCGTACTGTCCGTTGCACATGGATCAAACACGCTGGGCTTCCGTTCATCAGATCAAATTCAAGCACAAGGCCGCCGGCACAAGAGTCCTTTGCTTGGACGGCGGTGGGATACGAGGCATCGTGGAATTGGAAGTCCTACGAGCTATTGAACAAGCACTCGGCGGAGAAATACCAATCCAAGCCTTCTTCGATCTCATCGTCGGCACGAGCACCGGCGGTATTATTGCCCTGGCCCTTGGAGTCCAGCAATGGCCAGTCGATCGATGTATCAGCATGTTCACTTCGCTTTGCAATCATGCGTATACACCGAGGGTCAAAGGCATGCCCATCCTGGACCTCGCAGCAACGATCAGCCATGGAAGTAAGTACAAGACCAAAGCCTTCCACGAAGCACTCAAAGACGCCTTTGGGGAGCAAGACGTGCTGTTCGGTGGTCGAAGTCGCACCAAGTCGACCTGTCAAACGAGAGTGGCTGTGACATCTACGACCAGTACTGGAAGCAAAGCCATCGTGCTTGCCAACTATCGTCGAAAAGAGGACTCGGCCCCTGAGTACGACTTCGAGCGGCCTCACCAACCAGAGCTCGAGATGAGAGTCTGGGAAGCCGCTGCCGCGACGTCGTCTGCGCCTACCTATTTCAAGCCATTTGTCAATCCACTGACTAGGCGGACCTATCTTGACGGTGCACTTCACAACAACAATCCAGCGCGGGTGGCCAACAGGGAGAGGAAGCTCATCTGGCCAGAAGCCTCTGATACCGACCCCGACATCCTGCTGTCACTCGGTACCGGTCAGAACCGCATCTCGATACTTCCCAAACTCTCAGCGAAGACGACCGACTGGAAGACGCTTCAGTCTTTCTTGCGTCGAAGTAACTCAGACGATCTGAAAGGCTTCCGTCGCTATTTGAGATCATGGACTGTGCTGTACAACAGAGTCGACGACATCCTGAACGCCGAGATGGCATGGGCGGCGTTTCGAGCAGATGTCATATCTGTAGACGTACCATACCGTAACACCCGTCGCTACATCCGCTTCAATCCGGATTTAAACAGGACTGCGCCCTCTATGGACGACAAAGATGAGCTTCAGTCGTTGCAGTGGACCGTCAAGAAGCGGCTCAGCTTGCCACATTGTGTGACTGCCGTGGAACACGTTGCCTTCAAACTGGTTGCAAGCTCGTTCTTTCTCGAGGTCCAAGGGAGCAAGATCTTGAATGACGGTAGTCATTCGTATGAGTGCTTGGTACTCTGCAAGTTTGAGAATGGCACACAACATCTCAAGTCCCTAGGCAAGTACCTTCGACGGTCGATGACCCGTGATTTCTGCCCATACTTCATCGTCAGGGGAGACGCACATTCGGAGCAGGGTGTCATATTCGACTTCACCTCGAAAGTGATCGACAGAATGGCCGAGCGGGCGGACTTCAATATCTCCAGCATCACTGTCGTTGTTGAAGATGAAAAGAGACCGTCGGATGTCACACTTGTGCTGTCGGCTCACGACGGTCTAGAACCTGAAGGCTTCTCTCTCAGCGGGTTCCCCAAGGTCCTCGCGAACGAATGCACATCGAAGTCGCTGCTCCCTAAGGCCGGAAAGATATCGAGCGCTTCGCGGAGGTTGAACGCTACGCCTTCACCCTCAAGGTCTTACAAATCGGCCCGCTCCATACAACACCAGACGCTCGAAGATAGCATATCTCTCAACGAAGGTCGTCCAGGATCCAAACAACGAGATCTCTGGGCACCATCAGCAGGCCCTTTTCAAGGACTGAAACAGCTGGACCATGCCGCAAACGCACCTGAGGTACATGCAAGGTCCAGCAGCGATTTGCAAATCTCCTACCGTGATGTGAAGGGACCCAACCGATTCTGGGCATACATTGGACCTCAGCACATGGCGAAGAATCGTCACCTCTACAGCGCGGCTACTCTTCAGAAGTTCGTCCCGTCGGTTGCAGCAGAACCCGTCGAGCTCGATGCAGGCGAAGAAACGGAGATCAAACGCGTCGCTTACGCTGAACTCGAAGGCAGCGAGGCTCCCAAGAAGCGGACTAGTCTGCACTATGAAGTCCACGGCGAGAGTTCGCCCAAGCCGACTCAGGGATCGATGCCACAAATAAGTTCAGAGAGAAAAGAGCGTGATCGATCGACATCACGGCCTACTCGGGCGAAGAAAGACGCCTCCCCATCACAACGACGACCCGCTCGTGAAAGGAAAGATTCAGCTCGAGACATCAAGGAGACTGTCTCCGTGACCGAAACGATCATGGGCGAGTACACGGTCAAGTTCCCTTCCATTCCTGGCTTCACTCCCCCGCCTGCTTTTCCTGCGAAGAGAAGAGGCTTTGACCCGGGAGAGCTGGAGGCTGCCATCAACGATGCGTTTGGATGAGAGATTGGTTTGTAATGAGAAGTTTCGGTTTGGTTTTACTTATCCTTACGATAGCCCAATGACTTTTCTTGTATACTATTATATATTTCACTTTCTCGGCAAGATCGGTACAATATCGACTGGCCTTGGTGTGATCTAGTCTTCCCAAGAGCACCTGTCATCGCTTCACACCTGTGCCAAAGTCCGAGCCCACACGAAACAGGCCCTCATTACATTTGCTGCACCTCAAGTCGTCGTAATCCCGAAGGATTTGGCTTCACATCCTGTGGGCTCATATCTTGCCCAATCCAGCGACGGCTACGAACCTCAGCCATGATGACACACCAAAGGGATTGACTTCAGCTCTACCAAAAACACAAGAGGCTCTCTCCTCAAAACGCAGACAACATCTCCCTTCCGATCTTTTGCAATATGGGCCTAGCAGAATACACATCCTGTCCCTTCGTCGCCCCGAAAACAACATGGATCGACAAGCGCGGCAAGAAACGAGAAGTACCGATGAGGTTGCTTTGTTTTGGACTCAGTCGGACGGGCACAGCAAGTTTGAGGATGGCGCTGTGGGAGTTGGGGTATAATCCGCATGTACGCAAAATCGACCCCTGAGTGATGGTTGGGTGAGAATGTGGGTGTTGATGATGTGTTGCATAGCACGGCTTCGCCGTCTTCGAGAACCCACCCGATGCGACGTTGTCGAATGAGGCGATGAAGGCGAAGTATGAAGGGAAAGGGAAGAAGTGGACGAAGGAGGAGTTTGATGCTTTGTTTTGTGATCGGGAGTATCGTCCCCCTTTTCCCCACCTCCAGAATGTGTTATTGATGAGTGTGCTATAAGCGCCACCCTCGACCAACCCGGCAACCTCTTCGTCGAAGAACTCGTCGCCGCGTATCCCGACGCCAAAGTCATGATCACCGTGCGGGATGTCGATTCGTGGTATGACTCCGTCAAGAAGACCATCCTCGACCGCAAACCCAACGCAGCAGCCATTTTCCTGAGTATCTTCGATCCGACGATTAGTCTCATTTTCAGCGAACTTTTACGATCAAACACCCTCCTCTACGGACCGAAATGGTGGACCCGGACCCGAGAAGAATGCCATGAGATTTGGGCGAAGCATCTCAAGAAAGTCCGTGATGTTGTGGGCGAGGAGAATGTGTTCCACTTCAATGTCAAAGATGGGTGGGAACCTTTGTGTGAGTTCTTGGGGCACGAGGTTCCGAGGGATGAGGATGGGCAGGTGAAGCCTTTCCCGAGGGTGAATGATGCGGCGAGTTTTGATAGGGTTATGGCGGAGTATTTGAGCAAGGTGGCGGTGAGGAGGTTGGCTCAGGGAGGTGCGTTTTTGGCGGCGGTGGTGGCGGTTGGGTTTGCTGCGTATAGATTTCGAAGATGAGGCTTTGAAATAGAGCTTGGTGGTCTGTTTCGCTCCGGATACATACATATCGTCTAAGCATCACACTCGAGTTTGCTGCCAGCAGTTCGAGTCTCGCGAGAGATGCGTGCCCTCCATGTTACCTTCGCCATGTAAAGTATCAGACAGATGAGGACCACTTGGCATGCGAGTAAGCCGTTCGACAAGCGATTCGGTTGAAGGGATGGAAGATTATGGAGGCCATCTGGTGGTACTGCATTCGTTGACAGTTTGACGTCTGAGCTGCCGTCCGCTGATGCTTGGCTGATCCCCCTGACTGCCCCATCGCCTCCAGATCTTGATACTGACGCCGTGGGCCGATGCGTTGCAACCGTCGCTGGGACATCACATGTATACGTCCCTCCTGAAGAGACGCTTGTAATCAGTACGGCGACGACTTGAGTTTGAGCAGGTTTTCGCACATGATCGTTATCGATGATTGCGTACAGGGTGTGATGTGAAGGATTGTTGACGTATGTGGTGGTGTATATTGCGGTCTCTCTAGCCAGGTCGTTGATCGTCCACACATATTCGAAAATGACGGTTGCCGTGAAATGGTCGTACGTTGTCGTCGGAGCAGGGGGGAGTCCGAACTGTTTTCGGGACATCATATATCGCGAGGCAGCGACGCAATTTTGTCGAGGCCGAATGAGAAATGCTGGTGGTCGATACCGTATGCTCAAGTGCCCGCGACTAAGGTGAGTTCAGAAGAGTAGGCGTTGCCTTCTGAAGCAGTGTCAAGTCAAATGTGATTGTTTGTCCAAGGGAATGTGGTGTTCAATTACGGCGCCAGCTGAATCAAGTCTCTCTGCTGCGGTCGAATGCTAAGCGTAGCACGATATGATATTGAGCGCCTCAACGCAACCTGCCAATGCGAGAGCTGATATTTTGACATATGTGGTCGGGGTTAGGCCGAGGACCGCCACCGTGTCAGTCCTTCTTCCTGTGATTAGCCCACTCCTTCGAGGCATGTTCATGTTGCTGGTCGGCTTCTAGTCGGCTCCTGCTGCCACGTGCTCATGCTGTATTCTTCCTTTAAATTCAAATAGTGCTTCCTCAGGAACATAGTGTTGCATTAGTGACAGGACCCAGAATCCTTCGTCTTCAGACATCATCAGGTAGGAGATGCTCACTTCGACTGCTCATCGCGTATCACAAATTGCCTTTCAGGAACTCGACCGAGAGAAAAACGTGTCCAGAAATGCCGCAATGTCTCCAGGTTGCTCCCCGGAGAGCTTCATCGTGTCCTCAAAATTAGGTGCCTTGGGCCGCAAGATACTTGCAACTTTCCGGTCAGTGCCATGATGTTTTGCAACGATCCAAGGAGTGCAACCCTTCCAGTTGCCCGACCAATTGCGAAGCCATGGATTTGCCCCTGCAGCCACTAAGAGACGACACACTACTTCTGATCCGTTTCGTGCCGCACAGTGGAGGGCACTGGTGCCATCTTCAGACTGTGAATTCACATCAGCCCCTTTCTGGATGAGCATCTTGACGCTGTCGACATGGTCGTGTCGAACAGCGTGTGTAATGGCTGTCCGGCCGTAATAATCTTTAGCTTCGACATCGGCCCCTCGCTCAGCGAGGAGGGCAATGGTAGTGGGATGGCCAAACCATGCTGCTCTTAGCAACGGGGTGTTTTGCCAGTCGGGGTGTCTGTGTGCGTGACCTGCGGCTTCGATGTTTGCACCAGAATTGATGAGCGCCTTCACGATATCGTCAGCACCCTTGGAAGCAGCGACGCAAAGTGCTGTGAATCCTTGGTCTGTGGGAATCTCGAGTCGCGCGCCACGTGCGATCAGAAGCTCTGCGATGTTGGTGTGCGGTGCCAGAGCTGCTTCAGCTAAAGGAGTATTTTCACGATGGCCTTGAACATTTGGATCAACGCCTGCATCCAGGAGCATTTCCACACAGATGAAATGGCCATTTCTGGCGGCGATGCTCATCGGAGTGAAACTTTCTTTGCTTTTTGTGTATGCCGTGGCGCCTCGTTCCATCAAAACCTGAAGTACGCTGGAGTGACCTCTTTCTGCGGCTCTATACATTGGAGTGCAGCCAGTATTGCCTCGAGCTTCTTTGTTGGCGCCCCGGTCGAGCAAAAACCGAGCAAACTCTGCGTCTCCGTGTGCTGCTGCACTCAGCAGAGGTGTTAAGCCCTGATGTGTCAAGACCTCAACGTTCGAGTCCGCTTCAACAAGGAGGCGTGCAATGTCAAGATGCCCCCGAAAGCAGGCCTCAGCCAGAGCGTTGTTACCCGACTTGAGACGAGGGTCAAGTTTGGCACCATGTCTGAGCAGTATGGGAACAATTTCGGTTCTGTTGTCTCGTACGGCTTGTAGAAGCGGTGTCCAATTGTCGTTGTCGCAAGCATGATCTGGATTAGCACCGTGCGAAAGAAGGAGGGAGACCACCTCGACGTCGCCGTGCCGCGCAGCTTCAGTCAAAGCAGTCTCGTTCCACTTATTGGTCACATTGACATCGGCCCCCTGCTTGAGGTAAAAATCTGTGCCTTCCACATCTCCTAGCCAAGCAAGGTGAATTAAACCGGTGTTGTTCAGTGAGTCGGCTGCCCGTGTATCGATTGATGGCCCGTACCTCAACATCCACCAAGCAGTTGGGAAGACTACAGCATAAAAGTTGGCAGTTCTACCTCTGTCATCTTCTAAGCTTGTGTCGACTCCAGCTTCGAGTAGCTCTTTGATCACATCCGCCCGTCGTTTCAGAACAGCATGATGAAGCGCAGTGCGTCCTTCAGTATCTTCAGCGTTGAGATCGAGGTGTCGACAGGACAGGATTCGCTTCGCTGCAGTTGCATTGGATACCAAATGAAGAGCGGTACAGCCGTTTTCATCCTTGGCATTGACATCTACGGCTCCCGATCGAATGAGCTTACGAACCTGCGGTGTATCGCCAGACTTGGCAGCCTCATGTAAAGCAGTAGCACCCTTTGCAGAAGCAACTGCTTCGTACGGCGGTGCAGGCGATGGACTTCTGGCACGGTCATTCACTATGCTGAGAATCCTGTCCTGTCCAGTGAGTAGCTGGGAGAGAACGCCATCCTGATCAGTCAAATGGATATCAATTTTGTCGCCACCGTCCAGAACAGCTACCAAAAGGTCCTGCGCACGCTTGTCGAGAGTTTTAAACTGCTCTGTTCGTTGTACATCTTGGCCATCCAATCGCTTTCGTAGGCTGAACAGAATCCGGGTGTCGAGTTCCTTCCGATACTTCTCCAACCGATCGGCGACCTTTTCGAGCTCATCCTTTTGCCATACTGACATAAGTGCTTGCTTGTAGCTTTTGAGGCGGCGATTCTTTCCCTGGACTTTGAGCTTGTCTAGCCGTGCGATCAGTTCCGTGGCGATGCTTGTGCAGTTGTCTGCTATAATCCGTAAGCGCCATTCCTCTGGCTCCAACTTCTGGCCTGCAAGCAAGCCGGCTTGCGTCTTGGAAACCTCGGAACTAAGTTCTCGCAGGTCCTCCGCGACTTCCTCGGAGTCTTTGTTTTCCAGTAGAACTCCATCTGCCGCACGGTAGATTTCATTTCCCGCCGACACCAGTGCGCCTGCAAACGACAAGAGCTGAGCCACGCCACTGGCGAGCGAGAACGCAGTCAAGGGATCCATGTGCTGTGAAGGCCAAAGTGAACTGCTGAGACTTGACGAGACGAGAGGTGAGGTCGAGAAGTCGTCGGCTGCAGTGCTCGCTTCGCCACATCAGCCCCTGCAAGTGCATCCTCTTTAGCCCCCACCTGCATCTTCAGTCTCACGAAGTGCACACGAGTGCGACGGGGGCTTAGAATCCTCATTATGGGCAAATAGCGGTAACATCTTGATATGCTGATGATGCGGGAAAGGCAGAGAGCGTCACGGATGAGCCCAGCCTCCCCCTTTTCAAAAACCATCGCACGGACCACAAATCGCTGTCCTTGAAGCGGAACATCCATGTTCTTCCTCCGAATCCTCTGCAAGACACTGCAAAGAAGGCCAATACCTATGATGGACAAGAGTCGTCGTGCACCGAAACCAAAGATCTCACTCTGAAGCCGAGCAAGGCCGCCTTCTCCAACCCTTTGCTTTCCGGTGCCTTCTCAGGAGCGAGGCTCCTCGAAGGACGACAATCCTTCTTAGAGCGACAACCATTCTCGTACAAATGGTCATGTGTACGCCGCGACCAAAGTATTGCACTGCACCTGTTGGCGCGACTCAAGATCGTTCGCCCCTGGGAAAGGGATTATTGTTGACTACCCACGTGGAACAGCAGATCTGCCAATTGGCAGTTTCTGCTGAAGTAGACACATTGCAACGAGCACCAATGTTTCCCTCCGATCGCAATGGCCTTCCATGCGGCAAGTATCATTCATTCAAGTATGCTAGAAGAAATGGCTAATCTCCAAGATTGTTAATGCGATTCTTCAGAGGCGTCACAAGATGAAAACGACGCTCTATCAGAATGGATGAAGAGAAATCGCCTACCATTCTTGAGCACTGGAAGTTGTCGTTTGAGATCCATTCCGAACAGATCCGCCAGTATTCGCTCACCTGTATGTCGGGTCTCTCTACATTCCTGGCTGAAATCACCATCCGGCGACTCTCAACATTGGCAACCCTTGCTCTTGCACTTAGAATGCTACCTCCTGTCTATGGAGTGGACTTGGTCTTTCGAGTTTGCGCTCTCCTGTTGCTCTTCTTCCCAAAATGTCTATCTCATTCGTTGATTTTTCATCTCTACAACTGGTTCGAAATAGGGGCAATTGCCTGTTTTTATCCAAGTCATGATTGTGAGCAGTCGGAAATGGCCAGGCCTGTCAAGCAATAGCAATACACGCAAAACGGTCTTCTCCACAGTATTACTGGTATTTCTGTGGACGTTCGGCTATCTTATGTACTTGCTTTGCCAGTCGAATTGCTACCCAACACTGACACAGTGGATCACGCAGGCTCTTTCAACCTCAAAGCATTACGACAGAAGATCATCACACAACGAAAGGCGAATCTACCGTCAAGCCAGTTTGCAAAATATGGGATGATTGGCGTCAGTCTATACCTACCAGTGTTCCATCAAACGACACCGCTCTGCATAAATCGCGAATTGGTACCGCCGAAGCGATGGGAGGATTTGGGGGCAAGGGGTGCATACCAGCAAACGAACGTCTGGGGCCATTTGGGTATTCGAGCCATGGAAACAATAGCGGATCTCGGCCATGGGATACGATCCATTGGGGCCAGCTACAGACGGAGTGTGCTGCCGTCAACTTTCGCCGGTAAGGAGCTTCGCAACTACCCACACAGTCTTCAAGGCTTCTTCGCGCGTCTGACGGGCTGGACTCGCGACTTCATAGCTCTCACCTGGATGACCTAAAGACTGGACGAACCGCGTTGGTATTGCGTGCATGGAATGACTACGACTACTATGGAGACCAGAAAGCTTGGCTGCGCACCATGATAGCAGAAACAGCCCTGGACATTGGAGGTCGTTTCCAGGTCTTCATTCTCGTTGATGTAAAAGACGGAGGGCTGGACTTGTTTGATGATCGTGTCTACAATGAAACCCTCAAGAAGAGCGTCCCGGACGAGTTCAGAGACATGGCTTTACTGTTCAACGAGCCGCTGCTTCGCGAGTGGTATCCTAAATTCAGCGAACATGGTGCTCAAGATCAGATGTATCAGGCTTTGCAGGTTTTCAGTTATTCGTTCCCGGAATTCGACTATGTTTGGCAGCTAGAAATGGATGCTAGATATACGGGAAACGTTGCCACAATGTTGACGAATGCTGGCCTCTGGGCGGAACGACAGCCACGGAAGAATCTGTGGGAACGCAACGCTCGGTGGTTTGTCTCAGGGTTGTGGGATGACTACAGCGAATTCTCAGCCCACGTTGATGAGGAGTTCTCTGATGACAGCGGCATTTGGGGACCAGCCCCTGGCGCTGAGCACTATATCAAACCTCAGGGACCAACACCGCCCGACCGTCAGCATGCGACTTGGGGAGTTGGCGAGGCCGCAGATCTCCTCACCTTTGCACCAATGATCGACACAATCGGAAGCAACTGGACCTACGAGCACACTGTTCACGGCTTCCAACCAGGAGACGGTCTTCCACGACGCATGGGCATCGTCAGCATGACTCGGACATCACGCCGTCTACTTCGTCTGATATCTGCCGAGCAGAGAGCGACCGGTGCCTGGGTCGTCAGCGAGTCCACACCGGAGACATGGTCGTTCCTGCATGGTCTGAAGGCAGTGTACGTGCCTCATCTATTTGCCTTCAACTTCGAGGACGGCGACATGAGCACGGTGGAACTCGACAATATGGTGCACAGAGGACCTGCCCACAGCCTTGCTAGTGGTGAGAAGACGGGGTTTCTATGGTGTGAAAATGGCATGGGCATACCGGAGGGTCGCTGGCTTTCTGCGAGTTACTTTTACTGGGCTGGGGATGCACCGAATGTCTGGTGGGACTATACGAATGGGACTTGCACCTATCCGTTGCTCCTTCATCCTGTCAAGCAAGGCTGAAGTTGAATGTCAATTTGATCTTTCGGCGCTCGCCAACCAATGCCGCAGGGCCATAACGAAAATTGCTGGCGCTTACTGCGCATGGTGCCCAATCCCACTAAAGACTTGTCACTTGTGGTAATGACCATTAAGATACATGTAGACATGAGCATGGAGGCTAGCTTGTGTTACGACTGTCACATAGATAGATCCTGGAGCGTATCATCCCCACTTCAGAAGCAGAAGGAAAATTGACAAGACAGTGCAGTCGCATTGCCTCCTCAGTTTTAATTCTGAGCAAAAGAGATACAAGCACCATATATATCGATTGATAACTCCAACGCGAATCACAATCTGGGTATCAAGGAGTCAACAAAATCACAAAGGCCGCCAGCCCCTTAAAACATCAACCCCCTTCGAAAATTCGCCTCAACTTAAACACCAAGTCCCCCCCTCCCCTCCCTTTAATATCTCCAACTCAGCCTCTTCCTCGCCTCCCTCAACTTCGCCTTATACCGATCCAGCTCCCCCCACACGAAGCGATAATTGCTCTCCAGAACGCGATACCGTTCCTTAACCTCCTTGTACTCGGCCCGTTTTCGCCGGAGGTCTTGCTCGGTCGCTTGCAGCTTGTACTTGAGATGAGCGTTCTCCCGCGCGAGAGTCGGGACGTCGGTGCCGTAGTGCTCGCGGGTGATTTCGTTCACGGTCGTCGAGGGGTAGTAGTAGTACCCTGCCATTCGCGTATCGCGGTGTGGTTTCGATTGGCTATAGCCTCGTTAGCCCGTTCATGGTCTCTTCTTGGTTCGATGCGAGGCATACATACGCAATAGTCTGCTTAATTGGTGGTCGAGTTCTCTGGTTGGCAAGGCTAACAAATGTTGTGCAGCAAAGCAGAATCCAAAACACTCCCAGACCCAAAACACCAGCCTTCTAATATGCATTCTCGCCCAGTCGGCGGCACTGCCATCAACAGGGCGGCAAAGACATGCGTCACAAACGTCAGAAGATACCAGAGACAGATTGCCTTGTTCTCGTTCTGGTTGCCTGACCACCGGCCTAGACAAAGGCCGCCCATACATTGTCAAAAGTATCCAGCAAGCTGCACGCCAGACCAATAGAACGTGGAAATTTCTGGCGGTATCGACTGTTTTGCCTTTGCGGGTGCAGTCGGCTGAGGAGAGTGAGTGAGTGTGGGAGGGACACTGCCTCTCTCCTGAGGCCCAGCTCTAGCTGCAGCTTTTCAGCCTTCCCAGCCAGCTGAGGAGTGTGTAGCCGGCGTGGTGAGAGGCCGCCCATACTCCCGACACGAAGAGGGAGAGCGCGAACGCTGAACTGGAAGTTGTTCAAGGCAGCAGACTGAATGCTCACTCATCAATCCCACCTGATCACAGTGCGGTTTAGTCGAATGCTTCGTTGCACGTGCGTCTTGGCAAATGGTCGCTACAGAGCAGAGCCTCAAAGTCTGCGGCATCACTACCCTTACGCTCGAGGTTGCAGCAATATGTTCATCATCTCGCACGACCATTGCTGGCTGGAGACAAAACATTCCATGTGCCACCAACATGGCGAACAGCTCAAGCAAGCCGTTCTTCGACCCTGTGCTAACATCAATCAATACACTCATCCCAATCACAGGCAACGACCATGTACTTTATATAATAAAGCATACGCTCAGCCGGTGTGCACGTCTCCAGAGGAGATGCATTCCAATACATAGTCCTTGAACGACCTCCTCAGAAGACTAATGGTAATCGAATCAGCCCAAAAGCAGCACAAAGAGGTATCTCAAGCCACAAATCCCATCCCTCCCCAAAAACGCCTCAAAACGCCTCGCTCACTATCCCAGTACTCGAAAATCCAAACCCACATCTTCTTCCCCCGAAATCATCATACCGCACCAAGACTCTCCTGCCTAAACGAAGAAGCCCTCTCAGTCTCCACCGTAACCGAAATCTGCCTCCGAATAATCGGATCCGCACTATCTCCCGAATCCCTCCTCTCTTTTCCCTTCCCTCGCCCACCACCACTACCCGTAGTAGAATCATGAAAAGCACCCACGCGATAATCACCCGCCGCGGGACCGAGTTGTAACTCCCCCTCCGAAGGCCTCGACCTACCACCGCCAGATCGCGAAATTCCTCGCCGTTGTCCAGAACCCCCCGAGTCCGGCTGAGACCTCGATCGATCCGACCGCACCAACGAACCCAGGTTATACCCCCCACCCACAAACAACCCCCTCTTCTTCTCCCCGGACGAAGAAGGCTCCCAGCCCATGGCGCGATTATACCCACGGACGAAATTCTTCAACGTGGGGATCGTCGTCGCGATCAATGAATACCCCAGGCCGACCTGCTGCCAGACGAGCACGTCTGCGATGGCGAGGCCGGGGTCCGGCGAGGAGACGTATTTGGCGATCCAGAGGGTGTGCAGGGCGGCGAGGACGGCGCAGAGGAGGCGGAAGGAGAAGGCGAGGACGACGGTGGTTTTGATGTGGAGGCGCATTTGGAGGGGGGAGACGAGGAGGAGGGAGAGGAGCACGTAGAGGAGTTCGAGAGTGGCGGACAGGGTTAGGGTTAGGGACCAGCGGAGGAGCTACGAACATAGACCTTGTGTTAGCAAAACAACATCTCCAGATGCAGGATCAGGAATGTATCGACGTACCTCCCCATCACACCTCCTCTCCCCAACCAACACCCTCCCCATCCCACAACCCACACTAACCCCAACGGCGCTCCCAACCCCCCAAACCACCGTCCCCACCACCGCAACATCACAGCACCACCACGCCAAACTCCGATACGTGGCCAGTCTCCTCATGAAAAACACCACGCTCAATTTACTCAACATGACCGCCACAATAAACAACACCTCACTAACCAACACACTCACGCCCAGATGTGCTGCATATTCTTCGGTGAGGAGCGTGCTGCTCCGTCCGACGCCGGCGTCGAGGCCGATGTAGATGGCAATGTATTGGCCGACGGCGACGAGCGTTGCGGCGGCGATGAAGAGGTCGTCGAGGCCGAGGGTGTGGTATTTTATTTGGAGGCGGGTTGCGAGAGTCAGGACGCTGAACATGAGGCTGAGGATCGAGGCGACCCAGACGGTGCCGGCGCGGTCGGTGGAGGTGACCGGGGAGAAGGTGTATGTTTGGGTTGTCGGTGTCGCCATGGTTTGTCCTTATTCTCGAGTCTCGGTGGGCGAGCAGAGGATGTCGTCTTCTCAGCTCGCCGCTCCCGCAACACGCGAGAGGGGTGAGCGTGTTGTCGTCTTCTTTCCGTCTTACATCTGCTCTTGATCTGCGCGTTGTAACGAAAACATCTCCATCATTAACAACAGACAAAACCGCAGAAAGAGAGAAATCAAAGAAGAGAAGAGAAAGAAAAGCCACCTCCCACCCTCAAGATAGATAACCAAGAAGACAAGGCCAACGCTGTATACCAAGCAACGGCACAGCAGCAGCGCGCAGCAGCCACACAGAAAGGCGTCCGTCGCGCAGCTGAGAAGAGATCACGCAAAGAAAGTAAGCATCGCATTTCCAGCCCCAGCTCTCCGGTGTGCATGCACGGGACTGGGGGACGGCCGCCACAGCTCCTCAGCCAGCTGCAGTAGGGAGATTCCAAGTTCCTGGGCGCCTTGCTGTGCTGTCGTCGATAGATTGATAACGACATGGGCGAAGCGAGACGTGGAGTGACGATCAGACGAGACGAGGATTGGGAATCCCGGACAAGAAGGAGGTCCGGGTACGGGCGGGGGTTTCTTGGCAGTTGATTTGACCACTTCTTCCGTGGGGTGTGCAGACAGGCGATGGTCTGGACTTGCGCCTTTGGCTGGAGGTTAAGAAAGTATATTGACGAGCATCTCTCAGTCATCTCTCGTGTTCTTGCAGCGACCAAGCCGGCGATTGCAGTTTTCAGGTGGCCACTCTTCTTTCAAGCAATGGGGATGATGGTTCAATGTCAAGAGAAGGACTCGGTTGAGATGCAAATAAGGTGTACTCGCAACAAGTATTCCATAGAATATAATACTCAAAACATATCTCCCTAAATAAACAATCAGACTCAAAACAAAACAACGCCTCATCATTGCTTTCTTTTTGGTGGTTGTCTCAAAAGTGTTCGAAGAAGAAGAAAAGCCATTTTCCATCATCATCAAGGTCATGACAATAATATCCCGCGTCGTCGTCCCCCATTTTTCGTAGCCCCCATCGTACAAGACGCGCGCGCTCCTTGAGTTTTTTTCGTTCGGTTCGCTCGCTATGCTGCTGCTGCCCTTTCTATCGAACTTTCGGTGTAACGCTGCAAAAGGGTATCTGGGCCCAACAACGAGGGTATTCGTCCAAAATTGTGTAAAGTCGTGGGAGGAAATAAGCGAAAGACGAGGCTTTCTGAAGAAGCAGAGCTCGCTTAGGCAGCGGCGGTGATGAGCTCCTGAGGAGCGCCGTTGGCCTTGTTGAGGAGCTCATATGGTGGTCGCTTGACGATGCCACCAGTGACGGGCAGTTGAGTGCCCATGCCGGTGAGGTAGGAGTCGACATCACGGGCGGCCTGGCGACCTTCGTTGATGCCCCAGACGATCAGTGACTGACCACGACGGCAATCACCTGCAGCGAAGACACCCTCCAGGCTGGTGGTGTACTTGCCTGGTGGAGTCTTGAAGTTCTTGCGGCCATCAAGCTCAATGAGGCCTTCGGTGACCTTCTCCTCTGGAGAGAGGAAACCCATGGAGATGAGGACAAGCTCAGCGGGGAAGAACTCCTCGCTACCCTCAATCTCCTTCATGTCCCAGCCACCGTTGGAGTTCTTCGTCCATTCCAGGCGCTTAATGTTAACACCCTTGACGTTGCCGCTGCCGTCATCGACGAAGTCCTTGGACATGATGCAGTACTCACGTGGGTCGCGGCCCATGTGAGTCTTGACTTCAGTGTGACCGTAGTCGACACGGTAGATGCGAGGCCACTGTGGCCAAGGGTTGTCAGCAGCACGCTGTGGTGGTGGCTGTGGGAGAAGCTCGAAGTTGATGACAGACTTGGCACCGTGGCGAACGGAAGTACCAATGCAGTCGTTACCAGTGTCACCACCACCAATGACAATCACGTTCTTGTCTTTGGCAGAGATGTAGGCGGCGTCTGCCAACTCCGAATCCAGCAGAGACTTGGTGTTCCTGTGCAAGAACTCCATGGCGTAGTGAATGCCATTGAGGTTGCGATTGGGGATCTTCAAATCACGGGCGACCGTAGAGCCAGTTGCGAGAACCACGGCATCGTTCTGCTCTCTGAGCGAAGTGAAGGTGATGTCACCTTCGCCGACGAAAGTTCCTGGCTTGAAGTTGACGCCCTCGGCAGCCATGAAGTCCACGCGGCGCTGAACGACCTTCTTGTCGAGCTTCATGTTTGGAATTCCGTACATGAGCAGGCCACCAATGCGGTCGGAGCGCTCGTAGACCGTCACCTCGTGGCCAGCCTTGTTGAGCTGATCAGCAGCAGCCAAACCAGCTGGGCCAGAGCCAACGATGGCGACCTTCTTGCCGCTGGACCACTTGGGCGGAGTTGGGACCATCCAGCCCATCTCGAAACCGCGATCGATGATGGCGCACTCGATAGACTTGATGCCAACTGGATCCTCGTTGATTCCGAGAACGCAAGCGCCTTCGCAAGGAGCTGGGCAGACACGACCGGTGAACTCGGGGAAGTTGTTGGTCATCAACAGTCGGTTCAAAGCATCCCGCCACTGATTGGAAAATACCAATTCGTTCCATTTAGGGATGATGTTCGAGATCGGACAGCCAGTATCAGACTGACAGAACGGGACACCACAGTCCATGCATCGGGCAGTCTGGTACTTGAGCTCATCCTCATTGAGACGCTGATTCAGCTCAGCCCAGTCGCGCGTCCGGGTCTTAGCCTGGCGGTACTTCTCGGAGCGGCGCTGATATTTCATGAAGCCACGAGTCTTGTCGAGGACCAGGGCGGACCTCTTCTTCTCGGCTTGGCCATCGGGGATGCTTTCCTCGAGATCCTGGAGACCGGCCTTCTTCTCCTTCGCATGCTCGTGCTCCCTCGACTGCTCGTGCAGGTTGCGAACGGCATTGCCTGGCAGGATGGGGAGGGGATATTCGGCCTTTTTGGCTTCTTCCTGCTTCTTTGCCTCCTCTTCCATGACGCGCTTGTAGTCGGTTGGAAGGACCTTAACGAAGTGAGGCAGAGCGCGGTTGAAGTCGAGCAAGATGCGAGCTGCGAGCTCAGAGCCAGTGTAGTGATGGTGGTCCTCAATGAGGCCACGGAGGAAGGCGATCTCATGTGGGTCGTCCAATCCAGACAGTTCAACCATCTCCTGGTTGACCTTGCCCTCGAAATCGCGGTGGAGATCGAGAACGTAAGCAATACCTCCAGACATACCAGCTGCGAAGTTGCGGCCAGTGCTGCCGAGAACGACGACACGGCCACCAGTCATGTACTCGCAACCGTGGTCTCCGACACCTTCGACAACAGCAGTGACACCAGAGTTACGGACGGCGAAACGCTCGGCAGCGACACCACGGAAGAAGCAAGTGCCCATGGTGGCACCGTAGAGACATACGTTTCCGATGATGACGTTCTCCTCGGCCTTGTAGACAGCAGATCGCGGTGGGTAGATGATGAGTCTACCGCCAGACAAGCCCTTGCCGACATAGTCGTTGGCGTCTCCCTCAAGCTCGAGAGTGACACCTGGGGCCAGGTAGGCACCGAAGGACTGACCAGCCGAGCCGCGGATGTTGACATGGATGGTGTCCTGTGGAAGACCCTTCTCGCCATATCGCTTGCTGATCTGGTACGAGAGGGTAGCACCCATGGCACGGTCGGTGTTGACAATGTCACACTCGATACGGCAAGGCAATCCCTTCTCAAGAGCAAGCTCGGACTCGGCGATGAGCTTGTTGTCAAGTCGGACATGAAGCTTGTGGTCCTGCTTGCGGACGTTGTAGGTAGCGACGCCAGATCGGAGGGTATGAGCCGGAGTCAGGATCAAAGACAGATCAATGTTCTCGGTCTTTGCGTTTCGCAGATCCTCGCGGACCTTGAGCACCTCGGTATGACCAACCATCTCGTTGACAGTGCGGAAACCAAGCTTGGCCATGATAGCTCGCAATTCGTTCGAGAGGTAGTAGAAGAAGTTGATGACGTGCTCTGGAGTTCCCTTGAACTTCTTCCTGAGTTCTGGGTCCTGAGTGGCAATGCCGACTGGGCAGGTGTTCAAGTGGCTATGATCAAGTTAGTTGCCGCATCTTATCTCGAATATTTCATGTACTCACCACTTCCGCATCATGATACAGCCCATGGCGATCAATGGGGCGGTAGCGAAACCGAACTCTTCAGCACCCAACAAGCAGGCAAGTGCGATATCACGTCCAGTACGGAGCTGACCATCAGTCTGGACGACAACACGACCACGCAGGTCGTTGAGGACCAAAGTCTGATGGGTCTCGGCAAGACCCAATTCCCAAGGAAGACCGGCGTACTTGATACCAGTCCATCGAGAGGCACCAGTACCACCGTCGTGGCCAGAGATGAGAATGTGATCGGCCTTGGCCTTGGCGACACCAGAAGCGACAATTCCGACACCAGTCTCAGACACAAGCTTGACTGACACACGTGCTCGAGGGTTGGAGCACTTCAAGTCGTAGATCAGCTGCTTGAGATCTTCAATGGAGTAAATGTCGTGGTGAGGCGGTGGAGAGATGAGACCAACACCAGGGGTGGAGTGTCGAGTGCGAGCAATTGGTCCAGAAACCTTGTGGCCTGGAAGCTCACCGCCCTCACCGGGCTTAGCACCCTGAGCCATCTTGATCTGAAGCTCGTCGGAGTCGGCCAAGTAGTTGCTGGTCACGCCGAAACGTCCAGATGCGATCTGCTTGATGGCGGAACGCATGGTGTCGCCATTGTCCATTGGAAGCGAGCGTTCTGGATCCTCACCACCTTCACCAGTATTGGACTTGCCACCAAGTCTGTTCATGGCAACAGCGAGTGTGGAGTGCGACTCCATGGAGATGGATCCGTAAGACATGGCACCGGTGACGAAGCGTCGGACAATCTCAGTCCATGGCTCGACTTGATCGACTGGGATCGGGTTGCAAGCCTCAAAGTCGAAGTCAAGCAGACCACGGAGTGTGCAGTTCTTGATCTGCTCGTACTCAGATCGTGAGTAAGCCTCATAGGACTTGTCGTTCTTGGCACGAACTGCATCCTGGATGTTCGCAATCGACACTGGATCGTTGACGTGCGCCTCGCCACCGTCACGCCAATGGTACTCGCCAGTCTCTGGGAGACCTGGAATCTCGACAATGTTGCGAGATGGGTAACCCTTCTCGTGGAGTGCGAATGCGTCCTGGGCGATCAACTCGAAAGTCATACCTCGAATACGGGTGGCGGTTCCAGTGAAGCATCGGTCGACGACTGAGTCATCGATACCAAGAGCTTCGAAGATCTGGGCACCCTTGTAGCTCTGAAGGGTGGAAATACCCATCTTACTCATGACCTTGAGGATACCACCGTCGCAAGAGTGCTTGTAGTTGCCAATGAGCTCCTCAGCACTGAGCTTCCTGCGGATCAGACCTTCACGGTCGAGCTTCAGAATACACTCAATGGCGAGGTATGGGCAGATGGCATCAGCGCCGTAGCCGACCAGCACGCACATGTGGTGAACCTCACGAGCTTCGGCAGTCTCAACAACAAGGGCAGCCTGGGCTCGCCATCGGTTGCGGACCAAGTGGTGGTGAACCATACCAGTAGCCAGAAGAGAGGAGACTGGCACACGCTCGGCAGAGGTCTTGCGGTCAGAGAGGATGATGATGTTGTCGCCTCTCTCGATAGCCTCAGTGGCGGCATCGCAGATGCGGTCGAGCGCATCGTAGTACCCAGCGACACCATCTGCCTTGGGGAAGGTAATGTCGATGGTAGCGACAGTCCAGTCACTGTGGAGAGATGTGATGTTGCGGAGTGCGTTGAACTCTTCGATGGAGAGCATTGGTGATGGCAGGTACAGTCTGTGGCACTGCTCCTTATTCATTTCGAGCAGATTGCCCTGAGGACCGACGTATGAACCAAGAGACATGACGACTGCCTCTCGGATTGGATCGATGGGAGGGTTCGTGACCTGCGCGAAGAGCTGTCTGAAGTACTCAAAGAGTAGACGTGGCTGTTGAGCCAAGCAGGCAAGAGGAGCATCGTTACCCATGGAGCCCAGCGCCTCCTTGGAGTCGGCGGCCATTGGAGCCAGAAGGAGGGACACCTGCTCTAGGGAGTAGCCAAAGGCCTTCAGTCGAGGATCCTCCTGCACTGTAGCCTCGGTGAGCTTGTGCGAGAGATCGGTACCATTCTCAGCGAGCGTCTTGTAGATGTTTGGCATGACAAGCAGCTGTGCATCAAGCCACGATCTGAAATCCTGTCTTGCAGACACCGTCTCTTTCAATTCAGCGTCGTCAATGATTCGTCCAGCCTGGGTGTCCACGAGGAGCATACGACCAGGTTGCAGTCGTCCCTTCTGAATGACCGTGGTTGGGTCAATGGCAATAGTTCCAACTTCGGATGCACAGATGATTCGGTCGTCGTCCAGTACGTAGTATCTGCAAGGACGCAGACCGTTTCGGTCGAGGTTGGCACCACAGTACCGACCGTCGGCGAATGTGAAAAGAGCTGGGCCATCCCATGGCTCCATCATGCAAGCAGCCCACTCGTAGAACGCCTGCTTCTGGGCATCGATGTGCTCGTTGCCTTGCCATGCCTCTGGCACCATCAGCATGACCGCCTCTGGGAGCGAAAGAACACCGTTGATAGTGAGCAGCTCAAGCACATTGTCGAATGCCGCAGAGTCGGAGCCACCATCTTCGATAATTGGGTAGAGCGATTCCAGATCATCACCAAAGAACTCAGACTTCAAGACACCCTCTCGGGCACGCATCCAGTTCTTGTTGCCTCGGAGAGTGTTGATTTCTCCGTTGTGTGCAGCCCATCGCAGAGGCTGTGCTCGGTCCCAGGACGGGAATGTGTTGGTCGAGAATCGAGAGTGCACCAGAGCAAAGTGGCCCTCGTAATCGACGTTGACGAGATCATGGTAGTAGTCGTAGACCTGGCTTGGAGAAAGCTGACCCTTGTAGACGATGTTCTTGTTGCTCAGAGAGCAGAGATAGAACCAGTTGTGCAGTCCGATGACATGAGTCGCCCGCTTTCGCAGGACATACAGCTGTCGCTCGAATGTTTGCTCATTATATTTCTCATCAAAGTCAGGCTTTGGCTCTTTGCCGTCGCCGTAGATGGACTTGAGCACGACAAATGGCTGCAGAATGATTGGCTCTCGCGACTTGGCGGCTGGTCCAAGCAACGAACTGTCCTTGGGGACCTCACGCCACCCAAGCACTCGTAGATCGAGCTCATCTGCAATGCCTTCAAACTGGTCGAGCGTCTCCTTCAGAGCCTCCTCTTCTGGCTTGAAGAAGACGTTGCCAGCGGCGTATTTGCCCTGCTCTGGCAGCTTGATGCCCTGCTCGCGCTCAAAGTTCTTGATGAAGAACTTGTGAGGGATCGAGGTCATGACACCAGCACCATCGCCGTCTCGTGCATCAGATCCGACCGCACCACGGTGGGTCATGTTGCACAAAAGGTTGCGTGCTGCCTGCGGTTAGCATCCGTCCAGTAGTACGACCTGGCCGTTATGGATCGACTCACCATCTGTGACAATCTTGTGGCTCGCCTTGCCCTTGATATGGGCGGCGAAGCCTACACCACAGGCATCCTTCTCGAGCTCTGGGTCGTAGAGACCCTGCTTGAGCGGGAGGGCACCCGCCCAAGACTTGTTCTCGGGGGTGTTTTGATATTCATATATGTTCACAGGCTCCTCTTCAATCTCGTCGATGGTGCGCTCGTTTACATTGTCGGCGAAGGAGACTCGACCCATTCTTTCGGCGTGAAGCCGAATGGTCCGAGTATGGGAGGCGGCGCAGGCAGATATGGGGGATTGATAGGCGTTTATCTTGGGCGCGGTCGCTTTTGGAGTGTTCTCAGTGACGGGACGGCTGGAACAAGGCAGATGTCAGTCACGGGCTCACGGGGCGGTGATGGCTGTTGCAGTGCAGTAGGTTTGGGGCTCGCGAAGAATCGGACACAGCTCTGGGCGGAGAGCAAGAGACGATTTTCGCACGACAGCACACAGCTCGGTGCAGCAAGGGCTCGCGGGCTGGGGATGGATGCACAAAAAGCTTTCTGGTCGCTCTTGGCTGGTTTCCTTGGTGAAACACGATCTGCGGCGGACGATGATGTCGACGACTGGAGGCTGAAGAGTGGCCAAAAACACCGAGCAGCACAGCAGCGCAGGTGGTGTGTGGAGCGGAAAAAGCAGCAGCAGCGTAAGTTCGTCGGCGCAGGCGCAATGGAAGAGTCGGCGGAGGAGGTTCTTTGTGCGCGCCGCCACGCAAAGGCCGGAGCTTGCTTGCTTGCTGCTGCTGTTGCTTTGCCTTTCGTGGGGTCGTGCCGATGGTGGCGAGCGTCTCCAGCACGTGCGGGCTTGAATGAATCTGAGCACTTACCGGAGATGATCCTGCTGCTGGTGCTTCGCGATGGGGGAGGGTAGTGTGGGCGAGGAGATGTCAGACGGGGAGCGGAACAGCAGACGGAGCGAGCACGAAGGCAAGGCGCGGCGGCGGGAGGTTGTCACTTATACGCAGCTCGATCAATTTCTCGTGGGTGGGACTAGGTAGCGAACTCCACCTCTGGACGACTGCTCCAAGCAAGCCTCGACCTCGCTCCTGTTGCTGCTGCAGGAGGCTCTTCGGCTCCAAAAGTGGCGGCTCGCTCACCACTGCGAGAGCTTTCTTCATGTTTGTGCGGACGTGGACGAAGCCGGTGGGACGGGTCTGGTCGACGGTCACTCCATCCATGAGCCCACCACGACCGCGACCACGCCCACTCCTCCTCGGCTGCTGTCGTCCCCCAACACTAACTAATTCAAATCCAATGTCACTGTTCTTCACATTCACTCCATCGTTTTATGCATTTCCATTGTTGACCATGACGCATCTCCCCAATGCACGTCCACGACAGTCGCCGGACATGTGCGCAGTTCCCAGCGGCCAAACAAACGACGACGAAATAATTTCTCCCAAGCTCCCGCACGCAGACCCTTGCCCGACCCCAAGATGCACCTCATTAGACTCGCAGCTGCGCCGGGATCGGACGAGCTTGAGGCCCACCTGCTGCTGCCTCACTCGCCAACGCAATCTGAGAATGACTTCACCCGTCCCAGTGCCGCGAGCGAGGGAGATTGCCGTGCAGCAGTGTGACTGCAAGCTTATTGTGTGTCTTGCCATTGGCCGGCCGCTGCAGGAGCTGGAGTCATTCTGCGCTGTCACCTTGTTTGTTCCGTCTTATCGCATGCACTTGAGACGTCCAAGGAGATGCACTGTTCATATTCGTCGACGAAACGACTCCTTGGCGTCCTGCCAACTCGCATCGTCCGGTACAAAAAGCGTGACATGCTGCATTTCCTGCGGTCATCTGAATGCTCCTGCGTCCACGCTTTCGCTGCTCGCGGCACAGGATCTTCACCATTTACCTGCCGCCTGCTTTCTGACTCCCCTCCAAGCTCACCGGCCACTTGCTCGGCGTGCCTCTCAACCTCTTGCCATTCTCGTCGGACGAATACGGAGCGGGTAGAGAGGAAGCTGAGGGCGCAATTGCCGTCCTCGTAAATTCTTCGCTACCCCGCCGACATCGCTTGCCCGCCATCTCCAGCCGCGAGTCTGGGCAAGTCGAAACGGCGACGACGTTCACATGCTTTCAGCTTCGAGACGAACGTGCCAAGCCGTGTCGTGTAGGAAGTAGAAAAGGGCATGCGTGTCCGCTACTGGACAGGTGGCCACGACATTCCAATTACGGTGACACATTGAAAATCAGACGTGGGAAGTGGAGAGGCTGAGGCTGGAGAAGCTGAGGCGACTTTCTGCATTTCTTCGTACACTAAGCGGTGAGGACCACGATGAGCGATGGGTGAGATCCACCCGCAAACTCCAAAGCAATGCTCCTCAATGCTGTGTTCATTCTCATGGCGACGGATGGGCTGCGATTAGACGTGACCTCGTCCCTTATGCAAGAGATGCGTACTGCACACAACGTCAGCGATTGAGGAGGCTGAAGCGATTTACTTGTTCAAGCTCACCTTCAAGACGCTGATGTTGCGGATATCCATCGAAGATTGTAGAGGGGATGTTGTGGGCTCAGCACTTCAATCCTCCATCTCGTCATCTTGGAAGTCCTCATCATCCTCGTCATCCTCATCGTCCTCCTGGAGGTTCTTAGCGGCCTCAGCGTAGTCGATGTTCTTGCCACGAGTACGGCTGCTGACGATGTTGTCCATGTCGATCTCTTCCATGTTGTCCTCGTCTGCCTCCTCTGGCTCACCTGGGGATATGTCAGTTTGCGCGTGTGGTGGTGTTGTCAGCCAGAATCGACGTACCCTCGCCCTGTATCTTCAGTCAGCATGTGTATACAACTTCTACATCTTCAATCCTCTGGACTCACCTCTTCCTCCTCCTCTTCGTCGTCATCGTCGTCCTCGTCCATAGCGTCTGGCTGAGCAGCCTTGCCCTTGCCCTTCTCGGCCTTCTCCTGTCCATCCATCGGGGTCTCGACAGGCTTGGTGGCCTCAGTGGTGTTTGGGTCCTGAACGGAGTTGCTCATGATGGTGTTTGCGAATGGGTTGATGAGCGCTTAAGTGGAGGTTGAAGAGCTGTGCGCCGAGATGATTAGCACGTCTGATGCTGTATTGGTTGACAAAGAGCAGTCACTGACTGTCGGCGACGGGATTCTATCTTCTTGCGCGTGCGTCGGATGTGGTGTGTTTGTTGTTCGACGTGAGGTTGAAGGTGTGCGACAGTGTTGCTGTGTTTGATCGCAAAGCGCGGGTCTTGCCGCGGACCCTGAAAACCAATTTACGCGACGCGCCTGTCGACGCGACTAAGCCGACTTCACCTCTTGAGATTCTTCAAACACAACATACAATCCACAATGGCGACCGCACTTCGTGGGCGTCCAGCTCGTAAGTGATGCCCAGTCCAAGTTGAGTCCAACTACTAAACGAATTTTCAGATGCTCCTGGAAATACCTTCTTCAGCTACACCCCCAATGGCAGGAAACTGGTCACAGCAGGCACAAATGGCGCCATACGTATTTTCGAACACGGTTCTGATGGAGAGCCGGACATCATTGATGTTACGTCCGATAACCATACCGCTGTCGTGGCCACCAACGAGCACTTCATCATCGGCTGCGAAGATGGAGAGGTCTGCAAATACAACCTTTCAACCAAGCGCCAGGATGACATGCTCACGAGATGCATTGGCGCGATCCACGACCTAGCTCTGTCACCGGATGGTAAATGGGTCGCAGTCGCCAGCGAGTATGTCTTCCGGTCTCTCTTTTAGTTTCAACAGGCTGACTTAGCGACAGGGAACTCGAGGTCAAGGTCATAAATGTGGACGACATGACCAATATCATGTCTCTTCGAGAGCATACAGCACCGATCAAGCAGCTTTCTTTCGATCTTAGTGGGACTACTTTGACAGCGTCATGTGCTGATGGCATGATATACGCGTATTCACTGAGCTCTGAACAGCCACAGCTCATTCGCCGAGTCGACGGTCTCATTAACGTGCTGAACACCGACTCTGGAGCTGCGACGCGGGCGACTTGGCATCCTGATGGGCGGGCATTCGTTGTGCCAACAGAGGCAAAAGGTGCGAACTTATATCGTTGTACATGACGGGAACAGGAACTAATTGGAGCCATGGATAGATCTCCAGGTCGTTTCGCGCAGTGACTGGACACGTCAAAAAGTATTCTCCGGCCACAAGTCAGACATCTCAGCCCTGGCATGGTCTCCAAATGGTGCTCTGCTCGTAACTGCAGATCTGGACAAGAACCTGATCTTATGGGATGTGAAATCTCAGAAAGTCCTCAAAACCTACGATGACGTTAAAAATCGCATTCTTGACATGCAGTTCCACCCCAAGGACAACGTCTTGTCTTACACCAACACCAACGGCGAGCTGTTCATTCGCGAAGACTTCGTGCCAGACGAGCACCGAAGACTGCTGCGGTCTGACACCCAGCCAGCGCCTTTGAACAACGATCCCCTCGCCGAAATCTCTGGCAATGCTCGAAAGCCGGCGACCAATGGATTCTCACACAAGCGCACAGCCCAAGATGACTATCTGGACGATTTGTTAGGTCCAGACAACATGTCTGAAGATGGCGACGGTTTCATCGAAGACGATGATGGTGCCGGATATGCAGAAGAGCCAAACCTTTTTGGCAAACGTCTAGCACATCCATCGAATGGCCCACAAGCGAAACGGCATGCCGCATACAGCACTTGGGAACCACAACTTCATGACTCGTTCCAGCCTGGCAGCACTCCATGGAAAGGCAATCGACGCTATCTTTGCCTCAACTTGACTGGCTTCGTATGGACAGTCAACCAAGAGACACACCATACGGTCACTGTTGAGTTCTACGACCGCCAAGAGCATCGTGACTTCCACTTTACTGACCCATACCGCTACGACAAAGCATGCCTGAACGAGAATGGAGCGCTGTTTGCATGTCCTAGCTCTTCACAGCACCCTGCCATCGTCTATTACCGACCACACGAGACTTGGACCACGAGGGTGGACTGGCGAACAGAATTGCCCGAAGGCGAGGAGGTCACCTCACTGTCGTTGAGCAACTCATGTGTAGTAGCCACGACGACGGGTGGCTACGTTCGTATCTACAGCCTCTTCGGTCTGCCGCTCAAGGTCTACCGACAGAAGAGCACACCGGCAGTTACCTGCGCAAGTTGGCGTGACTATGTGATGACAGTCGGCAATGGACCCGTCGGCGGCGATGGCACAACTCGACTACTCTACACCATCGAGAACGTGAAGAGAGACGAGATTTGCCAGAGCGAGGATATCCTGGCATTGCCTGAAGGGACCGAGCTGCGCAGCGTTCTTTTCAGCGATAAAGGCGATCCTTGCATCTACGACAGCGATGGTGTGCTGTTGGTCTGTCAACATTGGAGAACTCCTGGCCAGGCGAGATGGGTCCCTCTGCTTGATACGCGGACACTCGAGCGTCTCGCTGGCGGCAAGAAAGAGGAGAGTTACTGGCCTGTTGCGGTTGCGGATGACCGTTTTCACTGCATCATCCTAAAGGGCGGCGAGCAGTATCCATACTTCCCACGACCTCTGCTATCGGACTTCGCATTCAAAGTGCCTGTGTCAGCAACGCCAGACGACGAAGACGAAAGCGTCGCTCACCAAAAGAACCTCGAAGAGCAGTATGTCCGCTTTGCAACTCAACGATCTCTACTACAAGACCTGGTCGAGAATACCCACGCCACATCCACTCAAAAGACAGACCTGGCGGCCATGGAGGGCGAGGTGGACAAAGCGTTACTACAACTCCTCGCAGCTGAATGCCGAGAGGGCGAAGAGCGTGGCATGAAGGCTCTGGAGATCGCAACACTAATGAGAGACCGGTCAGGCAATATGCTCACAGCCGCCAGCAAGATCGCACAACGCTTCCAACACGACCGACTCAGCGAGAAGATCACGGAACTGGCTGAGAGACGGATGGTGGGACTGGTGGACGACGATGATGAGGATATTTGAAGATTGCGAAGTTCGTGGAACCTATGGCGAGTGGGTATCACTGAACGCTCGACAGGCCTCGACAGACGGATATCACCATCACATGGCGGTGAGGGAGTTAAGGCTGAAGTCGATATCCGCGTTCTAGGGACTTTTACAACGGAGTCAGGAAGGTCACACTCGGGGAGCAAGACCCGCGGATGCAGGGGGCGTTATATAAGTGACAAATTCAGCGTTCGATCCAAGGCCTCGACCAGATGAGTGACAGTTTCGCAGGCATCCACGTGAACCACACCTCGTCTGCGGAGGCGGACCGGCGCCAGCACGAAGCGCTGTCACAACCAGTGGTGCGTACCCCTAGTGCTGCACTCCATAGCAAACATTCGCCCTGGTTACACGCACCGTCCTCGCGCCTCGACACGTACCGAACCCTTGCACCACGCTGTCACGACCGACGACCCTTGACCTCGTGGTCACCTCAGAATTATTCATGCGGTCGCCGCCGTTCCCCGTCGTTCGGTGGACGCTCGTTGTCTTCTCCGAAAGTATGTCGCACAGAGGCAGAGGCAGAGTGTGCGACTGTAACGTTGGCGCGGCGAGGGGCGTATAAGAAGGGATGGGGATGCTCCTAGCCGCTTGCTGACCGCTTGCTTGTTTTGTTCTTTGATTTGAGCTGTTCGATCGACGAGTTCTCTAACTTTTCGAGAGCATTCTGAAACGATAAGCAGTCAACATCAACGACTATCAACAACTCCACAACACATCAAAAGTGAGCATACCTTTGCGCCCTCCGCCCAAACCCACAACACTAACCACCCGTCCCAGCCTCCAACCCCCAAAACCCACCACACCTCAACAGATGCTCCCCACAGCCCTCGCCCCCCTCCTAACCCCCAACTTCCTCACCCCCTACACCGCCGAAATGGACCTCGACCAACTGCCCCAACTCCTCATGTGGTACCAACTGGGCCTGCTCAACGGCGCGGAGATGCAGCGGCTGATGTATAGCTTGACGCGGAGGAGGGGGAATCGACATTTCCATTGGCATCAGGGGGGCGGCATGGGGATGGGGATGGGGATGGATCCGCGGTTGTTGATGTTGATGAATGCTGGGGGGATGGGTGGGATGGGGGGTATGGGTGGCGCGGGGTGGGGTATGGGTATGGGGATGGGGGGTGGTATGGGAGGATTGGCCGGATTGGGTGGTCTTGGTGGTATGGGCGGTCTGCCGGGGATTGTGGGGGTCAAGCAGTTGTTGTTGCAGAGTCCTTTTGCGAGGAATTTGTTCTGAGGATGACTGTCTTGATGGATGGTTGTGGATGTTGATCAAGCATGATATGGCTTAGATTCTCGGGATCATCTCATGAGGAACAATTGATTGCGGTGAGGTTTCGGATATCTGGAACGGATGTATGATTAACGAAGCAGGTTTTTGAGGCGTTTAGCGTTTGTTTGCTACGTTTTGCTGGGGTGAGACTTTTAGCGAAGTTTGATTATGGATTGGAGACTTGGTTCATCTTACACTTTATCTTGTCGATTTCTCGCCGCAGCGTATCTCCAGACGTCCACATACATTCGACTTGCCCTCGACTCTCGTGGTTTGTTGGACTCTGACGCTCTCCTGAGGCTGTACCACAGCAGCTTGGCGTGCCCGATCTTCTTGACACAAAATCAACGCACACAGTACAGCTGCTCATCATTCGTCGTTCTTCCCTCTTGTACCCGATAATTTCCCCGTCATTCTCACTCTTTAACCTGCATATCCTCATCCTCCCTATCCGGATCCTTCCAAAACGCCCTATCAACCGCAACTTTCCGAATCTCCCAAACATCCTCACTACTCCCCCACTCCCTCTTCCGCCTCTCATCCCTCTCCTTGTAAAAGTTCTTAATCGCCTCCGCTTTCGCCTTCTCCGGTAACGTCCTATTCCTCATACAGAACCAAAACGCTCCCCACTGCTCCGAGCACGAGTTCAGATGTCCGTAGCGGTAGATGTCGTTGAACTTCCCGCCGAGCGATTGACAGTAGAAGGCTTGGTCGAATTGTTGCCGGCAGGACATTGTGCGTGGGTAGATTGCTTCGGGGGAGATGTCGAGGGAGCCATCGGGGAGGATGCGAGAGGGTTCTGGTTCTGGTGTTGGTTCGGGTTTTATGGTCTGGGTTTGGGTGGAGTTTGGTGAGGATTTGGTGTCGTTTGCTTCTGCGGCGAAGGACTTTATCAGGGCTTCGAGTTCGGCGTCGGCTTTGTCTTCTTGGGTCTGCGGTTGTGGTGTTATGGCGGGTCCTGGTCTGCCAAAGATGCGTAGCCGCTGGTCTTCCGTGAGTGCGACGCTGCTGGTTTGCGGTGCGTGGTCCGCGCCATGGTCAGAGGATTGCGTCGGTGCTGCTTCTTTCGAGGATGCGCTCGACGAGAACGGCCAGAGCCAGCCCATGATGGTGTGTATTTTACGAAGCACGATGTCTCGAGGTTGCTCTCTTCACATGTCATCGGCGTCGGGGAATCTTCGGCCCGTCTCTTGACTTGACTTCACCTCCTCCCCTGAGCCATTTCGATACGACTACTCAAGCGAATCAAATCATTAAGTCGATAGAGGGGGGCACCGCTTCCATCGCAGCAATAGCAAAGGCGTTAGTGCTACCTTGTTCAAGCATAACCTCATTGGCCTCCGGAATTCGACCGAACTCAGAACTAACTCGAAACCACGCAACACTAGCGCTGTGTCCACAATGTCAAAAGAAAGCAAAGTCACCACCAGGCCAGCAACCTACGCAGACCTCGTCCCAGCAGCAAAATGTCTACAACGAGCATTCCAAAACGAACCCTTACACGGCGACATCCTCCACCCCATCCGCAAACAATACCCAGATGACATGTACCTATTCTTCCTCTCCAATCTCCGAGTCCAATACGTCAGCGGTCCCGACGTCCACCTCCACGTCGCCACAACAACCGACGCCACCGGCAAAGAAGTCATCACAGGCGTCTCCCAATGGCGGCGAGTCCGAGCGAGACCCCACCAGAGCCTCTACACCACCAACATGATGAAAGCCATGCAAAACTACAACTACCTCGAATCTTTCATCTACCCCAACCGCGCCCTCGACCCCTCCAAACTCGGCATCATGGCCGACATGTGGCCCTTCATGGCGCACCACTGGACGGGGACCCGCGCGGAAGTCTGGGACTTGTCGACGCTCGGCGTGGATCCGGCGTATTGGAAACGGGGCATCGGAAGGGAACTTGTGAAGTGGGGGATGGAGCTGGCGAGAATGTAGGGCGTGCCTTGTAGTGTGGTTAGTTCGGAGGGGAATGAGAGGTTCTATGAAAGGTGTGGGTTTGACGTTACGGCTGGGACGGCGGGGGAGTTTGGTGGGGAGAGGAATCCGGCGAGCAGTGTAGCTGGGGGTACGATTCATTTTTGGGATAATGGGGTTGTGCCGAGGGGGATTAAGAAGTATGGAGAAGTTTGAGATGGTTATGTTTGACAGAGAAAGGAAAATTCTAACTAATGCCGCCCTGATGTCTCCCCTCGTCACGATCAACACAACTCGCCGTTGGAACCCAGCCTCTCCTCGCATCTACGCTCCCGCCCGATGTGTCGGTCGCTGCTTAGTCTTCGATTTTGATGATGCCCTCGGACTTGACGGCCGCATTGCCTGACTTCTGCTTCTGCACCGCTCGCAGTCTTCGCTGGAGGTCCGCTTTCTCGCGCTCCAGCTGTATCTCTCGTTCCTGCCTCGAGACTTCGTCCAGTTCCGCCTGTAGATCGGACTCTTCTTCCTCGTTCCTGTTCTGGACCGACTGTCCGACATGCGCGTTCGACTATGGCTCTTCTTTGATGATAATCAAGTCATCGTCGTCGTCGATGGTTAGGTCGATATTCACGCGGGGCTTCTTCGGTGGCTGTTGCTCGATTGTGGTGCTTGCTGCTCGCTTCTCAGGACGTTGCGGAGCCACTGCACCATCGGCCTCTGCTTGGTCTTGTGCCACTGCCATCTCTCCTGACGTCCCAGTCTGACTCTCTTGCTCGGCGTTGGGTACTTCTGGAGAAGACCTCAGAGGCTCCGTGAAGCTTGGTTGGCGCCCCTGGTCTAGAGATGGGCTAGTAGCCTCTGAGTTGATGGCGATTGAAACTTCTCCGGCCGGCTTCTGCTGTTGGCTTGAATCATCGACCGGGCTTGGAGCTCTTGTCCCGTTCGCCGTGCTTCCTGTGATCTCGTCATCCTCCTGAGCATCTGACCCAGCGTTGACTGCGGTTGAAGATGTGACTGTCTCGCTGCTGCTCTCGTATTTCACCTCCTCTCCTATCTCCAACTTAGGCTCTTGATAGACCTCATCGTCGTCTTGATCGTCGTCTTGGTCATCGTCGTCTTCAGCATACCACTTGCGCACGAAGGCTGGCCGCTTGGACTTCGCCACTTTGATCTTCTTGCAGTTCGTGCACACTGGAGGCTTCGAGTCTTCCTTCGAAGCGTCGGGCTCTTTGCTGAAGAAAATTTGCGGAGGAGTCGGTGGTTTCGGGGGCTCTTCCTCGCCCACTCCTTGAAGTTTTGACGACTTTGCAAGGCCATTTTGGACCCAAGGCGTTAGTTTGAGCGTGAGTTTCTTCTTCGGACGATTGTGTGAGGGATCGGGACAGTCGCAGAACTCTGGCGTCGGTTTTTGACGCTTGGTGTTGGATTTCCTTGCATCATCTGCCCTCTTCTCGACCTGGGTACCAATCGTTGCCTGGGCAGACTGTTGCTCAGCGATAGCAGCTTGGCGATTCTTGAACGCATCGCTCATCTTCTGCCTTTCCTCCTTGTCTTGCTCCCGGATCCGGCGGAAGTCGGGATCATTGATGAAGGCGATGTCCACAATTGCCCCGACGCTGGTGACGGCAGATGGCATTTGATTCAGTGGCTGCGAGTTGTTTACACTTCTGATGCAGTCTTTGCGTAATTGTCAGCTTTAGCTCAATACTTCATCAACGACTGCCAACCATACCTTCGGACCGATATCGAAACTCGAAGATGTACGGAAACCCGTTCTTGCCTTTGAGCTTCTTCGTCTCTCCTTTTTGGAAATCGCGTTCTACAGAGGGGTCCTGAGGTCCGTAGAGTCTGTGAGAACTTTAGTTGTTTGGGACAGCTTGCAGTATCGGCGCTGCTCTACCTGTTGAAGTTGGTCTGGGTGTCGGCCTGGTCCAGCCATTTTGGAGTAACACGATATAGAGTTACCGTGATTGAGCCATTCGCACGCCGCCCTGCTTCGAGAACAGTGCATTTGTCATGGTCAAATGCACCGCTCAGTGCTGCGGGAGTCAGCTCTGTCAAGGAAATGAGAGCCAGAAGTTGGCTTACCTTTGGGTGCGTCTGCCATGATATAGCGCATGAGGACTTGTTTCCAATGGGTATCTCGGTAGTGGGCCAAACACGTCAATGTTTGCTCAAAGACAAGCGACCGTTGCGTGATCATGGACCTGACTTTGTGGGGCGTTTGCCGTCCATCACGTATCGTGGTGTGTAGCCCAGAGGCGCTATACATTTTGAAGTGCGGATGACATCTAACCACAACATCGAAGTTGCCCTGGTGAGCTAGAATGAGACAACGCTTGTTCCGCTCTTCTCCTTCTCCTTCGAATGACTCGAAGTCTCGAGGTGGGAATTCGGCGAATTTGACATCTTCGTTCTCAGTCCCATGAGGCTTGAGGTAGACCTCAATTCCGTCTTCGTGGATCATATTCTGGTCGATAGCAGCTTTGATTCAGTGTGCCGCTCTTGGATCAGATCCGTGTTGGCTGTGCGAGGTTTAGAGTTGTACTGCACCGCGCGAAGGTATTCGAGTGTTTAAAAGGTGGAAGGAGGTGGTAGCTGGATGTGTTCAAGACGAGGTTGAAAGGTGTTGCAACAGAAGAGGTTGAGAGAAAGTAAGAAAGAAGGAAGACGTCTTAAAAGGGACGGAGCATGTGAAGAGAATGAAAATGTCTCCTCACAATATCAGACTTGTGATTGGCCTATTGAGGTTTTAGAGCAGTCGACGCCATGCACATGTTGATGTCGCATGTGAGGCGGGCCAACAAGTAGACATCTGAAAAGCAGTATGTTGAATTGATGTCGAAAGTGATAAGATGTAGCGGTACATCCAGGTCCGTTGTCAATTGCACGGGCGCCTGTTTCCGTAGAAGAAGAAGAAGCGTAGGAAGACCATTATCGATACATCTTGCCGGTGGTCATCGTGCCTGGGTACTCGTCTCTCCTGGGATGAATCAGCTTGTAGACATGTCGACTCAGTCGACAAACAGTCCTACGTCCTTCGGGCAGCTGAGCCGTGAGGAGCCTACACAACGTACCTCAACTATAATGCTTATGGAGGGAAATGGCGTGTCAGTCGGGCAAAAGCATGCCTACCGTTACACGCTGTAGTATACTGCATTGCACCTCCTGCGACTTGGTGAAGACAGAGACCCTAGTGCTGTGTACGATGCCTGCTTCAGATAGCTCTCAACTGCCAAGACCGGTCGTCTCTCGGGGCCAGCCACAAAAATCAAACAGATCAGCAATAGCAACGCTGTCAGGAACAGCCTCGATGGTTCTCTGGGGCTAGGATGTCACTGTGGGCGTGGTTCCATCAGTGCAGACGTTGACAGCCGTTGCTGAAGTGACGACACACTCCACGTGCTACATCATGAGACAAGCACGGGCTGGCCTGAGGCTCTCGCTTTTTCTGGAGATCCCTGCAACTTTCTTGCCAAGACCGACGTCATGGGCCAACACGTGATCTGGATTTCCATAGAATCATCGCATTGAGACAACCAGAACAGCACAGAAAAGGCAGTAGAGCTCTCGCAGCTTCCATATTTGTCGACGAATCAGTGTGAGTGAATGTTGGCGGCGGCATCTCGCGACAGGTCCGCAGACAGAAGGTGCGAGGGGCGGGTAGATGTGGCGCGCGCTTTCCTGACGATTCTGGAGGGAAGCTTCGAGAAACATCGCTGAAGCAGACTCTTTTGACGCAGCTCTACTTATTTTGCCAACCGCACACAACAATTCTCTCCTCCCACACACAACACAAACACCACTTCTTCGTCTCTCAACCACCCCGAGACCACTACCACGAACGACTTCTTTTCCAATCGCGTTTTTGATACCCCCACCTTTCCTACTCGACAACTGACCCACATCCACCATGGCACCAGCAATCGGCATCGACTTGGGTACTACCTACTCCTGCGTAGGTGTGTTCCGTGACGACCGCATCGAGATCATCGCCAACGACCAGGGCAACCGGACCACGCCCTCCTTCGTCGCCTTCACCGACACCGAGCGGTTAATCGGTGACTCCGCCAAGAACCAAGTCGCCATGAACCCCGCCAACACCGTCTTCGATGCGAAGCGCCTGATCGGCCGCAAGTTCCAAGACGCTGAGGTGCAGGCCGACATGAAGCACTTCCCCTTCAAGGTCATCGAGAAGCAGGGCAAGCCTGTCGTCCAGGTCGAGTTCAAGGGCGAGGAGAAGACTTTCACACCAGAGGAGGTCTCCTCCATGGTCCTCACCAAGATGCGTGAGACCGCAGAGTCATACCTCGGTGGCACCGTCAACAACGCTGTCGTCACTGTTCCAGCATATTTCAACGACTCGCAGCGACAAGCCACCAAGGACGCTGGTCTCATCGCCGGCCTCAACGTCCTCCGTATCATCAACGAGCCAACCGCAGCTGCTATTGCCTACGGTCTCGACAAGAAGACCGAGGGCGAGCGCAACGTGCTCATCTTCGATCTGGGTGGTGGTACCTTCGATGTGTCCCTCCTTACCATCGAGGAGGGCATCTTCGAGGTCAAGTCCACGGCCGGAGACACCCACTTGGGTGGTGAGGACTTCGACAACCGACTCGTCAACCACTTCGTTAATGAGTTCAAGAGGAAGCACAAGAAGGTTAGTAGTGCCTCAGAAACCGACAACTATCCCCAGAACAACAAGCTAATCAATTCGCAGGATTTGACTTCCAATGCCCGGGCCCTCCGTCGTCTGCGGACAGCATGCGAGCGTGCCAAGCGCACTCTCTCTTCGTCTGCTCAGACCTCCATCGAGATCGACTCCCTGTACGAGGGCATCGACTTCTACACCTCCATCACCCGTGCCCGATTCGAGGAGCTCTGCCAGGACCTCTTCCGCTCTACCATGGAGCCAGTCGAGCGTACCCTCCGCGACGCCAAGATCGACAAGTCCTCCGTCCACGAGATCGTCTTGGTCGGTGGCTCTACCCGTATCCCCAAGATCCAGAAGATGGTCTCCGACTTCTTCAACGGCAAGGAGCCAAACAAGTCCATCAACCCCGACGAGGCCGTCGCCTACGGTGCTGCCGTCCAGGCTGCCATTCTCTCTGGTGACACTTCCAACAAGTCGACCAACGAGATCCTGCTCCTCGACGTCGCGCCGTTGTCTCTCGGTATCGAGACTGCCGGTGGTGTCATGACTCCTCTGATCAAGCGCAACACCACCATCCCAACCAAGAAGTCCGAGGTCTTCTCCACCTTCTCCGACAACCAGCCAGGTGTGCTCATCCAAGTCTTCGAGGGTGAGCGTGCTCGCACGAAGGACAACAACCTGCTCGGCAAGTTCGAGCTCACCGGCATTCCACCAGCTCCTCGTGGTGTCCCACAGATCGAGGTCACCTTCGACCTTGACGCCAACGGCATCATGAACGTCTCTGCCCTCGAGAAGGGTACCGGCAAGACCAACAAGATCGTCATCACCAACGACAAGGGCCGCCTCTCCAAGGAGGAGATCGAGCGCATGCTTGCTGAGGCCGAGAAGTACAAGGAGGAGGACGAGGCCGAGGCTTCCCGTATCCAGGCCAAGAACGGTCTCGAGTCGTACGCCTACTCCCTCAAGAACACCCTCAGCGACCCCAAGACCGAGGAGAAGCTTGAAGCTGCCGACAAGGAGAAGCTGAAGGCTGAGATTGACAAGACCGTCGCTTGGCTCGACGACAATCAGCAGGGCACCAAGGATGAGTACGAGAGTGCTCAGAAAGAGCTCGAGGGTGTTGCCAACCCCATCATGATGGTAAGTTCATCACAACTCCCCGATTGAACACATTGAACATATGCTAACTTCTTTTGCAGAAGCTCTACGGTGCTGAGGGCGGTGCTGGCGGCATGCCTGGTGGTATGCCAGGTGGTGCCGGTGGCTTCCCAGGTGCTGGCGGCCCAGCTGGCGGCGCTGGTGGCGATGACGGCCCAACCGTCGAGGAGGTTGACTAAATGCTTCCTCCCAAGCATCCTTTCTCTTCTTGATACCTACATGCATGGCAGTACGGCGTTAACACAGGGAAATTAGATGGGTTATGAGCGATGACTGGGATGACGGAAAAAGCATCATCCTGTTTCCTGTAATGTAGCATGCCTTTCAAAAGATGAAAGGCTTCAGCAGCAATGAAAGAGTTCAAAAAACAACAATGTTCCATCTCTGGTCTCCCTTACTGTCTGACATCTATTCATATTGACCTTCTACCTCGAATATCACCACCATCCCGCCCATCTCTATCTCGACCACGCTGACATGCTGTATCAGAGCACTCGAGACAGCTGAAAATTCACGGGAATGATGATGACATTGGCAAACGTGTCTTTCATACTCTTCGGCGTCTTCCCTCTCCGACTTCTCACGAGGCGCAGGCTCAAAGCATCATCAACCTTCACAAACATTCATCCCCGAAATCATACCTATCACCGTGCCAACAACTCGGCGTTGCAAAAGTTGGCTCCTTCGAGATTCTTGGGGATAGCTGGTTCATCATGCTCTCCTCGTCCATCGTGCTCTCCATCCTCGTCCGAGACTCCTTCGGTCTGTAGGGAGCGGAAAAACGTGGCTGAGATCCAAATCTGAACAATCCATCTTCCTCCACGGCTTTCATATTCCTGTCTCATTCGGTGTTCGGGCCTGACTTCTCATCATGGAGGTTACTTCGTCCTGGATCTGAGGAGACTGACGATGGTAAACTGCCCTGGAGATGACACATCCCCAACACATGATCGCTGACTGAGCTCTCAACACACCACCTGAGCCTCGTGTACGGGATGAGACTGCTGGGATACCCAGAACCTCAGTCATTCCATACTCCTCGATTCCCAAAAACCGACCAGCTTCACGCCTTTGAATCCACCACTGGCTGATTGATATGATTAGCTCAGCAGCAAGGTACTGATAATGCTAGAGCATTGAATCTTCATACCACTCGTTTGTATCTTCTCACAACTACTAGATCGATGGAGTAGCGCCTCATATATGTACAGTTAATTCCATGTCAATCTTCTGCCGATTTGATATCAGATCTCCTTTCCTACATCCCCTTTCCTACGCCTCAATGCTCCCTCCCCCATCCCCCTCACCACGCAAGCTACTAAAACTCCGTACTAAGCACCTTCTTCAACACCGCACTCTCCCTCTCCAACTCCTCCACCCGCCCCTGCCCACTCGAAATCTTCCCCAACAACCACTGCACCCTCGCCAACAACTCCCGCGGCTGCTTCGGCAACTCCCCCAAAAGCTTCAACTCCTGCTCATACTTATCAATACTCTTATTCTCCCCGGCAATCGCCTCCCCGAGCAACCCCAGCTCCATCTTCGCCCGCAGCACATTATCATCGCGCAGCTGCTGGAACGCCGGGAGGTACACCGGTTTGCCCGGCTTGATGCTGTGCGGCCGGCCGTTGGACGACTGCACGGTGATGAGCTCGGCCTGCTCGAGGGCTTGCAGGGCCTTGTCGCCGTTTGTGGCGAAGGGCGTCTGCAGCAGGACTTCGTTGTAGCGCAGGGTTTCGTTGTCCGCGAGGCTGCGGACTAAAGTCCAGGCTTGCGCGGACGTCCAGTCGCGGTTGTCGCTGTTGAGGAGGAGGTACATTTTGAGGATCTCGGAAGAGGATTGGTCGATGATTTCTTGGACTGCCTTTGTGGGTGTCTCGCCGGCTTTGATGCGGCGGGCGAAGAATTCGAGGTCCGTGAGGCGGCCGCCGAGGTAGCCGATGACTTGGTCGAGTTCGCGGAGGTCTTCGCGTTTTTGGGAGGGGGTGAGGGGTTTGCCGTCTTCGCCGGTTTGGTCGTCTTCGCCGACGACTTTGCTCGGTTCGGCGTCGAAGTCGAGGTGGTTGATCACGTAGCGTTTGGCGACGTCTGGGGAGCAGTCTCCTAGGGAGATTTGGCGGAAGACGCGGTCGGGGAGGGCTTTGCTGAGGGATTTGCTGAAGGAGACGTCGGTTGTGAGGAAGATGACGTGGGCGATGTTGGAGGTTGTGAGTTGGGCGGCCCATTCTGCTAGTTTGTCGTAGACGAGAGCAGCGCCGGCCTCGCCGTTCTTGTGCAGGAAGTTGTCGATGACTACGACTGGTCGTCGTTCGGGGTGCGCTTCGAGGAACTCGTCATCGGACAGCTTGGAGTCTTTGTCGTCGCTCTTGCGGCCTTCCAATGCGATGCTCTTCAATGCCGTCGACGTCTTTGTCCAGATCTTGCTAATCTGAGCGTCTAGCGTATCGGAGAAGCCTGCTTTTGATCCAGTCATACCTTGCGCTGCGAGGTCCATCAACCCGCTTATGTTGTTCATCCAGGAGAAGACAGGCCAGTAGCCAACCTGTGCAGCAGCAGAGGCGATGGTAGCAGCATCTCCGCGAGCTTCTTGCATCGGTTTGCAGTCAATTGTGAGAACCCTGGCATCGTCAGTCACGACTAGATATGAGCATCTCAGAATGTAAATCATACCTATGAGCCTCCCTCTTATGCTGCAACGCATGTTCAACAACCAACTCCCTCTTCCCACTACCCCTCGGGCCCTGGACCACAATAAACGTATCAGCAGACTCCATCAACCAAGACTGAATCTGCTCAATCTCTCGCTGGCGGTCCTCCCACACAACCTGCATGCCCCCATCATTCGAATCAGATTCCTTTCCAAATGCTCTGACCTTGTTGATCAGATCCTCTCCTTGCTGGCGGAACCACCGAAACACGAAGTTATCCTCCAGATGGAACGCCCTGGTAATATGCGCCTTGATGGAAAGCGTTCGGATGGGATCGAAAATCGCCACCGTAATCGTCGCCACTAACGCCGCGAACAACGGGATCATAATCCGGATATTCTTCGACATCCAATCCTTGATCCACCCCGTCCGCTGCTTCTTCTCGTACGTCAGTCTCAGCACCGTCCCCATCTTCCCGCCTCCCTCAGCATGCGATACCGTATACCCGTGCATGCAATTCTTCGCCATGATCGCCTTGCGGTAATGCGAGAAGTCCAAATACGCATATCGCGGCACGACTTTGGAGTCGGACGGCTGAGCGATGATATCTGAAAGTTTGCCAAAGGGGCGGAAGAAGCTATACAATTGCTCTTGGCTGAGCTCCGCCGCTTCTGCGCCAGGCTCGGTGGGGAGGAATTCGACTTTGACCCGTCGGGATGGGTTGCGGGAGAGATCCTCAACCCACGGCTTTCCTAGCACGAGGTTTGCGCGTACGCTCGTGAAGGGGTTCCACCAGGGTCGGGCTTTGTGGTCTCGCAAATACTTGGCCACGGCATCTGCGATCGACTTGGAATCGTGGGAATTATCGTGGTTGAACTTGAGGAACGCGCCACCCTCCCCGAATCTCGGGAGAACCTCCACCACGTCCGCATTCCCCAGTTTCGCTTCCTGTGTAGCCTTCTCGAAGATCCTCGCTGGGTTGATGACCCCCAAACTGTCGTTCTGCGTCATGTCGATGAGTTTGGAGGGTTTCCGTCCGATTCGGCTTGTGATTCGCACGAGGGAGTTAAGATTTGGTGGGAGGATGCTGTTGAAGAAGAGGATACCTTCAGATGGGGTTGTAGTAATGTGTCCTGATTTGTTATCGCCTGTGTCGCCGACCATGTATCTTTTTGCAGTCCAAGAGGTTCTTGTGGAGGGTATTATTACTCCTCGTGCCAGGCCGCTTGGTCGGCTCAGAAGCCATCGGGATAACATGATTCTTAGAGAGGAGCCTGCCGGCTCGTCAAGATTTTATTATTGTGACATATCCAAAGAGATCATAGTCCCAGTCAAAGAAGAGATGGAGGAAATGATGGGAGGACGTATGAGTATAGTGATTGCTGAAGTGAGGGATGGATGTGGCGCATGCCACAGCTCTCTCGACGCGCCAAGCCCGCCACTCAAAACCCGGTTTCCATTCACTTCGCTTCTTCACGCTAGCCAGATGTAGGACAAGACCTATCAATCACATACCAGAACTCTGGGTCATGGCTTTCGTCAGGAGAGAACATTGTAGGATAACAAAGTATGTCATATATTCATTCCGATCAAATGTTAGATTCGTCAAATGCACTCTCAAATCGTCAAACTCCAAGCCGCAACCCCCGGGTCCAACGCCTGCCAAACAAACGGCATCCCCTGACTCAACCCATTCGCATCAAAGCCGCGATTCCTCACAACTTCACTCCTCGCACTCATAGCGCTCTTGAACTTCTCATTCGCCGCTCGAGTCGCACTGTTCATGCGGTGCAGCATGATCGGATCGTCGAACATGTTGATCAGGGAGCGGTTCGTATTCGCCAGCAATGGACGAGCGAAGTTGGCGGCTACGCCGATGAATCCGAGGGCTTTGTCGAGGGGTGGAAGGTAAGATGCTACGTCTGTGACGTTTTTGGCGGTTGGGATGGGTTTGTATAGCGCTGTTGGGTGGAAGGGGAGGGTCGAGGCGACGGTGATGAGTTGATTGAGATTGATGGCGTGGTGGGAAAATGAGACGAGACGGCCGATTTCTGCGAGGAGGGTCGCGAGATTTGAGCGGGTTTTGATTGTAGGGAAGTCGATGACGCCGGCGGGTCCGTTGGCCTCCTTTATCCAAGCTTGGAGTTCCTTGTCGCTTGATATGGCGGCGTCGGAAGAGTAGTATGACGAGATGAAGGTCCCTGTGAAGTCTCTGATGGCGTTGTAGATGGGCGTGGCGTCTTCGTAGAATGGGAAGCTCTTGAGTGCAGGACCAACTGGGGAGTTGATGAGGCCTCGTTTTTCGAGGTTAGTCAGGAAGTAGTTCGATCGGAGAGCACCAGCTGAGCCGTTAAAGTAGGTCTCATTAGCAAATTGTGCAGCAGCAGCCCCCGAATTTCCGAAGTATTGGTCGATGTCACCTCCAGGTCGGATGAGGATCACCAGTGCCAGTGGGCGAATGCCAAAGGCGCCGTAGAGAACTAAATGTGTCAGCTTCTACCGGTTATATGCATAAGCAGAAGAACTTACGACGTTTCAGAATAGCCAGAACAGGATGACTGTCAGACAACGTACGAACAGCCGCTTCGTGCACAATCTCGGCGACGAAGTGATTCCTTGAGAAATGGTCGAACTGTGCCATGAAGAAGTCGTTCACATTGAACATGATCTTTGCAAGCAACCAATCGTCGGCAGTATCCTCAGGGGTGTAAACCAGGTTATTGCTGACGCCAGTGCGGATTGCAAGCGGCAATAAATCGCCGCTGGAGGGACAGATGTAGAAAAGAGCGTCACATGCGGGGGCGTACTGCGGTGGTTGCGCTTTTTGCAATCTTCCTTGGACAGTATGATCGACGTAGAACAGTCTTCCAGACGTGAAGAGACTCTCCAAAGTTTGGCCAGTGACTTTGGCAACGATCGCGTTGTCAACTTCGAATGGTATGCTGTCGCTGGGAGGGTTCAATCGCCGTACAGCATACGGATTGAACGAGAGTCGTTCCATAGAGAACAATAGATCCTGCGTATAGTTGGTGAGAATTCCATCATATTGGCCAGTCGGTTGGGAACTCGGTTGCCATTCGCCGTCATATAATTTTGTATAATCGTCCAACGTCTTGAGACCGTTGTACTGCAAATCTGTCAGCTGGCGTCTCGTGTTGTAGGGATAGAGCGACTACCTTTGCATTATCCAGACGGGCCTTCGCGTCGTCGGTCCTCATAATGGTCACTTGCGCAGCGAGCTCTGCGTCGTCTATTGCGCCGTCCATCGTTGCATATGTCGTTCCGAGGACCCCGGCAGGATAATAAGGCCCAACACCAACAGGAGGGCCATATGTGAACGTCAACTGTTTGGTAGTGATGTCCGCGGCTCTGAGGACGTCTGGTCCATTCGGTGGCAGAGAATATGGCAGGAGCGACGAGGAACTGCTATTGTCCTGTCTCTCTTGCAATAAGTGGACCTCATCTCCTATATCCGGCACTGGTGAGGCAGAGACGGCCGCCAGCAGAAGAGAATATATGACAGATCTCATGTCTGCTCGTCCGAAAAAAGTTCCTGGGAATAGAGCGAACGTGTAATACCTGCGCACGCACAGCTGATGAAGAGAGGGTACCTACAGAAGCATTAATACTCCCATCAAGCCATCTGCGTATGCCCTGGAGCGGAACAGAGGCTGTCGACACTTCACATCGCTCACAGCCGTGGTATATGCATGCAACCCCTAGCGCCAGACGCCACGGAACAGCATGGAAATCCCATAGTCACTTTTAATTGGCGCGAATGCAGCCAACATCCATCGGTCCCGGGTCAGGCGAAAGGTTGTCTTGTCGGCGCTGCGCGTGCTCGCATCCTGTGAGTGGTTGCGATGTTGGATCCCCGAAGGCGCTCTGTATTCCCTGAATAGGATGCGGCAGGTCTTGTCCCGGTCAGTGTGGCAGTCGTGAGCAGACTTCCGGTGACACCGCAGGAGAGAACCAAGACCCCGAGGATCTTGCCTGTATCCGTGCATCCTGTTTAATGTTCCTGGGGGAAAGTCAGCCAGGAATACAAAATTAGCTCCTGTTCAGCTTGGAAAAGAAGGTGGGATGTTTGCCACGTGATATCGAATTAGCTTTTGGCATGAATGTGCCGACGAACGATGGATTTGTGAGCATTCGTTAATCATGCCATTTCTTGCTGATGCAGATGAAGCCTTCGCCGACGTCAGACGTGACACCGTACAAGAAATCGGTCGGCGATCTGACTGACCGTTCTCGTAGGATGCGAGAATAGCGAGAACAAACCAATGCGGGCAACAATGAGCTTGCGTGCTAGAACGGGAAACCACAGCAGGTGTCGGCCCAAGCAGAGCCCCAGTTTCGTGCCTCGTGCTTGAGTAACGTTCATCTGTCATGCCACGTTACAAATGGTAGCTTACAGTGTCAAGCCTCCTGTGGCTCGGCTTTGATCTCATCTGTGAACATGGGCTCCTGTTTGATGATGGGGGTATCGCCTTCTTCCTTCTTGACAGAGCCCTCATCGGTGCTCGAGTTACTGACCATACTGGCCCTCTTCGACAGTGGTTGCAGTCCTGACAAATCTTGATGATCGTGCAACAATGTCTCCGTCGCGCTGAGGCGGCTCTTCTCATTGACGGGCGGCTTGCGCGGTCTCCTGGTGGAGCCCGTGCTGCTCGTTGAGTGTGCACTACTGCCTCTGCGTTCGCGTCGTTGGTGTCTAAAACGAGTCAGCCAGAAGCTCGGCACCGAGCATTATTTGATGGGATGCTGTGCTACACGTACCGTGCCTCTGAATCTGGGGTCGGTGCTCGCGAGTGCGAGGAGTTTCGAGAATGCGAGCCATCACGAAGGATGCTCTCTTTATGTCGTCGCTCTTTGATGACTGGTACTGGTACCTTCTCTTTCAGCGCGAGTTTGTCGAGATCAAGCTGGCGTCGCGACTTTCGGGTTGTGAACAGACCAAGGCGAACATTGTGCCAACCTCGCCAGCCTGTCCACCACAGCCATCCACTTTCGCGTTTTGCCACTTCTCGCTGGCGAGCTTTCACAATCGCACGAAGTGAAGTGCGCCTAGAGTTTTCTCGTTCCCAGTACTCCATGCGGAAAGTGTCCCATCCTTCTCTGAAGTCGGGCGAGAACGGCTTTGGCAAAAGCAAGACTCTTAAAACATCCCCACCGGGCGCGAGATCTTCTTCCAAGAGGCCATGTTTCGCTGCGTGAGTGTTCCAGTGATCTTTTGATGCGTTGGCCTCGATATCCTTTGGTATCACCTGAAAGTTGACACGATCTTCTCGTAACCATCCGAACGGATCCAGCATCCCAATCCAGCCGAGGACTTCGGAAAGGAAAGAGCCCTTCACCACCACGACTTTCAGGTTGAAGCCTCGCAAGCCACGGTTGGTAGTCCCCACGAACTTTCTCGGCCATCGAACGCCTCGTTCGTACATGCCAGTGCCCAAGAAGAGGCAGAAGGTGACTATGCCAGAGCACCAACCGAGCTTCTCCGCTGACTCCAGGACCCAATAGACGCTTCCCCCAACGCCACTGCCATCTTCTCGAGGTCGGAAGAAGAGTAGGTAGGTGAATGAGAGGTTCCACGCCGTGAGGGTAATAAGAAGCAATAGATGCATGCGCAGCCGGGCGCGCAGGCTGATGTACTGCAGTCTTAGGGAGGATTCCAGAATAAGTAGATTGAGATATATTTGTGGCGGACTTGACGGCAAGGCATCTCGAGGGTCGTTGTGATGTCCAGGCAATGACGGCGGTACTGGCGCAGTGATAGAGTGCGAGGTCGATGAAGCCTACCTCAAGGTCGTTAGCCTGAAGATTTGCATGCGGTGCGATTCATGGCGGTCTTACCTTCGCATTGGCAGCCACTTGCTCCGCCGATACATCGGGCGGAGGCGCGCCCTTGACTATGCGGTCGATCGGGTCGCTCATGATGCTGATGGGGGAGTGTGATATAAATGCGATTGCAGACCCCAGCAGCGGCGTGAAGTTCGCAATGCCCGTCCCAGCACCAACATCCCAGTACGCGTGACGTCAAATTGTGAGCGGTGTTTTGATGGATGAGTGACCCGGTCACGACTCCATGGCGAGTTGCATGTGACAGGCGGCTCTGGCGTCGGCGGGTGTTCCTGAGCGCGAGGGTAAAGTGTTGTTGAGGGCGATGCAGAGTGGAAGCTCTTCGGATTGCCGCAACGTGGGCGACCAAGTGGCGTGAATGGCTGGTTGAAGCCCTCGGATTGTGCGGCGGCTGCCAGAGCCAGGGATCGGCGCGCCCTCCAACACAAATATAATGCTCCACGATCTGGTATGAACAACTCTCCTCGTGCTCACCTCCAGAATGTGGCAGCCTGGTCTCGTCTGTCAGCCTCGTGCGAAACACAATCTCCGTCCGCCGCATCATACGCCCGTTCGCCTGTGACCGCAGCGCGGATATAACCCACTCCCGCTTGCTTAAAGCACCAATCCGTCGCCTACAGTGGCTGCTCTCCTCAAGTCGGCGGGAGCAAGTCTCCTCGCATTTCCTGCCAGCCTTCGTTCATCCCTCCTCCTCGCCGCAATCTACAACGTAAACAAGGAACCCATTCCACCGCAAACCTCATCGAGAAACTACACCACGACCACTATGGCCTCCGAGCCGCCGAGCGCGCCCATGGGCAACCGACCAGTACTGGCCCGGCAGCGCGCAAAGGAGGATGCAGAGGCTGAGGGCAAAGCACCTCCAAAGGCGAGCTACTTTCCTTTGGGATATAAAGATGGCTTCTCGCAGTGGTGGGCAAGCCTGGCTCCTGCTGTCACCGAGCACAAGGTCATGAGCTTCATCCCGTACCTTCAGAAACCACCCACCCAGACTGGCAGCGCGCCGCCTAGCACGACCACATCATCTCTGAGCCTGGATAAGAGCGTGTCTGACGTGGAGTGTGTGCAAAGAACGAGCAGCATAAACGATCCTTATGGCCCACGACAGTGGCAAAGCAACATGGTGCAGCTGGCGGGCAAGAACAGATACCTGAACGAGTTCAGTGTGGAAAGATTGGGTGAAGACGTCAACAACAACCTGGTTATGTTGCACGGATATGGCGCCGGATTGGCCTTCTTCTACAAAAACTTCGAGGCACTGTCACGCTTGCCACACTGGAAGCTGTACGCTCTGGACATGCCAGGGATGGGTCGCAGCAGTCGCCCACCTTTCAAGATTCACGCAAAAGATAAGGAAGGCAAAGTAAGAGAAGCAGAGAATTGGTTCGTGGATGCTCTTGAGGAGTGGCGCAAGAAGAAGGGCATAGAGAAGATGACACTGCTCGGACACAGCATGGGTGGCTACATGGCAGTTTGCTATGCTTTGAAATATCCAGGCCATCTCAATAAGCTCATTCTGGCATCGCCAGTTGGCATACCCGAGGATCCATATGCTGTGAACGAAGACATGCCAGAGCCAGGCGACAGCACTATGGTCAACGAAGTTACACAAGACGCCAATGACGCAACAGCAGCCAAGAAGCCACCACCGCGCAGGCAGATGCCCAAGTGGTTTGCAACTCTTTGGGACGCCAACATCTCGCCATTCTCCTTGGTACGACTCTCTGGTCCTCTAGGTCCTCGACTAGTCAGTGGCTGGACGAGTAGGCGCTTCTCGCACCTGCCTGAAGACGAGGCCCAATCACTTCACGACTACAGCTATTCTCTGTTTCGACAACGTGGCTCTGGCGAGTACGCTCTGGCGTATATTCTGGCCCCTGGAGCTTTTGCTCGATCGCCTCTGATTAGGAGAATTCATGGAGTGGGACGTCAGTACCTCGAAGTCCACAAGGAACCATCGCCCGACAACTCCTCTGCTACTTCGTCATCCGCAGCTAGCAAAGTCCGAGAAACGGGCATTCCCGTCGTCATGTTGTACGGCGAGAGCGACTGGATGGACGTCGCAGGTGGCTATGCTTCAGAAGAGGCTATCAACGCTGAGAAGAAGAAGGCATTGGCTCAGGCGTCAGACAGAGAGAAGAAGCTGGAGAACGGCGACGTCAAAGTCTCGATCATCCGCAAGGCCGGTCACCACGTCTACCTCGATGGTTACGAGCAATTCAACAACGAGATCTTCGACGAGCTGAGGGATGTGGAAAAGCGGCAAAAGAGACTTGCTGCATTGGCATGAATGGAACTTGTGGTGATATTTTCGCCTTGGATTTTAGCGACGGCGCTGGGGTTTTGGAAGAGTCTAAACGATAGACGAACAGCTACTAGAGAGAGTCGAACTGATGAAGAACTTTACTACACAGCATCTACCTTCGTGCAGGGCTTGATATATGGTCGTACTGATACACACCTCACTGTCCATTCCTTCACAATAGGGCCGACTATCCAATCCTTGCCGAGAGCCGTAATTGGCAACAATGGGTCGACCAATCGTTGCCGACCCCTGAGACGCCACAGGAACGAAGAATTCAACCTCGCGCGCCACGCTTCTACTGAAAAGCATTGGTACGAATGGTTGAAGCTGTCGAGGTCATCATACTAATCGCCATGAGTAAGTACCGTTAGGCGCATGTGAGGCAAAAAGCTTGTTACTGTTTCTTCGACGACCTCACCTCTTCATCATCAAGTTTCCGCCTATATAACTCGACTCCCCAGGACGTATACGCAGACCAATCCCACGAGAAGAAATAAAAAAGTTCTACAGACCAAACCGCAGTCCGCGCCAAACCGACCAACATGGCCACCCTCCTCCCCCTCCTCGCCCTCTTCGCCACCTCCACCCTCGCCCAATCCTCTATCCTCTCCCTCCCCTTCTACGGCTACGACACCCAACCCATCGTCGCCTCCATCCTCTCCTCCAACCCCACCGCGACAACCCTCGCCCTCGCCTGCCGCCCCGGCACCGACGCCTCCGACTGCGGCCTCTTCCCCGCACAGACCCTCACCATCGGGCCCTCGACCTACAACATGTTCATCGGCGAGGGGACCGCGTTCACGGGGACGCAGCAGTGTGCCACGCAGGGGACCACGGCGGCGGTTTGTACCGAGAGTAATGCGGGGAGTGAGGCGAATTTTCCTGGGGTTAGTACCACGACGTATGAGGGGACGGATGTGGTTGTTCTTCCGGTTACGGTTACGGCGGGGGTGGAGCGGTTGGGTGGTGGTGAGTCGTTCTCGAGGATTTGTAGGAGTGCGTGTCGAGCTGATGTTGTTGTTTTAGGTGGTTCTGCGTCTGCCTCGACGGGTTCTTCTGGATCGAGCGCGCCGGCTTCTGTGAGCGCGACGGCTACGTCGAGTGGAGAGGTTACGATGTTGACGGGGACTGCTTCGTCTTCGTCTTCTTCGGCTTCGAGGTCGGGATCTGAAAGCTCGTCTTCTTCTTCTGGTACGGGATCGGCTACTGGATCTGCTGCGGCGACGTCTTCGAGTAGCGCTGCTATGGCCGCCACGAAGGTGTCGGGAGGACTCTTTTCATTTCTTTTGGCGGCTGCTAGTGCGTTTGGATATGCTCTGTCCTAGAGGGAGTAGCATAAAGTTCAATTCGACGACAGAAGACACAAAACAGTATTCAAACATTCGAGTTCAATAGTGATCAAAACGAAGAAGTGCCGAAACAGTACGCCGCACCGCAAGTGTCCAACATTATTACGCACCAGTGCACCGATCATGGGAACCTCGCGCACCGCAGTGACTGATGGAACCACTGAGGAACAATCCATCTGTAGACTGAACACCAAAGAATGAGAGACCAATCCTATCATGGCGAGGCAGCAGAGTGAGAAAGGAAGCAGCGTGAGTGGAGGTTGATCTACCTAGAACTGAAAAGACTCACTTCTCGGGCAAATTGCGAGGTCTCAGGACACGATCACTTGTTGTTTACACTAAAGATCACCTGTTTTGAGTCTACAGCTCACTCTGAGTTTATCACATACTTTTGAATGTATCTTCGTTGAAGCTCTCGTTTGAATAGCTATCGGAGGCATTCTTCCAGTCCACTGCCTCTAGCATAACTCGTCTATCCTGGCACAGGGAAAACAACAAGCCCTTGTCGATGCAATATCATGCGCTACCGTTCTGCTCAGTCGGATCTCTCCTTCTCATTTCACGTCCTCTGCGATGTTGTGTCCTTCCCCAAATCTCTACGTGGTCGAACTCTTGCATGCCGCCAAACCTGGCTATCTCCATGCTTCCGAAACTGTCTCGTGAAGCCTGCCAAGTCATATGAATGTAATGTAGTGTCCTACCACGTCTCTTTCAAGAGGTCATCGTACTTCTCCAGAAGACCCGAACCGCACACACGAGCAGGAAAATGAGAGCAGCTCAGCGATCGCATTGCCTCAAGGTCGCCTCGCGCACACTTCTCTAGCGTCTGCTGGTCGTGCAGGATACGGTCAAGCAATGCAATGTCGTGTGAAATGCGCTGATGGCTGTCTGCGGCCTCGTCTTCGATGGACGATCGGACTCTCTCCAGGGTCACTTTTGCAAGCCGAATGGTAGTCTCGGTGCCGCGTTCGAGGAGCGGCCATACCACGAACAGATGTGAGGCAGGCCCGAAGGCGTGATTGACGACAGGTCCGTGCGGACAATCGATCAGGACTCGCACATGTTCTTCGATTGAGATCTGCGCGGCGTAGAGGAATTCGGACCCTTGCAGACCATAACACCTCATCTGGAGTTCCGCGGCGTTGCTCGCAATGTCGCTGAGCAATTGCACCAGGATGAACAACGGAATCTTCGCTACGCCCACGAGGAGTGGGTTCTGCATGCAGGCGCGGAAGAAGTCCCACTTTCTCTAAGCACGGATGATGTTGGTGTATCGGACGACAGCAAGTTTCTGACCCCGAACTCCCTTGCTCGCCATCTCCTCGGCGGCCTTTCTCACGAGCATGGTCCCCTGCAGACAGTCCGTGATGAACATCTCTACATCGAACGTCTTGCGGCTCATGTCATTCTCTATGAACTGTGATGCAGCTTGGTTGAAGCCCTGAGGACCTCCGAGGAACACCTTGACCTCCTGACCCGGGACTGACATTGTCTTGATCTCGGGTATGAAAATCTTAGCGTGTTTGGTGAGGAAGTCTTTGTCGGTGATGAGGATACCGGTCTTGATGATCTGGGGACTGTTGCCTCCCATGAGGATTGTAAAGGTCCGTCCTGGGTTGTCATTTCCGGAAATAGTGAGCTCGACTGTCGTCTTGAGCTGCTTGAAGGTCCAACGCATAGCTCGGCGGAAGATGGGGAAGTCGCGGCCAGCAAGCACCATTCTATTGGTCGGGTCGCCGTCCATTGGGTCTGGGTGAGTTACGGTAAACACCAGCGAAGCATATCGCAAAGCGAGGAGGCTCTTCTTATTGTCTTCGCAGATGACAGGGACATCAAGCTCGTGCAGCGTGGACGAGATATTCGGCCACCAAACGTCGGTCAACACGAAGTTGTTCTTACGGAAGACCTTCTTCGCCTCTTCGTTGATAGTCTTGTTGACGGCAAGGATGTTGGTGTGGAACTCGTAGGTGTGAGCCAAGCTGACATCGTGTGGATGTGTCTCGACTGGTTGGCCTGTCGCAGCTGCGCGTGCGACTCGGACGTCTCGAGAGCATGGTGCGACCACTTGCTCTGCATCGAGAAGATGGCCATAGATGATGTCGCGAAGCTCTCGAGGCAGCGGAAAGACTTGTCTTGGAGCGACGGCGTCTGGAGTGGCATTGTCTGCAGTGGTGGGATCGGAAGAGGTGGCATCGGGAGAGGTGTCGTCAGAAGAGGTGTCGTCAGAAGAGGTGTGGGTTGATGAGGTGTGGGTTGATGAGGTGTGAGTTGATGAGGTGTGAGTTGATGAGGTGTGAGTTGATGAGGTTTGGTTTGAAGAGGTGTGGTTTGAAGAGGTGCGGTCTCGAATGTCGGCGTGCGTGGATGATGTGAGTTGTTGAGCATCGCGGACCGCCTCGGGGGCGGTTGTGGTGTTGTCCGTCATCTCGCAGTCTCGCACAACGACTGGGGAAGTGTGTTGTGCAAGGTGACCGGAGTGCGATGACGAGTGCTGGGCAATAGAATGTGGAGAGGTCGCAGTATTTATGCCGGGCGCAGAGTGTCGCAGCGCTAGCAGAGCGGGCCGGATCTTGGCAGTCACATGTCACTGGATTGGAAAAGTGAATATCAGCAATCTTCACCTGTAGACGACATCAACAAAAATGGGGCATGACGTACATCACCAACGTGAGAGAATCAACGACGAAGTGTCCATTTGGTATCTGCCCCCTTCCTATACGCCGTACTCCATGCTGCCATGCCTTCTGAATCGATTTCACAAGCTCGACCACACCTCACTCGCCAGATCTCCTTCCCTTCCTCTCACATCCACCACATTGACATCTCCTCGACCAGTATTGTGTATGATCGCCCGCTCGTATGCCCCCGTCTTCTGGTCCTGCTGAACCTCGATACCCAGCGATCGGTAGAAATGCATTTTCAGGACATTCGCATCCTCCTGATCCTCTCCGCCTCTCCTGGCACCGCCTTCCACTCCCTCCTTCTCCAAAGTCGCTAGTTGCTGCTTGAGCGCTGCAAGCTCCCCGCTCAACCTCTCACTCTCCATCTCCGCATCGTTGACACCCTTCGCGATCCTGAATTTCTCGGTATCCATTTTCAGCATCTCTGTCGCATGTTTTGACGCATCATGCCGCTCCTCTTCGTAGTCGTATTGGCCTTTGAGGTTATTGAGTCGCCGGCTGAGGTTGCTGAGGATGGCGTGTTGGCGGTCGAGTCGTGATTGTCGTGCGCCTGCGAGTGCGTGGAGTGAGTCTGAGACTCGCGATAAGCTGTCCTTGTCGGGTGCGATGTGGAACTTGTTGGTGGCTTCGGACATCAAGTCCACCGGGTCTTCGTCGAACAGCACCATCTTTGCGGTTGGAATGTCGGCGATGGGGTTTGTTCGTGGGGTATGCAATGGGTTTGTGGTGATGTTAAAGGCGTGAAGTCGATGTTGTCGTTTGGAGTAAACAAGCCGTCTCACGCGACAACGCGCCGTCGGCCCGCTGATAGGGTCGGCCAGACTTAACAAACTCTTAACCTACTCAACCTTAGCTAAGCGAGCACTTACCTACCTTCTACTGCTCTTTCTCCGTTTCCTTTAGTCCTAATACCTTTATTCCTTCTACTGAAATACCTTAAAATACTATATATATCGTCTAGTATACTATTATTATACCTACGTCCTTTAGACTCAAAGACTAGCGTAACTAGATCGAAGAACGAATAGCCTAGCGAGTACTTTATAAGACGATTCGAGAGGACCTTAAAGCGAGTACTAGTATAAGAGTAAGCCTAGCTACGATAGCTAGGTACCTAGCTAAGTAGAACGTTCGTATAAACGCC